CAATGCGGATGTGTGTAGGAAGCAAGACCTATATACAATAGTTAAACAAAAGCATACGAGTGTACTATCATTAAAGAATCCGTCTACGCTTCCTTTATTTGTTTTTTCAGACTCCATTCTCTCCAGTTATTGGCAGTAAAACAAATATATGTAGAACACTGCATTAAACGCGTGACTCCGTACAAAATATCGAAGTAATGTAATGTAAACTTGGAACACAGAATAAATCAAAATGTTCAATGTTGCTGTAAATATTCCAAAATGTTTTTCATGTTATATCGGGTTTCCTAAACAGACTGAACGCGCTCTACTTAGGTTTTGAGTTATCGACGTGCATATGACTAACGTTACATTACGAAGTTGGACTATTGTTGCTTGCGGTCGGCACAATGTCTTTTTTATGTATTTGATGGGCCGACGTTTGACCACTATCTCGCCTGGTGGTAAGCGACGAAGCGGTCTACGATGGAGCACGTCGACCCATACGCAACCTGTTTGATTTTTAAAGTCTTTTGTGGGATACGAGCATCCGAATTAACACGTGGTAAGTGATCAGTGCCGCTCATTGAAACCCCGCAGCCAGAGAAGATATGCGATGCCTACCTCCAGATAGAGCAAAGCCGTTATTTCACGTCACTTTTCCGTATGACCACGATATCATTTCGGAGAAGCCGGTCCATTAGTTCCGAAGCATAGCTCTCTCGTGTCAAAAATTACCTACCTTCGCTTCTTTCCGAAGAGGTAGGCAGAGGTGCTATTACGGCACTTAATGCCACTGTACAATGTAACACCTAGTTCTCACTATTTATGTTATGAGTCCCCTATAATACGGGGTGAGCCTATTGCCATATACCGGGCACAATTGCAAACTCCGTGCTACTCCTACTTTGCCCGAGATCTCTTCTCTTGCCCGGCAGTCGCACTTGTGACCATTAGGCCAACGAGGCAGTCGACCACCACGGATAGAGCCAACAGACCACCACGGATGGGGCCTAATAGGACTGATGCCGATACGGAGCCGCGGAGACCTTAACGGGTTACCGGGGCTCCGGCTCGAAGGGCACGAGTAGGAACGGGGTGGTTTTTAATCAGTAAGAGTCTAACACTCCCTCCCGCTTCACCCGGACGGGTGAACTCATTCGATGATTTTCCCCCCTTAAAAAAAGACGCCATCTTATCAGAGGCTTAATTATTATTGGTCAATTGGTGATTAATGTGGTCTCAGTTTTTAATAAATAAATCTTCAAAATAAACAGTTACTTATTACACAAGATTTTCTTCAATTGAATTGAATGACGCATAGAATTAGTTCAGTGATAACTTTGTAGTTGAATCATCAGCAGATCATATTCATCATTATTTGTTATCTGTAAAGATTACATCTTCAAGAGTAAGTGTTAGAAGTAAACAGACTATTGAGATTTTCTTATTTCATACACCGAATACAAAGTATGACCACCTGATGGTAAGCAGCAACCGTACCCTCACACTAAAGAGTTGTCACAAACGCGTTACGGTATATTGTGGTTGTAAATTATGTAGGAAATAGTATAATTGCACGCAATAGTTTCTGAGGTTTCGATTCCCGGGTCGGGCAAAGTATTACTGGGTTTTTAAAAGATTCTCAGTAGTAGCACGGAGTCTGAAATTCTGCCCGGTATATAGCAATAAGCTCACCCCCTATTACATAAGACTCGTAACATAAATAGTGAAAAGTGGGTGTTACATTGTACAATGGCATAATGTGCACCTCTGCCTACCCCTTCGGGGATAAAAGGCGTGATGTAATGTTATGGTAGTTTCTGAAGAAGATGGGGAGAGAAAGAGCCTACACCCTGGATACCGGTTAGGTATCTTACAAACTCGATACAGAAACATCCGCATTTCTATGCATATTTCTGTATTGGCAACATTGAATATTGCTTAAATTATGTGTGTACGCAAGCATTTAAATGATAGTTTCGGTTCTATCAGCCGTAAATTGTATCCGTTTGTTTACTAGACTGATAGATAAATTGATGACACTGGCCACCTGCGAGAACACGGAACATCGGAGCAGTGATACACAAGTTATGGTGCTTTAAACTGTAAGAGATATTTGCCATTTCCTTCACTACAGTAGAATGATTGAGGATAAAAGTGAGAAATGCATAAAACATTTGAGAGAATCGCTGAGAAATGCATAAAACATTTGAGTATAAATACACGCCTTGCAATCTTCGAAGAGGATATACAATGTAACACTTAGGTACTTATCATCAGGTATGTTATGAGCCCCATGCAAAATGGAGCTACGAGCGGACCTAATTTTCTACTGTTGACAACTTGCTAAAAACCGAAACATATAACAATAATAATATCACTTAACCTTAAAATTTTTAATCAGAACAGCTAAAGCTAAGGAATGGAATTCGTTGCCAGAATCTATGTTTCTTAAAGGGCGTAATTTAAGTGTCTCCATGGCCCAAGCGGATAGGTTGCTATTGGGCAGGCGACCTCTATCGTAGACCATATCATCGCTAGCTAACAGGCCAAACGACGACCCAAGTCCAATATGTATGTATGTCGGGAATCGCGGGACGATCTCCGGCCACCGTGAGCGCGGGCCTGCGGACGGCGAGCATGGGTGGCTCCCCGTCCGACCAGAAACAGACCCGAGCGTACGGCGCGTCTCGTTCCGCGCGCGCCACAAAGAGCCATCAGACCACCACAGATGGGTCCTAACAGGGCCGATGCCGATTCGGAGTCGTGGAGAACCTAACGGGTTACCGGGGCTCCGGCTGACGTGCAGGGGAAGGAACGGGGTGGTTTTTAGTCAGTAAGTCTGACACTCCCTCTCGCCTCACCTAGGCCATGTCCAATATGTATAAAAAAACCACGACCAAGAATCGAGCCCTTTTTCCTCTTACATCATCACACGACTCGTAAATTAAGTGTTTAACGTCTAAGTATTGAACAGTTATTCTCAGCGTAGGAACTGACGACAAATCGGAAACCACATACCATCACGTAAGCTTACAATCAATACGTCTATTAAAAACAACACAGTGCTAACTAATTACAGTTTTGACAGGTCGCCAGTTCGTTCCCGATCGACACAATACAATGGGCACGAAATTAGAACAAACGGCCATGAATACTGAATTGAGAAATAGAAAATTTGAGGATATTTGTCAGTAGCAATAAAGCTAGTAATAAACCGTAATACGGTTGGTAGGGTGGCTGGACAACCGGCTGCCGCGCAACGTGTCGCGGGTGCGATTCCTACGGAGCAACTCTTTGTGTGATCCACAAATTATTGTTTCGGGTCTGGGTGTTATGAGCATGTGAACTTATATGTTCGTAAACGCACCCACGACACAGGAGAAAATCTTAATATGGGGCAACGTTTATTTTTAAAAAAACTCTTGGTTTGGCTGGTCGTAAGCGATTACCGTCGCCTAAGTACACCTGCAATACTAGAAGCATCACAAGTACATTGCCGACAATGTAGAAAACTGTAATTGAGACACCGTTTTAGGGAGCACTTCTCCAGGAAAATAATTCTACATTAGGCACACAATATCGGAGTACCAATTCCATCGGAATAGCTCTGAGGAGAATTCATCTTAACGCCATGTTGTTTAAAGAGTATATAAACTATGTAAAATGTCCTTTTACAATACTTTAATTACCTTGAATCGTTTCTTTGACGCGGAAAATTTCATTGCAAGTAGTAGTAAAAGTAAATTAATTATTATGTTTTCGGGTTACTCACTTAACTGTTTGACGAGGAACTCGACTTGTTAGTAGGTACCTTTATTGTAAAAAAATTAGATATCTGAAGAAAGCATATACAAGTTCTTCTACAATATGCTTATCAAAATCACAAACTAATTAAAAAAGTGCAAAAACTAGAAAACCAACACGATTACGAAAACTGTAACTAATTTACTAGTAACAAAACTGGTGCTATATCAAAAATCAAATAAAAAAGTAATAAATAAGCCGCATTTTAAAAAAAAGTGCGAAAACGTCAAAAGGACCAAAAAGGCATGTGTCCAAAACAAAAAAAAAACTAGGATATCAAAAGAGGATGATTGCTAGTCACAAAAAAATATTTAAGTAGTACCACCACCAACAAATAAATCTAGAAGCTACTAATATGAGACAAACAAATCAAATTAAAGACAATTTAATTAAAAACAAAATGGGGGACAAAACAAGAACTTAAATATAAAATTGTTACTACATACAAGTTCTATTTCAGTTACGGATAAAACCAATGTACTCACAAGACTGGACCATTGGACATGTTTGCATAGCCTCTATAAAGCTAAAAAGGTCCATAGCGGGAAAATTGCTAGAGATCTCAGTGCATAAATGAATAGAGAGATCCAACTAGGAATTAAACCCCAGTAGTTAGGACGGAGGATACTAAATTTTTGTCTTTGTTTTATGGGCAAAGTAGTTTACTATTTAATTTGAATTCTCTGTGTGCATTTTTCTTATGAGTACATTGATTACAAAAATAAATTACAACTAAAAAAAATTAAATAGCTAGGAATTTAAGTACTTTTATCTACTTATAAAACCTTGTATGTAATTGAAGTTTGATTGGTAATGAGATGCATGTTTGATATTCAAATTAACCCTTTGAGTACCGTCATTATAGACACAATTAAAGAACAATAGGGTGCGGTCACCGGTGTCCTCGCGGTGTTTGACAGTTTAATCAAAAGCTAAATCATTTATTCAATTCAATCAGGCACTTCTAAAAAGAAAATGTCCTGATAAATAAAAGCTATCGGTAATAGCAATCAATGCAAGCATTCTTGAGTCTTCATTAATTGATTTGGGATTGACTTCATTTACTTAATAAGTAAGTACCCACCCACACTCAAGAAAAAGTTATTTCAAGCTAAAAATCTTAGTGGAGACTCTTAGTGGAGAAACATAGCGATTTCTCATCACCAATCAAAAAGAACTAACTCGAAAAAAATAAAGGAAAATGAACACACTTCTAGCAACACTGCGTCTAATTTGCCACTCACGATGAGGTCCTCCTCGCGTATCTTGTCCGAGTTCTTGCTCGCCGCCCTGAATGTAGCCGCAAGATACTTCTGTTCATCTTTCGTTAGAAGTGTGCATTTCGCTGCCAACTTCTTACTTGTGTTACCCATACTGGAAAATAAAATCTATATTAATATAAATAAATTGCTGTGATTTGTGAAAACTAATAAACTGGATCAAAATCAAAAGATCGGTTTTGGTATTAGAATGCTATAGACCGACACTTAGACAATAAACAAAAAATATTTTTTATGGAAAAGCGGATCAAAACCATATGGGTCAGTCAATAGTTTAATTATGAACTAAGCATGCCTATCTGGTGAATTATATTTCAAATAATTAGAACCTGACAAATATTTTAGTAAAAGTTACACACATCTATTCAGATTCTGTAACTTTTCAATAATTGGCCTTTGCAGAATGTGGGTAGTTTTATTTATTTTGTAATTTTTTTTCTAATTTACTATAAGTCCAACTGAATTATTATTATAAGTCCAACTGGAAAATAATTATAATTATTTTTTAATATAAAAATATATTTAATATCTGTACAAGTTAAAAAAATAATATATTTTACTAGTTATTACATAAAAGCACACTTTAACAATACACACATTTACATAATAATATAATTAATTATTATCAACATACAAACTTCTAACATAACATAGAACATAAAATAAGTATTGTCTCGACTAGTTTTATATATAGCACTTGTTGCCATGAGAGTCATGTGATGTTGTTTGTATAATCATTGCCCATGATAGAGGACAACTTGACACATTATGACATTACTATTCTACCTTGAATCAACAGGAAGATAAGCAGGTGACACAAATTCTCACTTTTACACTTTGCACTCGTCAGGACGCACACAACCTCTTTCGTATCCTGATACCGAACTTATGGACTTATAATAGTGCAATGTCATTGCCTACCTTCGACAAAACACTGAAAAAAAAATTAATACCCCTCGTCCTTGTCATGAAAATATTTTTTTAATATTTTCACAAAATGTTAGGATGTTCTATAGATAATAATGATACATAAAAAACTCTGACGTCTTGTAACAAGTAAATATGATTAGAGTCGTAAACATAACATAAACATTACCTTATTATGAATAAAAACAATGCTGGACGTTGTTTTACAAATACACTGCACGCTATTGAATCGCTTTATCAATCAAAAACTTTTATATTACACATAATCTTGAGTACCTATCACATTATTAAACTTAGTTTTATATGATAACATACCGCTGAAATTATTCAACGCAATAAATCAATATATTTTTTGACAAAATTACAAATTAATGAAGTAGGTTACCTGTCAATCTTACGTCAATGTCAAGTGTCAAGGATGTTTTTAAAACTTTTTCGTAGCCGGAAAAGGAATTTTATAATGCCTCTACCACCACACCACGCGCGAAGCGCGAAACGACTACCGTTTAGCACCGCGTCAACGAAACTGCCTTATCGCGAATTTTGGTTAGGCTACTGGAAATAAACCGCTATGTAATAAGTATAGACTGATATTGTACAAATATTTAAACTTTGTTTTACCTCACTTATTGATTAAACATTTTTATCGGATCGCAAAACACAATTCCATTGATTTTTGAAGCTCTGTAGACATGAACTGAAATGCATTGTATTTGTGATTTAACAGTTTACAAAATAATTAACTAAGATCAAGATAACGTTTTGGTCTTTGGTCTATTTCATTCATTCATTACGATCCATTAGTGTGAATCTCTTGTGTAAATAAACTTTTATCACGAGACTTTTACTCACTTTGATCTAAAATTGATTTTGCGTATTGATGCTAATTATTGGAAATCTTATTACAAATGAATAACAGAAAATTACGAGTTATTTCTTTATTAAATTAAGATAAACTCTGAATTGGTAAGAAATTTTGTGAAATATAAACTTATTTTCTTATTGTGTTTACACTGATCGGTAAACAACATGTATTAATTTGATTAAATTTCCATCTTGGTTGAATTGTTTTACGAACACAATTTAGATGTCTGACTTTATGTCGATATCATCTTTATCCAGTATTTGTCTATCTATTCTTCATTATGCTATCCTAGGTTTACTTTTACTACTGTCTTAAAAGGGATACAATAGTCCATAATGTAGAAATCAAAGTAACTGCCGTATAAATTTGGACAGATTTTCCAATTGTATCATTATTAAATCGCCGCGTTACGTTTCTGTGTAACAGTAGAAGCATATGAATTTGGGGAGGTACACTCATTGCAGTCGCCACAAACTTATATCTTGGAAACAAGAATGAGGGTACGGCAGTCCCCAACGCTATGAAACTGAATACGCTTGCACTTAAAATTAAACTTCCTGAAGGATCTGTTGGGTACAAGGCATTGCCAATTAAATAGCTCCAGTGTGCCAAAGAACCAATTCGTGCCAGCCACAAAAATTTCAAAATTATTGTACTGCATATGACGACCAATACTGTAGTTACGACGCACATTTTTACTATGAAATTCTTCATTAAATTGTTAAGTATGGTTTGGCTTCTGTTTGTTGGATCATCTTATGAATGTGCGCCGGAAAGTTGAAAATTTATATTATTTATTTTACATTATTGCTGTTCTTCACATTTTTACTGTGATTTTTTATTGTTGTCATCATGACTTGATTAATGGTGACTTTGGTACCAAAATCTGAGACGTTTTACAGTATTTCAGTTTTTTCTGATACTACACCATAGGAAGGTTTTTTACAAAATTCATCTAAAATTTTAATTCAAACTAAAACAAATAAATTAGAATAATAATCCATTTCATCGTCGTTATGTTTCGTCTAATAAAATGAACACAGAAATAGTTTTTAAGTTATTTTTGAACGTATACTTAAAAATGTGGCAAGCAGTGAAAACAAAAGATGGTTTGGTAATTTTACAAAAAGAGTTTTATAGTTTATTGTCGTATTTATTTTATAATAAATGTAATTTTAGCAACAAATGCAACTGTAAACGAATTTGGCAAAATATTGATGATAAACTGATACTTTGACTTTGACTCAAACATTGCATAAAATAATTTAAAAAATAATAGTAGAATTTTAAATATTCGCATCGTCACACGTCATCGTGACTCGGAAAAATACATTGTGCGGCTGAAATTATTGTGTTGAGTTAGAATAAACAGGTGTTTTGTTAGTGAATGTGGCTAAAATAAGTCATCAAAATGACTCTCACTAAAATGGAGGTCGACTCTGGTAAGGGTGAAGGATTTCGCCCTTACTATATCACCAAGATTGAAGAGCTCCAACTGATTGTTGCTGAGAAGTCTCAAAATCTTCGTCGTCTGCAAGCCCAGCGTAATGAACTTAACGCTAAAGTCCGTATGTTGCGAGAAGAGCTTCAGCTCTTACAAGAACAAGGCTCCTATGTCGGCGAAGTCGTCAAACCTATGGACAAGAAGAAAGTTCTTGTGAAGGTGCATCCTGAAGGTAAATTTGTGGTAGACTTGGACAAGAATGTAGATATCAACGATGTAACAGCTAACTGCAGAGTAGCGCTGCGTAACGAAAGCTACACACTTCATAAAATCCTGCCAAACAAAGTAGATCCTCTTGTCTCACTTATGATGGTTGAAAAAGTTCCGGATTCCACTTACGAGATGGTGGGAGGTTTAGACAAACAGATCAAGGAGATTAAGGAGGTCATTGAGCTGCCAGTTAAACATCCAGAACTGTTTGATGCTCTGGGTATTGCTCAGCCTAAGGGTGTACTGTTGTATGGACCACCAGGTACTGGTAAGACGCTGCTGGCTCGTGCTGTCGCTCATCACACCGAGTGCACCTTCATCCGTGTCTCAGGTTCTGAGTTAGTACAGAAATTCATTGGTGAGGGCAGTCGTATGGTGCGAGAGCTTTTTGTTATGGCCCGTGAACATGCTCCCTCTATCATCTTCATGGACGAAATCGACTCTATTGGTTCATCTCGTATTGAGTCAGGCAGCGGTGGAGACTCTGAAGTACAGAGAACTATGTTGGAGTTGTTGAACCAGCTTGATGGGTTTGAAGCCACAAAGAACATTAAGGTTATTATGGCTACCAACAGGATTGACATTTTGGATCCTGCCCTGCTTAGACCTGGACGTATTGACAGGAAGATTGAATTCCCCCCACCAAATGAGGAAGCTCGTCTTGACATCTTGAAAATTCACTCTAGAAAGATGAATCTGACCAGAGGCATCAATCTACGTAAGATTGCGGAGCTGATGCCTGGTGCATCAGGTGCCGAGGTCAAGGGTGTGTGCACTGAGGCTGGTATGTATGCCCTCCGTGAGCGCAGAGTCCACGTCACCCAGGAGGACTTTGAGATGGCCGTAGCTAAGGTCATGCAGAAGGACTCAGAGAAGAATATGTCTATCAAGAAACTCTGGAAGTAATTTTAATATTATTAAATGTAATGTATGCTTTAGGAAATTAATAATTCTTTTTTTGTAATCATTGTGCGTTTTATTTTATTCTAAATTTACTCAAATAAAAATCTATGAACAAAGAATATCATCTGTTTGCCATGAACAAGATGACTTAGATATAGTGGTCCTTAGGTCCAAGAGGATACACAGTTAGATTAAAAACTTTGTACACTATCTAGAATTTAATACATCCTAATAAGATGGTAATTTTGTAAGAATACTTGACAATCCTTCCATACCGAAATCTGTCAAATGTCAATTTTATTCTACAGTTATAGGATGATCGTAAAACCAACCCTAAGATTGGCAAAATTAAATTTTATCAAGTAAAACATTCAGGTCCATAGTCTTATTAGCTTCATTATTAGTTTACCGGAAATGTCTATGAAAGATAAAATAAAGAAAACAAAAATTGAAAATTTCGATCAAGTTTTAATAACAACAATAAGAATAAATCATCAGATATATAAATGTATACTTAAAACTAATGATTATGAAATAAATATCAGGGCATTGACCTCACAGACATACTACCGAACTAACAGATTACAATGATACAAGTCCTAGAACACAGACAAACATACAAAATATATTGTCTGACCTTAGCGTACAAAATTGTATAAAATAAGTTACATTTTTATACAATTTTCGAGTTATTTCGATTTTGACACTTATTTGCTTAAAAGTTCTAAGTATAAGTTATTGGAAGGATCATTATCTTGTTTATTGTGGTGTAAATTTTAATTTCAATTTTTTTTCTCTTGAATAGCAACTGAGTTTCAATTTGAACTGAATGATAAGAATTGGTTAGTTTCTCACACTACAATGGTTCTCTTCGCCAATTGCTTTTTTACTTTTAGAATAACATATCCTCGCAATTATCCATTAAAACATTCGCTACAGTGTTGACAGTACTTTTGGACATATCTTAACCATTTTCTCGTCTAAAAATAACCATGTTGCCATATAAATAATTCAAATTTTTGGTAATTTTTTGATTATTTCAGCCTGGTTATGTCCTGTGTATGTTGATGGTTTAGTTGCAAGTGGCGTCGGGGTGTCTCTCGAGGATCATGGCGACTCCCTGTCCGCCAGCGGCGCAGGCAGAGATTACACCGAACTGTCCGTCCTCACGTACCAGACGGTGGGCGGTGTGCATGGCGAGACGGACCTGGAGAAACAATCCAAAGTTACTAAAATTGCATTTGTAAATCGTAAGGTTTAACTTGTTTTAACATGAGAAATTCATCTCACATGTAATAAGGCTCTTGAATGAGTTAGAAAACTATTAAAATCCATAAGATAATGGGACATAAACTTGAGTTTATCAAGACACTCTTAAAGTCTTAAACATAATTATTTAGAACTGGTATTTAAAATAATGTTAGACGTGTAACTCACCCCAGTGGCAGCGAAGGGATGTCCGATAGAGAGCGAGCCGCCCCATTTGTTCCACTTGTCGAGGTCGGGAGCACCCACCTGTAGAGATAATAGCAAGGTATAAGATACATTTCACAGAGAAATAAGTAAAGGCGATAGATTGAAGTTGCTATATGTCAGTTATATCTTCAACCAGGATAGATTCCTGACAGATTTACTTCTTACAAACACATGAACAAAGCATATGATAAATATAAATTATGAACTGACTTACCTTAGTCTGACGGCCGAGATATGTCTGCGCGAACCAATCAGAGTCCATAGCTTTCAAGTTAGCCAGGATTTGACCCTACAAACAAAAACATAGATAGAATCTCATTCGTCAAAACTATTTATCAGGCATGTAATTCCATAATAAGAAAGTAGCTCAAACAAGTTCAATATATTTGTTTTCTTCTATACTTTTTTTCTTACTACTGTCTATACTCACAGCGAAAGCCTCATGGATCTCCCAGGTGTCGATGTCGCTCATCTTGAGTCCAGCCTTCTCCAAGATCTTGGGGATACCGTACGCGGGTCCCAACAAGAGCTGGTCAACGGGATCCTGGGGACAAAGAGATGAAGTTTCTTGCTAGATTTTCTGAACATGATAGATCTTCTACAAATACTGCACTTAGGAATAAGCTATTGGCTTCTAAAGGTCCAACATTGTTTTAAAAGTGCTGTTTAAGCATTATTGGAGTAAATTTTTTTTTATGTGAGGAACCAATCACCCTTTCGAAATAATTCTTTGATAAACTAGCGAATCATGAACAGGAATCAAATCCAGACTAGATTTTTCAATCAGGGCTTTTGATCAGCATACATATCATCAAGCCTATCTTTAGCGGGGTAAGTTCTCTCTTCGATCAGCATTTAATAAAAATTTAGGAATGTTCAGAATTGTTACCTGAGCGACGTAAGTGAAGTCACGCAGGTACGCCTTGGGCTTGAGGCCGAGCTCCTTGGCCTTAGCCTCCGACATCACCAGGCAAGCGGACGCTCCGTCAGTCTGCAAGTAAATGAATATTATATTCAGGTAGGTAGTTAGGTATTCGTTATTTATTTAGCACTCGCAAGTTTGCCTACTAAGCAATAGGGTAGAGAACTAATTTTTATTTTAATGTCCGTTTGGTACTTTATTTTAAAGCATTAGACACGTATTTTTTCTTACAGAAAAGAATACTTTCGTCGATATATTGATTTGAAATGTCGCGTGACGTCACTTCTATGTACATTTTTAACGTAGAAATGACGTTTTAGCCCCCACTCCTAAACTTTGATTCGTTTTATCTAAGTATTGTTTTATTATACAACAAAATAAAAAAATACGTGTCTAACAACCCCTTGGCCGGGTCCACACCGACCACTTGGCCAATGAGGCAGTCTGTATGTAAGTATTTCTAAAAAACTGTAATAAATGATCTTACTTAAAAACCTATACAAGACATATCGGGCACTACAGATTTTTGACAAAGAGCGGTTATTTATTAATTTCGGCTGCCAATAGAACATCTCTTTAGATTGTAAAGAGATGTTCTTCTAAAGTTTACAATAATCGCTCTCATGTCTCACCAAGAACGAAGCGTTAGCAGCAGTGACGGTGCCGTGTGGCTTGATGAAGGCAGGCTTCAGCTTGGCGAGCTGCTCCGGCGTCGACACGCGGATGCCGTTGTCCTTGTCCACCACGCCGTCCTTGCCGTCAACTGGAGAGTAAAAATATGTATCAATGGTGATCATACTGTCATTTGGTATGCAAGGTAAAAAGATAGAATCAATACAAAGACAATAACAATGTTAAAAGGCCTTTGTTAATAAGTATTCAAATTGCTACTGCCCTCTTACCTGTATATCAGTTATCTTGGTAGACAAAATATGAGTTTTTGAGTAACAATAATACACAAGTTGGTTTGTCTCATAGAACAGAGGGCCAAGCACGAATAACTATCGCATTCGTATCGTAACAGTATCCAGCGAGTTAAGCGTTCTGATTGGTTGGTTCACCTGAGCCGGCCAATCAGAACGCCGAACGCGCTCGATACTATTACGTTACGGATGCGATAGTTATTCGTGCTTTGCACTCTGAAAATATCTTTAAAATCGCAGTGATGTCATATTTCTGTATTTTCTTAAGTTAGATCGGGTTCTTCCTCTGTGGTTCGAAACTAGTAAAGCTTTTCTCAGTATATTCACGTGAGTAACCCGCGATTTTTAGTTAATTTAGTATGTCATTTTACATTGTCCTAAACAATACAAATTATTCGAAATTAAAAATAATAATTATTAAAAGACAGTTACAAAAATTCAATATTAATTAAATTCGAACAAGAAAAGACCGTTTTTCTTTCTAAAAGGCCGGCAACGCACCGGTGACCCCTCTGGTGTTGCGGGTGTCCACGGGCGGCGCTGATCGCTTACCATCAGGCGATCCGTCTGCTCGTTTGCCTCCTATTCTATAAAAAAATTACCTTTAACAGGGATCAGATCAGTAAAGTATCCCTTGCTCTGTGCGTCCGCGGCCATTTTGTGGGAGCGGAGCGCGTAGTCGTCCTGTTCCTGTCGCGAGGCTCCGAAGGCGGCCGCCAGACGGTCCGCGCTGTGACCCATCGTCTCGCCTGATGAGAACTCCGCTACTGCTGGTAACTGGGAGACAAGCATGGACAGTTTTCGTATTATAACTATCATGCAACATTTTTTTTATGAAACCTATAACCCGATGGTAAGCAGTCGGCGTCGCACATAAACGAAACACCACAGGCGTTAATAGTGCGTTATCGGCCTTTTTTAGATTAGGAATTTGAGGATGGTTGGGGATTCAGGGATAGGGGAGATTGGGGAAGAGGGGTGGGGAATTAGGCCTCCGGTAACCTCACTCACACGACAAAATACGTCGGCTTGTATTGAATTGGAAGAAGCAAGAAAGAAATAGGTAGATCTAGGTATATCAAATAACTACATTTTACGATAACTAACTGAGCTGTTGTCTGCGCGACGCCGATTATATCGTTTTTCGCATAGTACTGCTCATGCTTATGAACCCCACCATGGTTTGAAACAAATCGAGTTGTCTTGATATTAATTTAAAGATTACTATAAAGACAATTCTTAAACAGTAGATTGAGATATTGCAATTCCGTCAATATGTTTTCGCCGTAAAGTAAATAAACTCACCTCAGGCGCAAAGAAATCAGGTCTAATAGAGGCGATGAGGGACAGTCGTTGCGCGGGAGTCTTGGCTCGGTTGAGGCGCAGCAGTAACGAGCGCATCTTGCGCGAGTGACGGATGGGCACGTCCGACATGAACTCCACACCTCCGGCCACTATCACGTCGTAAGCTCCAGCAGCTATCATGCCCACACCTGGGAAAAGTAAGATAATGTTACATAGGATTTGAAGGTTTCTTTTATGGGATGAGAGCCCTTTTTAAAGGATAGATGGTGAACGAGCTGACCAATCACCTGATGCCGCCCCTCAACGCCATAAGAATCACAAATGCTTTGCTAGGCCCCGCTTCCTTTGAATATGAATATAAGTAGAAATATAAGCAAAAAAATATCCACATACCAGTAGTAATAGCCTGGTTGGAAGAGATGCAGGCCATAGTGACAGTGTGCGCAGGAGTCTTGTCACTGAAGCCAGCCGCCAGCGCCGCCTCGCGACCGATGTTGGAAGTCTTCACCTCCTGGATTACGGTACCGTACACGATGTAGTCGATCACATCCTTTGAGATACCTGTCTTCTGTAGAAGACCCCTGGAACAAGGAAGATTTGGTATTGAATTTTTCAAATTTTTAGATTGGGCCTAAAATCGGCCAATCTCTGATTGGTACAGGCTCAGTAGTTGTTTCGGGTGAAGTCTCACCCTCCATAGGATACCCAACTTTTTACCAGTGAGTTGCGCTTTTAACTCTATATAGGAGACAAAGTTGAGTGTGAGCGTCAGAGTTACGCCAAGAAACTCAAGATGATCAGTTATCGGAACGGATACATTCCGAAAAGTAGGAGTCAGCGGAAATTGACTCCGATTGGCGGGAAACAGACACGCCTGGGTTTTGCTAGTGTTGAACTTGACCAAGTTGGCATCACCCCAGTCAGAGACCGCTCAAGGACGAATTCAAACGCTCGACCATGGATTCTCTTAGAGACCGGAACTGTGTTCCGCTAGTCCGCGCATATATTTATAGATCTTTCAAAGTCCAAGTTCATTGATGAAAGTATATATATTTAAGATAATCATACACTGTGTCTGTCCATTCACATACAGTGTGCTACCATTAAGGACCATGCCAAATATCTATGGAATATTTGAAACAGTATAAAATTGGCAAGATGTTGAAATTTCTAACTATAGGATGATATCTTGTGACAGCTACTTGTACCATCTCATATTATAATTATGAATGTATCTCCATAGTGATACCGGTATGTTCTAGTCCTAAGGGAATTAGACATTGTAAAATACTCTATGAAATGTGGAATGGTTGAATGAATCTTATTAATATTAATAAATGTGTAAGTGTGTTTATTTGTCTTTGATTCAGATATATTTGACCAGTCTGTTATAATCACATTTCTCTAGTATTCTATTAGTGGTCTATGAATACATTCTATTTGTCCTGAAAATTTATATTTTCAGGACAAATAGAATGTATTCATAGATTATGTTAATGGCTTTGTTTATACAAAGCCATTAACATAATCTAGTAATTTTAATGTAATTTTTGTGTCTGGAGACGGAGATAAGCAACTAATTTTTTTAACAAAACTAGTTAAAAACCATTACACAATACAAATAAGTCACAAAATATATGAATAATAAATTAAGTATTAACAGTCAGCAGAGAATTAAACTTAGATTTTAATGACATTAACTTGAATTTGCAGAATTAACTAAAGGTGATTTTAATAATGTTCATAATATGTATATACTTCGTAATTGTATAAGTATCTTACGCTGTAATTCTCAAACGTCAATCAATTTTAAGTCGCGCTTAAGTATAGTTCTTTTATAAGTATAATTCTTTATTTGACTGCACGGTTGGCGCGGTGGTTGGGCAACTGACAACGTGTTGTGGGTTCGATTCCCGCACGGAACGACTCTTTGTGTGATCCACAGATTGTTGTTCCGGGTCTGGGCGTCATGTGTATGTGAAGTTGTATGTTTGTAAACGCGCCCACGACACAGGAGAAAATCCAAGTGTGGGGCAATGTTTAAAAAAGTCGCAGGACATTAATTGTCCCCTAATGTAGCCTTGGCTTTAAGTATAACTTCAAATTGAATAGCCTTCTGAATAGTGTTCAGGCTTTATAATCATAATTCCAAATTATATCTACTATTATAAGCTGCAATTTATTTACCTATTATTTTAAATTGGCTCCATGTTTTGGGTTTATTTACAAACATACAATTCGCATTCATATACTGTGGGTAAAGAAATCTGTATCGATTAAAGAAGTATGAACTAAATTAGATTACGGTGATGTTATGAGAAAAAGCTTCTTCACACACCAACAGCCTATAAATGGCCACTGTTGATCAAAGACCTGTTCTCGCATCGAGAATGTTTGAGCAATAATCACCACGCTTGCTCAATGTGGGTTGGCAATTTCAAACTTATAATAAGAAATTATAAGCCCAGGTTTCCTCACTATGTATTCCTGTCAGTTATGTATAGAAATATAAGAAAGTAGTTATATACTGTTGGTAGGTTTTAAACCTCCATCCTCATGCAATATTAGATTCTTACAAGAATATAATTGCAACATGCTATTCATAATCTTATTTACTACTTACTACTTGTGTGTGTAGTAATTGAGTATGTGTATGTAGCATTATGGACTTTGGTCAATCAATTATTAAAGTCTGCTTAAATGTCAATGTGTGTACAGCTGATGTTCTTACATAAACATGTATATACCTGTATCTATATAACTAGAATTATAGTTAAATAAACTAGGTAGCTTCTACCAATGGTTTCACCTGCATTTCTGTGGGATAAAAAGTGGCCTGTCTTATTCCAGATTCATAACTACATCCCTTCAGTAGTTTTTGCATGAAAGATTAATAAACATAATAACTTTCGTATTCATAATTAGTAGGATGCATGTATTTGTTTTATAAAAATTCTGGCTTTCTATTGAGATCCATTATGCTTGATGAAAATAAGTAGCATAACCCCATTATTATCACATCTAAAAATCTAATACTATTATCTAAAGCTGAAGAGCATGTTCCAATCTCTGGAACTAGTGGATTAATTTAAAAAGTTCTTTTTGTGATGGATAATCTATTTATTAAAGAAGGCAATAGGTTATAAAACATCACACTATGACCAATAGGAGCCAAGCTAGTCATAATTATTACGTTAAGATCGAAAAATGACAAACACTGTCACATTCACAATAATTATTAAGCAAGGAATAAAAATAATAGATAATGAAATATGTGTAAAATAGTTTTAGAAATTAAACTTTGATATAACATTAGTTAGCGTAAGAGATTTTTATATTAAATTCAGTTATTGTAATGAATTTTTATTTTGATTGTTAACTATTGTATGACTTTTGTAACAATAACATACAACCATTTAATTACTATAATAATAAGGTAATGTTTAAAACACTATTAGGACTACAACAAAGATTATTTTCTATACTTACCTACATTAATTATTTTAATTAAAACCTTTGACTTCTCCTTAAAAAGGCATGTATGTGAGAAGGTTTCTGTCTTTTGAGCTCTAATCACCGGTAGCTTGGACCATGATCCCGCTACTGGTTGGCTTCTATTTTTATACTTTTAAATATTATTTTTTTATTTTGTAAGTAGTATTTAAAAATGTAATTTTAGAGAATGTTAAATAAATATATGGAATTTTAATTACTCATTTCATCTTTTATTTGTTCAACTGGAAATTAAATGCACTCACATCTTCATTACATGTTATTTATTTAACTAATACTATTTGTTTTGCTTGACAAGACATTTATTTTGTAATTGTTTATATCATTTACCTACAACGCATAATACCTAATGTTTATATTGTGTTTTAGAAGGTTTCTTATAAGAAATTATGGTAATCGAAGTAGTACTCACAACAAGGAATGTCTGGCGAGTTCATGAGGCATCATCTTGGCATAATCAGTGAAGGATACCAAGAATGGAGTCCGCACTCCGTCCACAAGCACCACATTCTTGCCTGTGCGGTCCGGCAGAGACTTCTTCTTCTGGTGTAAAGCTGCTCCAACACTGAGAGCCCTCCTTGCAGTGTCTACAACGATAGTCAACACTAATTAGCAAAATAAAAACACCAAAACTAAATCCTTTATGAATCCATCTAGTAACACACTAAGAATAGATTTCGATCTTCCAGAATGCATACAACATGAACCTTGCACTAATATTTTGGCAGGGAACTGAACGAAATTAATTGCCACCTATGCCAACAAAATAATTCTCGCAAAAGTCCAAAGTTTACCTCCATATAAGTATTACGAAAACATACAAAATAATCCATATAAATCATGTTATTGCAACTCACTTGTCATGAAATCAACTAAATATTACTTTAAAGAACATAATAAATCACGTAAGATTTAGAAAAATATAAGAGTAATAGAAAACCTACCGAATTTAGCCGTAGAGCTAACGTGGGAGACTTTCAATAAAGTTTTTGATATTTGAGATGCCATGGCTGCCGGAAAATTAATACCGATTATCACTGGATACGACGGAGACTACTAAAACAATTAATGTAAATTAAAAACTAGTGTAAATTCTAATTTAAACTTCTAATAAACTTAAAAGAAAGTTGGACTCTGACCTGTCAACCGCACAGAGTAAAAAATAGGGTTGCAGTTGCACAGTTCAATAAAATATCACGCATCTTTTTCGAATATGATTTTTATGTTATTTCAACTGTGTTAGTTTTACTTACATTAATGTATTTTGTACATTTAATAAACATTTCAGTGTATGTTTTGATTGTCGAAGTTAGTATTTTGTTTCTTATTTGTAGTGATTTCTACATTTTTATTGTATCTTTGTTCACCCCTAATTTTAGTACTGATTAATTGTTGGCAATAATTTAGATGAGTTTTCAATATTACGTTTCGTTTATACCAGTTTTTTTCTATTTTGATTGTACAATTTATTTCTATTTTTCTCTAATACATATTTATTATGTTTATCATTTTAAATCGATTTTTATTAGTTCAAATTTATATAATCACAATAAAACTAAATATGTTAACAAGATTAAAACAAGATCTTAATAACGTTTAGTTACTTTGGTTCGATCAGGTGGATGCGGGTAGTTGGAAATATTTTTTTACAGATTTTTCAAGTTTCTCGATTTCCTTTCTGTTGCTCTTCCGCCGTGCCAGCAGCCACGTGTATTTATTCAAATAATTTATTAATTTTACCAATCCAATTAATTATAATTATTATACATAAATTAATTATTGATCAATCATTATTTTACTTTTAAAGTATCAATGAAGGAAATATAGAAACAAGTGAGTTTGACACCGATTATTTTAATATGAAATTTTGGAATTTCCAGCAGAACTTGGAAACCAAAGTAACGGTTTTCCAGCACATTTAAAAGCGTTAATCTTTTGAATTTGCAAATTAATCTCGTTTCTTTTTTGCAGAATGAAGTATCAAGGCTTGCTATTGATAGTTAGTGTGGCGTGGTGTTCAGCTCAGCTCAGCGATGACATGCAGATGTTTGACCCGGAATGCATGACGGAAGACAAGTTCCCCTGCATGGGTGGAGGATGTATTTCAGTGTCACAGTACTGCGATGGAAAATTGGACTGTGATGATGGCAGCGACGAGAATTTTTGCAGTAAGTTTTTTCTATCTACCTAACAATAAAAAACTTAAAATGAAACTATTACTTAAATAAAATTAAAACTAAATATTACTAAATTAAATTTATACAACTTAAGATTAAAATTAATTATAAGAAAAACAAAAACAACTATTTACATAAAGCATCGAAAAATTCGTCCGCATCGACGTCAGTGGGGAAAGTACCCAGAAGGCTGGCAGCAATGAAGCAATGAAATTTCATATCTGACAATAAAGATACGAGATACCTACTTTGTACGAGGTGGAAAGTTGGGGACCTCGGTTTGGTCAAAATATCTCTCGATTTTTGACATTCTTTAGCAATTACATGGTATTTGAAACTGAACTAAAAGTTTTACACGCTCTTGTTAAAATAAAATTTGAATCATAACGGACGAAAAATGGCTGCCGTAGGTAACGACTTTTATGCGCCTATCGCAAAGAGTATAATAAGGGTAGCCTATCGTTTCGCAGCCGTCATCCGCGTGCTCCAGCTAGATTAAGAACTACAAGGTGCTAAGTGTCTGAAAGGTGCAAAAAATACAGACTGGCTGATGATAACCAATGACACGTGTAATTTCGAATTTTGAAACCACGTTGATTGATTTGTTTATTGGAGTCAGCCAATCAGAGCGCCGAACGTGTACTCGTACCCTCTGGCTGATGATGATGACCAATGATGTACTTATTTTTTTTTCTGTTCAACAGTCGAACACAAGCCGTTCCAGGAGTTTTGTAACGAGACCCATCAGTACATGTGTCGGGACTCCACGAAGTGTGTTCCTCTATCCTGGCTGTGCAACAATGAGCCGGACTGCGATGATGGCAGCGATGAGTTCAACTGCACCGCACTGCCGCCTGCAAACGTTAATGTAAGTTCTAATAAATAGTAAATATACGACTGAACAAGGGATCTCGGATTTTAGTCAGTATCTGAGTTAGAAGGCAATTCATTAAAATTAATTTTAAGGGTTTTTAATACGGTACTTGCCAACTAGTCAAATTGAATACTTTTTTCGAACTGTCAAAAACGACAGTTTTCTATGAATTCTGTACGAGATTGTGTATTGTGACGTCACGTTTTTTAAGCGTCAAACAGATACTTATTTCTTAAAAATTGCTGGAAAAATACTCGTATTAAGTTGGTCATAAAATCAAATAATGAAAGTGTGATTATTTTTTAATATTCTATTGTATTGAACAGCCGAAATAATTTATTTTTGATTAAGGAAAGTACCCAATTATTAGTATTAGAAAAATATTTACTATAATGTTAAAGGTGCACGTTCATTCTGTCACCTGCCTGCCTCCTGCCACCTCACGCCTGCCTCCCATGTGGGTAGGCAGAGCCTATGTAACACAAATTGCTACGATTCTTACATGCGTCTTTCGCTTCATCAACAGTCCCCAGTCTTTTCATGCATGCACATCACCAATCTATTATGTCTAAAACACTTAATTACGTTATTTTCTTTTTACCTAATATTATACCCATTTCTTTTGTTTTCAGTCAACCTGCAAAGGCTTCCAATGTGGAGACGGCAAGTGCATCTCCTTCCTGTGGGTGTGTGACGGCGTGTACGACTGTGAAGATAAAAGCGATGAGTATGCTGAGGAACTCTGCAGTAAGTCATATTTACGAACATGCCGATCCCACCCTACCCCCGTCGTATGATGGTAAAGGGTTACCATAGCCTAACGTAGATACACTCAACACTGGCAACACCAGAGGCATACGTTGCCAACCATGGAGGAATTTCATAACATCATAACATCACGCCTTTTATCCCCGAAGGGGTAGGTAGAGGTGCACATTACGGCACTTAATGCCACGGCAATTTTTGTTATGAGCCCCATGTAATAGGGGGTGAGCCTATTGCCATAATTATACCGGGCACAGACTCCATGCTACTACTGAGGTTTTTTTAAAAACCTAGTAATACTTTGCCTGACCGGGCCCGACTGGCGACCACTCGGCTGTCTAATGGAGGTGCAATGGAGGATTTCATTCTAGAGGTAGATAATCAATTGGTAATTGCTGTTCTTTTTCCACTACACTTAATCTCCACATTTATTAGCCTCTGCTTTGCCATTAATCACTATATTGTATCTCGTATACAACTGTGCTCGATACTACGGGTTAAAAACGTTTTATTTTTTCCTCTTAGGGCACGTGTCCCGTCCCCACGCGATCGTCGACGGTTCATACTGTCAGGAATTGCACACAATGGACGACCGTAACTACAAGTGTCTGGACGCCTCCTTCTGCCTGCCCAGCAGTATGATGTGCGACGGACTTCAGGATTGTCGCGATGGCAGCGATGAGGGACCATTTTGCAAAAACTGTAAGTGTGTTTTTAAGTTCTTGTTTAATATTTAATTACAATTCTCAATTAAAAGTCACATCATTTAGATTTAGAAGAATAGAAGTAGCCGATTATCAGGGCCATGTAGTATTTTTCAGAAATTAAAATTTGTGGTATTTGTAGGCAACTCTTATGTTAAAAACCTCCTTTGTAGCACGATAAGAAAAATTGTGGTAACGTAGTAAATTCGCATTCGCGCTAAAATTCAAAATTCGAAACCCCGCCCACGCCAGCAGTCGCCGCCGAAATGTTGAGTGAGTGAGCGTGTTCGAAGACGCTCCCGCCAATTTTCTCGGTTTTTGAATTTGTTGTGGAAACATCTAGCCCCTAATCTGTTACAGGTATTACTTAAACGTTTATTTTAATTTTGGACTGGTAATGGAAATTCACACAATTTTTTACCTTTTGGTACTTTTTCTTTTGACTATTTTTTATCTACCTCTACTTGCATCTACCATGAAGGTCCTCGGACATTTAAAGACGTGTCGTTTATATGATACAACAACTTAAATCTAACAATAAAACGATTGATGTTTTCTTCAAACTGAACACATTTCTATTTTAATAGGGAACACAATGTGCGACAACTTCAAATGCATGGGAAACGACACGATATGTTCGCCGGAGAGGTTTGGAGCCTCCTGCCTCTGCCTGCCCTCCCACTTCATGCGGCAATATGATTATATCACCAAACAGTGCCAGGATGTCAACGAGTGCCTCATGGAACACCCACCCTGCTCCCATAAATGCATTAACGCCGATGGCCATTATATTTGTGAATGCGATCCTGGATACAAACGGGATGTGTATGGATATCTTTGTTATGCTACTGGTAAGTTAATTTAATGTATTTGTTATTTTAGAATATAATTATCGTGTCGTTTTTGAGAGCGTTCCGCGGTGACAGTGATGCGGATACTTTGACGCGTAATTAAGGGTATTTTTTTTATTATTTTTATTAATAGGTTTAGTTGTAGTCTTAGTTTTAAAAGTTATAAATATTTATGTAATTATATTGTAAGCCATGATTGTTATTTGGTTTAGGGCCTGTTTTATCAGTTTAATATAAATCGAGTGGTTGCAAGTGCTGGCCGGGCAAGGGCCGGGTCGGGCAAAGTATTACTGAGTTTTTAATTCTCAGTAGTAGCACGGAGTCTAAAAACAGTTCCAGACTCCGTGCTACTACTGAGAATTAGTAATAATAGCACAGGCTCAGCCCTATTACATGGGACTCGTAACATAAATAGTGAAAAGTGGACCGTGTTACATTGTACAGTGGCATAATGTACACCTCTGTCTACTCCTTCGTGATGTTTTCCATTTTTAGGTCCCGAAGCGATGCTGTTCTTCAATACTCGAAACGATATCAGATACTTGAAGATCAAGACTAAAGAAATGGTCACAGTGGCTACTGACATCAAAGAGGTCAGTAACAGAACTGAATTACTTAGTCCACCGTGTCACACTTTTCTCTTATTTAGGTCTTATTATTATATATTTTTTTTATAGCATAAGTCTGTAAATGAGCAGACGGATCACCTGATGGTAAGCAATCGGCATCGCCTATGGACCCCCAAAACACCAAGGCGTTACAAGTGCGTTACCGGCCTTTTGGGAATTGGGAATTTGAGGATTTTGGAGGATTCGGAAGACTAGGGATGGGGGTAATTGGGCTTCTTCTTCTTAATCTCATTTACCACATCCAGTTAATCTTATCTATCTAATTTGGCAGAAATAAATAGAAGTTGTTATTCATTTTTAAGAATATCAGCCAAGCAATATTAGCCGACTTCAAAAAAGGTGTAAATTTTCAGTTTCACCTGTATGTATGTACATTTGTGCGCCATTATCTCGCGATTGCCTGAACTGTTGTTGATGCGGTTTTTAGAAAAGTGTTTGTTACGCTTAGGAGGTTTTAGTATATTAATTAATCGACTTCACAAAAGGGGGCGTTGAAGTCGGTTTCTTTAAATATAGTTTATAAAAGAATTATTATATAACTTTCAATGCAAAAGATCGCAGTGAACTCGATCGCGGTCCGCCATGTTGTAGAAATAATTTCGACCAATCGAGTTCGAATGGACGTCTTACAGAGAAAAGCCTAACAGATGCTGAATTTCGAGGTATTAATTTTGTTTAAAGGGTCATGGCGTATCATTCGATGGGACTTACATTTATTGGGTGGAGACAGCACAGGGACATCAGTCCATCTTCAAAGCACAACTCGGAGACGTCAAGGATACAAAGGAGGTTTGTCTATTTTTGAAGACTTGTCATCCTACCTTCTTAGGGACATAGGGTAGATGCCTGTCGCGGAGAACCTAACGGGTAACCGGGGTTCCGGCTCGACGTGCAGGAGAAGGAACGGGGTGGTTTTTAGTCAGTAAGAGTCTGACACTCCCTCCCGCCACATACAGGCGGGAGCAGTCATTCGATGATTTTCCCCCCTTAAAAAAAGGGTAGAGGCTTAATTTATATTTTAATGTCCGTCTGGTAGATTCTTTTAAAACATTAGACACGTATTTTTTATTTTTTTACAGAAACGAATACTTTCGATGATATATGGATTAGAAATGTCGCGTGACGTCACTTCTATGTACATTTTATACGTAGAAATGACGTTTAAGCCCCAAGTCCTAAACTTTGATTCGTTTTATCTAAGTATTGTTTTTTTATACGACAGAATAAAAAAAAATACGTGTCTAATATTTTTTCATTAGCTAACTTACGGACTAATTAGATTTTTATTTTCATACCCTGTCATCATCCCAATTGTTGGTCCTTCGGGGCCCTTATGGTAAAATCAGTACTGAATGTAGTAAGATCTTCTAGATTTGCGTTATATTTATCTTCAATCACCAACGAGACAGAAGGAAATCCATAAATGTACGGTATAAGGATTTAAAATTAAAACAAATCGCTATGTACAGGTACTGGTAGGTCTCGGTCTGGAGGACCCTGGCGATATAGCAGTGGACTACTTGGGCGGGAACATATACTTCAGTGATGCGGAGCGAGGAATCATCTCCGCTTGTAGGGTCGACGGCTCCATCTGCACCACCATCAAGACTCATTCTAACAACCCACGATTTGTCACTCTTGATCCTAAAAATGGGTAAGTGTACTTTACTCATATCCTATTTCTCCCAATAGTTAGCATTGTTCATTCTTATCTTCATTCTCTCTTCACTTCATTTTACTTATATTTTTAGCTTTTATTTTATTTTATTTTATTTTTGGTTATGTTATGTGTGTTTTGCGCAAGAATAAATGGTTTTTCTTTCTTCTTTCTTTCTATCTTTGAATGTCGCGGTGGCCCGGAAGTTTAAGACGCCCGCTTTTCATGCTATGTTCAAGAGTATGGGTATGGAAACCTACCAACGACAAGTACCAATATGACGTTTTCCTAGTTATACATATGTACTTTCTAAGATTATCTAGACACCACTGACAAATGGTGAAGGAAAACATCGTCGGGCCTATAATTTCTAATTATAAGTTTGAAATCGACAACCCGCATTGAGCAAGCGTGGTGATTAACCTATGGTATGCCGGGAGCGTAGATATACGCGAGACGTAATGTGTTTTCTATTGTGTCTCATATGCCGGCAGATAAGAGGTTAATGCTCACATCTTCTCCGTGCGAGAAGAGGCCTTTGGTCAGCAGTGGCCACGTTAATAGACTTTTGGTGGTGGTGATTCTTAAGTGTTTACTAGCATCGGTTGGATCACAGTATTACACACACAGCGATTGTAAACCTTTGTTAGCCGTATCCATAATTATATTTTTATGATTAGCGTTAACAAGATTAAATAAATGATTATTTGAATAAGTAAGAGTGAAAAGAAGAGACACCCAGACACAAGAAATAATATGGCTGCCATATACCTATTTAAGAATGTATTAGAAGGTGTACATACTCGTATAAGATGTAAATTCGGTCAAAGATGACTGAGTGTCATTACACTCCTAATTTTCTCCACAGTAAGATGTACTGGGCAGATTGGCACGAGCGTCCAGTGATAATGTCAGCTCGGATGGACGGCAGCCGACACGATGAGCTGGTGGACAACTTGGAGAACTTCGCCACCGGCCTGGCCGTGGACGCGCCCAACGGGAGACTGTACTTCGTTGACAAAACTATCAAAGTCGTCATGATTGCGGAGAAACATGTTTATGTGAGTGGTGTTTAAATTTTTCTCGTGATATGAAGTAGTGTGAAATCGCCAATCTACCTTTAGCACGTGTGGCACATTCTCACATTCTTTTATACATTCTCCGTGTGAGAAGAGGTCTTCAGTGGGCACTTATAAACTGTTGAATAGGGCAACAAATGAGCAGAGGAACTGGATAGTTACTTGTTTCCAGGGTAGTTTCTAAAATTTTATTTTAATATCCGTCTGGTACATTAATTTAAATCCTTAGACACGTATTTTTTCTTTTCTCAGAAAATTAAATACTTTCGGTGTTATATTAATTTGAAATATCGTGTGACGTCACAGCGTGCCATATTTTGTAGCACGTTATGACGTAACAACCTCCCACTCCTAAACTTTGATTCGTTTTATCTAAGTATTGTTTTATTATACGACAAAATAAAAATACGTGTCTAATATATTTTCATTACCTAACTGACAGACTAATTAGATTTTTAATTTTCATACCCTATCATCATCCCTATTATATGGTATTGGTTACAGTCTTTATTTGAAGAGCCCTTCCACCATCCGTACTCCATCTCCGTGTTCGAGAACACTGTGTTCTGGAGTGACTGGACCTCCAACAGTATACAGACGACTGACAAAGTGCACGGGACCGCGCAGAAGAGGAATGTTCTACTCAAACTTGATACGCCTGTACTAGGTAAGTAAGACAAGACTTGCAGCGTAAAGAGGTACGTTTTCGTAATACGGTTTTACGGTTTAGCCATGTGGTAACTAGAATTAACTATGTCAAAGACAAACTCTACTTCGACATCCACGTCATTATGCAAACTGGCCACGCTAGCAGACGATTTGAGTGATCAGCGGTACCCAAATGCTATTTAGCGCTTGTCTACATGTAGAATAGAAAACCAAATTATATGGAATTGACGTAAATTTTGACACTTGTCAGTGTCATCCCCATACATTTTGATTTCTACTCTCTTTATAGACAAGCGCTAAAGTGGCGTTTGGCTCAAGGCACAGGAATGTTAAGGGTCAGGGTCACCTAATGTAGGGGTCTCTTTTCTGGGATATTAAATTAAGAAATTTACTGATAAAAATGTCTATTTCTTTTACACACGATTATACAATACCGCAATCTGGCAGGGACTGCGGTGCTGAGCGAGTCCTCTTTCAGTTCTCATAATAATAATCTTGCTTACCTAAGCACCGGCCCCACAATAGTTATTTTAAAATGTTTATAGCTAGCTATTGACATAAGTACTGTGCAAATGCTTAAGATCTTAATTCCCATGGTACAGGCATGCATATGTACCATCCAGTGCTGATGAACACGACATCGAACCCGTGCAGCAACAACAACTGCTCGCACCTCTGCTTCGTCACCTCCAACGCCACCCACGTCTGCGCCTGCCCCGATGGCATGGAGATAGAGAATAATCAGTGCCATCGTAAGTATTCACTAAAAAATATTTAGTACCTAATCTATAATTAAGCAACCGGATTTAGCGCTAGGTTGATTCCTACTCGAAAAAAAATATAAATCTCTTAGTTTTTCTTAGTGCAGAAGTTTAAGGTTCAGGGTCTAGGTCAAATGGGTAAGCTAAAAACCATCGACACATACTAATGGACATGCCGTAGGCGTAAATCTGCAGTAATATTTTGGTTTGAAAAGAGAGAGCGATGGCCTATGCTTTCGGTCTAGCGCTATCTCTTTCTCGCTCATAACGTCTAAACTACGGTACTATTTTGAGAGAGATAAAGATAGACCGAAACTTCATTTTCTCTCTTTCTTTCGGAGTGCCACAACTCATCTCTAAACCATGTCCATTAGTATATGTCGATGCTAAAAACCATATTGTTAGTAACTTTCGTAACCAAAGTTAACTTAGGCTGATGCCGATGTCAAAATCGAGGATGAAGGCTAAACGGATAATATAACCAAGGACAAAACCCAAACCGAGACTGAATCTGGTGCTGGTGCCAAAATTGATGCAAAGGCTAAACCAAAACAGCCAAGTAAGACAAGACACAAGTAATGGACAAAAATCTTCGATAAATATACCATAACAGCTAACAAATAAACAAAAACCACCATATAGATGACAACTGTGCGCTTCTCACGTAGCTTCCTGCCTCGCACAGCAAAACTGTGGAATGATCTGTCGTCGGCGGTATTTCCGAACCGATACGACCTTCAAACCTTCAAGAAAAGAACGTATTCCTTTTTTATAAGGCCGGCAACGGACCTGTGACTCCTCTGGTGTTGTGTCCATGGGCGGCGCTGATCGCTTGCCATCAGGTGATCAGTCTGCTCGTTTGCCTCCTATTCCATAAAAAAATTCCAATCAACAGACGTAGGCAACTACCGCGCCAAGTACCTGGTGGTGGGAAGTGGGCAGCTGTTCACAAAGATCCAGTACAACGCGCTCGGCAACCCGGAGTGTCACGCCACGCACTTCGACATCGGACGCGTGCAGGCCATGGCGTACGATCGGTATAGAGGTAAGCATATACAAATCAATGAACCATATAGGTACATAAGTTTCAAAATCTATCAAACTATTTTCGCAGTTCGATGTAGTTTGATGTGCAATGTGAAAGTCATTAAAAAGGCCTTTGAAATTTGAATCTTCTCACAGAATGTACCAGGGGGAATTGGTGATGTAATATTACTGTGTTCCGTTTAGTAAGTGAGTCTTGCCCGGTGACAAGCCTACTGTTTGGATACGTCATTGTTTTCGAGGATCTCTCCTCCCCAGAAACAGAGGTGTAATCAAACAGTTACCTACAGTCAAAAGTCAAAAGTCCACTGCCACCGTGAGTGATGTTCACACGGCAATGTGTAAGTAATTTCATATTAATGTGCATAAAAACGCGTGCGTACACATAAACACACGCACGCGTACGCACACGGATAAAAATATGCGCGTGCATGTGGGTATAAGCGCTGCAGCGCAACCGATAGTAGTCTTACGGTGGCAGTGGACTTTTGACGTTTGACCGTACATTGTCAGTCAATTCTGATAAACCACGACCGTAGCCTAACTATGTACTGCTCCGCCGCTAATCCTTGAATTCAGTATTCCTTATGAAATGGTTTCCAACAGATTCACTATTCATATACGACGGCCAGCGACGGACCATCAACTACATAAACATGAGTGACTTCACTCTCGGCGTCACGCACTTGTTGATCTACAACGGACTGGAGAACGTCGTCGACATGGATTATGGTAAGTCGACATACATTTTAGGGGTCAATTTATACTAGGGCAGAGTCGAAGCGCATCGAAGCGTCTATCCAAAACTGAACATAACAAATTCAACCTAAACCTAACAGCGTAACGCACGCATTGCTTCTGAGATTTTAAAAAGACGCGCGCATTCTTCGGAATTCGCACGTCTGCGCGTGACCAACGATTATTAGTGCGCGTGCGTTCTCGCGTATCCACGCGCCCACTAACGAATGGATTCGGACGAAAAATTTATTTACCTAGTGCAAAAATATAAATGCCTATAATGCCCATTACCTACTACTCCTTAAAGAGTGCGCGCGTATACTCTCGAATTTGATGCTTCGGTGCGCTCTCGACTCGTGCGTTCTTCTTTATTAATTTGATGCTTCGGTGCGCTTCGACTCTGCCCTAGTATAAATTGACCCTAAGTTAGATAAACTGTTCTTGGGAATATAGTTGCACTCAAATTCAAAGAAGTGCAAAGGTAGCCAAAATTTTGGATATTTTTAACATGTATCCTTTAGAAGAATTTAAGCCTTTGACTGCCAATAGAAAACTGTTGTAGGCAAATCCTCCGCTAACGTGGGTCACCGGTGACCCCCATGGCGTTTAAGGCGAATTAAGCGAGAGAATAGCTAAAAATATTAAAAGCAAAATAATAAAAGCTGGTTTTAGCTAGAACAGAGGTCTCGGAGACCGTTATATGAAGAAATTTTGATCTTCTTTACTTATCAAACTTAATACCTTTATGTGTCGCGGAGAACCTAACGGGTAACCGGGGCTCCGGCTCGACGTGCAGGAGAAGGAACGGGGTGGTTTTTAGTCAGTAAGAGTCTGACTCTCCCTTCCACCTCACCCTGGCGGGAGCAGTCATTCGATGATTTTCCCCCCTTAAAAAAAAAAAAAGTACCTTTATGTACAACTAGCTTTTACCCGCCGCTTTGACGCGTCTTTCTATTTTATCCCATGGGAGCATTTAATCGGGATAAAAAGATATCAGTCAAATTCTATCACCTGAGCCATCCCATACCCTGCCTGTATACCACATCAAAATCCGTTCAATTGTTTGAGTGTGATTGACGGTCAAACACCCACACATAAAGAAATTTTGACATTTATATTATTATAGAGCGGTCTGCTGCCCTTTCCTTCCAGATTACGTGACAGATAACCTGTACGTGCTGGATGCAAGTCGTCGTGTCGTTGAAGCTGTGTCTCTGAGGACTCAGAAGCGCGCTATAGTACATCGATTCGACATTCAAGAACTGCCTGTTAGCTTCTGTATTCTTTCGGACTACGGGTAAGTCAGCGCTGAACAGTTAAAGGCTTGTTAATCTATATCTATACTAATATTATAAAGAGGAAAGTTTTTGTACCTATTTTTGTATGTTTGTAATGAATAGGCTCAAAAAGTACTGGGCCGAATTAAAAAAATCTTTAACCGATAGAATGCTACATTCTTCCAATTTGACAAAGGCTACATTTCATTTTGAAAAAATTAGGGATCCTTGGTAAAATTTGAACAATGTAACCGAAGGTGTAGAAAAATGAGTCTTAAAATGTCTTTCGTCGAATGCGCTGCTGAAAGTATTAGCGATAGGACAAAATAATGTACAACAATATTGAAGAACATCATAATGTCTACATAAACTCCGAATGTCCAACTATTGTAGTTATTTCACTACAACAATCCAAATTTCCAAAAATAAATAATTGTCTACCCCGTGCGAAGCCGGGACGGGCTGCTAGTCGGTTATATAGTGACTCTATTAACACTAAGAGGAGTCACAAGTGCATTGCCAGCTTTTCGGGGGTCGTGGGTTCGATTCCCGCACGGAGCTCTTTGTGTGATCCACAAATTGATGATTCGGGTCGGAGTGTCATGTGTATGTGAACTTGTATATTTATAAACGCAACCACGACCCGGAGAAAATCCTAGTGTGGGGTAACGTTAATAAAAACAGTTTTCTCTGGTGCCGTATTAACACTCCAGCTGGGCCTGTCTATTTGTGCTGAAGCATGGCGTTCCCACGTGAAGATTTGCTGATGAAATTACTATGTATCATAGTGTCCTACCACAGTTTAGTACTTTTGAAATAGAAAGAGATTCTATATTTTTGTATTACAGGCGAATGTTGGTGGCCGTGGTGGAGAGTGAGATGCACAACACCATTCATATCGACAGCATCGGGCTCGACGGGAACCAACGGAGACATGTCATCATGAACAATTTGAAAGGTAACAAAACAAAACAACTTGTTTACAAAATGTAAGACTTTGGCCATTTGACGTTTCAATATTTTCGTGCTAATGATGTCACCAAAATGGCGGTCCGTGTTTTGGCGCGTATTTTTTAATGACAACATAACATAACATCACGTCTTTTATCCTCGAAGGGGTAGGCAGAGGTGCACATTATGCCACTGCACAATGTAACACCCACTTTTCACTATTTATGTTATGAGTCCCATGTAATAGGGGGTGAGCCTATTGCCATATACCGGGCACAATTCCAGACTCCGTGCTACTACTGAGGTTTTTTAATAACCCAGTAATACTTTGCCCGACCCGGGAATCGAACCCAAGACCCCTTGCCCGGCAGTCGCACTTGCGACCACTCGGCCAATGAGGCAGTCTTTTATGACAAAATTTTGATAATTTTTTTTTCGGCATTAAGTGGTCATATTTTGCTGAAATAAAAATTATACTTGATAATCAGGTATAACGAACATTTAAAAAAAACAAAAAGTTAGAGAATAGCCTATTCAACGAACGCTCCCGAAACACTGACAAAAAGAAATTGTTTTTATAATTTTAATCGTTTTTATTTTCGTGTTATTCATACAACATCAGCCTTGAGCAGTTGATTACAACTATTATTAAAAAGAATGAAAAATTATTCATTCGACAGCAGGCATGCACACAGATACGATAATAATCTAAAATATTACACAAAAGAAACAATTATTTTCCTTATTCTTTTAAAAAAAAACCTTGTTCTTTACCATTAACTGACGGTGTTTTTTGGGAGCATTCTATTTACACATTGTATGTTCTTGGAAAACACAACTGGCAACAACTTTATGAACCTCATTCTACTATTTTCCGGACATAAAAAGCGTGGTGTACCGCCTTTAGTTTTAATTATTGATAATTAAGTTTACTACTATCGTAGTATCGTGAGACTACTAAATTAACTAAAATCACGGGTTACTCACTTGAATATACGAGGAAGAACCCCTCTGTGGTTCGAAACTAGTATAGCTTATCTCAGTATATTCACGTGTGTAGCCTGCGATTTTAGTTAATATTGATAGTTAATCTTAAAGATAGTTAATCCTAAATTGCCTAAACATCCAGGTCCTCATATTCGATTGCGGTACGTGCCAGAAACGGAGCAGGTGTTCATATCCGACGAGAGCAACGGCATCATCGATTTCATACATCCTGAAGGTAAGAGACTCAATCGAGAATCTTCTTGAAGAACATGATTTAATCATTTAAAGTATAATTACTCTTCAAATAGGTACCGGGCGAGAGAACTATCGGGAGCTGACCTCGACGGTGACCAGCCTCGCCATAGCAGACAACTACGTCTTCTGGACAGACCGAAAGACCCCCAGACTCTTCTGGTCTGACATACACGAGGCCTCGCCGAAGATAAGGAGGATTGATCTGGGTAAGTCTTCAAATCCTTTAAACCTTCAAAAAAAGAGCGTATTCCTTTTTAAAAGGCCGGCAAACGCACCTGTGGCTACTCTAGTGTTGCGGGTATCCATGGGCAGCGCTGATCGCTTTCACCAGTTGATCTGTCTGCTCGTTTGCTTCCTATTCCATAAAAAAATCCTAGTTTTGTCTCTATTTTCTCACTTCTGTTTTCTTCTTTGGTCTTTCACTATTCGCGTCTAGTTAACGTTGGTATTGACTCTTAATCAAAATCAGCTGTGTCGATGTTTTTATTATTTGCTGTGCAGATTTGAACTGTAACTCTAACCCTATAGGTCATATAAGATTTTAAAATATTTTGTTAATCTAGGATTCGAGAATATATAAAAAAACCTATAAAATGTTCTATGATTTTCTTTCAGCACTCTTCCCAAACACTACGCAACTCCTGATCCAAGCAACGAACTCGCTCCCTGATCCAAAAGACCCTCTTCTGAACCATCCCTGTCTGAAGAATCCTTGTTCTGACGTCTGTGTCCAACTTCCCCATGACACTCCAGAAGATCACCCGAAACTAGCAAACTTCGAGATGAAGTACAAGTGCTTGTGCCCTCCTGGGTTGTTGGTGAATGGTAACCAGTGCGCCAAGCCTGCGACGTGTGGTGCGGATGAGGTACTGTGCCATAGGAGTAATATTTGTGTGAAGCAAGATGCCAGGTGTGATGGAAAGGCAGATTGTCCGAAGAATGAAGACGAGGAAGGTTGTATAGGTACGGTTTTTTTCAATACAATAAGTGTGGAGAGCCATGCTCGACCGGAGTGATACCACGGCCTCACAGAAAACAGACGTGAAACAACACTTGCGTTGTGTTTCGTCGTGTGAGCGAGGTTACCGGAGGCCCAATTACCCCCTTCCCCAATCCCCGAATCCCCCACAATCCTCAAATTCCTAATTCCAATAAGGCCGGTAACGCACTAGTAACGCCTCTGGTTTTTCGGGTGTCCATGGGCGACGCCGATTGCTTACCATCAGGTGATCCGTCTGTCGTCGTGATCTGTCTATCCGTCTTGTCCCATAAAAAAAATACTCAATATTAATTCTCCACGGACTCTTGGTCCTTATTAACTTAAAATATAGATAAATTGAGACTACGACGTAGCTTAACCATGCTACGACCGCTACGGCGTAGCACTACGCTACAAGATTTGGGGATTTTGTCTGAAATTACTTGTTAAGACTTTTACTGCGACCTTGTGTTTTGTTGTGACTCGACTACATAGGACACCTACTACAATCTGAAGTTCATATGGTCGCTTTTTAAAGATACGTATGCTACGGCGTAACTGAACTACTACGGCGTAGTATAAATGCTACGGCGTAGTAAGTTTAACAACTTTCTGTAGAATAATGTAGTTTTTAACAATGCACATTTTAGTGGATCCGGCAAACATATGTTCATCAGACGAAATATTCTGTCACGGCTTGTGCATAAACAGGGACAAAGCCACGACGTGTTCTACCGGGGAAAAAACTAATAAAGGTTAGTGAAATAGAAATATTAAATGCACGGTTAGCCTGGTGCCGCGCAGCGTGTAGCGGGTTCGATTCCGGAACAACTCTTGTGTTATCCACAAATTCCGAAGCAATCGGGTTTGAGTGTCATGTGTATGCGATATTATATATGTTTGTAAACGCACCCACGACACCATAGAAAATCCTAGTGTGTGGCAACATTTTTAAAAAGAAAAAAAAAATTATTGGAAAAATTATTAATAAAGATTATTGATTGCTTGATTTGTAATACTTAATCCAAAATGTTTAAATTGAGATCAAGTTTTGACATTAGTTCTAATATGGCGAAGTTCTCTAGAGCTTCCGAAGATTTTGACTTTATTAATTTCGGCCGATACTCATAATCTTCTGTCCTCCCTCCAGCACTACCTTCGAACAACTGCAGCAGCACAGAATTCCAGTGCACGGACACCTCAATCTGCATCTCTCGGTCGCAGGTCTGTGACCAACACATCGACTGTCCTAACGGATCGGATGAGCAGCTCTTAGAGTGCGACATCTACTCTTGTCATGAAACTGAGTTCATGTGAGTATTGATTGAGACTGTTCAGTTATGCTACATGATGTTATTTTGTGCAGGACTTAAGGTCTTAGGCATTCGCTCTTGAGTCGCGGAGAACCTAACGGGTAACCGGGGGCTCCGGCTCGACGTGCAGGAGAAGGAACGGGGTGTTTTTTAGTCACTAAGAGTCTGACACTCCCTCCCGCCTCACCCAGGCGGGAGCAGTCATTTGATGATTTTCCCCCTTAAAAAAATAAATAAAAAGGCATTCTCTCTTAGTTTATATGTCTTGGGGTTGGGGTGGTACAGGGACAGGATCTAAGTATGACATGGAAACAAAAACGGAAATTCGATCGTAATTTTGACGCTTTTTTGTCCAATAGTCAAAAGACCGAAAATACCGATCCGATACCGCGACCCGCGACGCGGTGACGCGCTGCTACGAGTGAGTCGCCGCGTCGCGGGTCGCGGAATGCTGCTCATGGATATGAGCCCCTAGCATGGCTTGAAACTAGTCGAGTTCCTCGTCAAACATCTACATGAGTACGCCGAAAACATAATATGTTGTATAAATTTAGTATGTCTCACAATGTTTTAATATAAACAAAAATCACATTGTTGACTTACTGTCTATTGTAATGGAACATAATAAGCAAAAAGTGAATATTCTCTTTCTCTTTATTCCAACCTCATTCTCTTAATAATTAATTCATTATAATCGGTAAATTACGATTCAGGTGTGCGTCCGGCTCATGTATAGTGAAAACGTGGACATGTGATGGAGACCGTGACTGTAATGATGGATCTGATGAAATCAACTGCGGTAAGTTTAACATACTAATAGTTAGTAGCAGTTTTTTTATATATATTTGATGGGCCGACGTTTGACCACTATCTCGCCTGGTGGTAAGCGACAATTCGGTCTACGATGGAGCACGTCGTTCCATAAGCAACCTATTCACTCGGGCTTTGAAGACACCCAGGATATCCTTCAGGAAATACAGACTCTACCAAAGAATTCCACTCCTTAGCAGTACGCACAAGGAAGTTTGATGCGAAGCGCTTCGTGCGTGTGGTAATATATAAGTGCTGGTTCGGCTGCTGCCACCAAAAAAGCTTAAGCGAAAAGCTTAATCAGCGCAAGTATGCGGTACCTTGCTGGATGGTGATTATATCTTAGAGCTGTTTGGGGTTGAGACATTTGGACCGTGGAGCCCGAGTGTTTATTTAAAAATATTTCAAAACGCCTGGTCAACGCCTCTCGAGACAAGAAGGCTGGTCTGTTCCTCGGTCTGAAGTTAAGCATTGCCATACAAGGTGGCAATTCTGCCAGCCTTCTGGGTACTTTCCCCATTGACGTAAATGCGGATAAATTCTTCGATGCTCTCTGTAAATAGTTTAATTTTTAGTTTTTTTATTTTCTTTTCTCCATTAGTTTTAATTTAAGTTGTACATATTTATTTATTTCCTTATTCATGTGTACAAACTCCTAATAAATATTTGAATAGTAATGACTAGATTTGCAGGCATTACTGCTAGAGTATAAGCTCAAGAGTGAGCGGCTACCCTAGTACCCTAGGGGTTACCCAGGAACCTTTATAAAAACTATAGGTACCGGTGTCTAAAATATTAACAGAAGCAAGTTAATAAAAAAATAGACTGGTATTTTATCGTGCTCCTCATACTTGCTGCACCAATAAGATTCATATCTCTAAAATAACGAGGGGTGCTTATCAAGATCTTTCATCACGTGTCTTTCCAGTGAACATGACTTGCGGCCTGGGCTTCTACCAGTGCAGAGACAGGGAGTGTGTGGAGTTATCGAAGAGGTGTGACGGACGTCGGGATTGCTCGGATTACTCCGACGAAGAGGACTGTGATGAGCCTCAAATTGTCGAGACGGTAGGAAATCAATTTTGACATTAGAAGTTCGTTTTAGTTTTTTTTTAATACCATGTAGTGCTAATATAAACGCAACTATGAAAAAAATAACATAGATATTGGTCAGATTCATGCGATAGCATTATTATAAAAATGATACTATATTTAATCACTATTTCCACCTTCATACCGCACACTCTTCTTGAGTATCTTTGCAAGTAGTTGGCTATACTATATATTTATATATCTATTCTTTCACACTCATGATTTTTATTAGGGTATACCATTAATTTGTAATATGTTCTTTTCATTTCATCATCCATTTTGTGAACATCGTTTACAGACTGAAGAAGCCCCGAAATGTGCTGCGTGGGAATATACTTGTGAAAAAAATACTAGCATTTGCTTGCCTGAAACCGCTCGGTTAGAAACTGCTCATTGCTGTATTGTGCCGTCTCATTACTAACAATAATTATTAATTAACAAAAATATAGTTGATGTCGTGGTGGCTCGGAGGTCTAAGACCCCCGGTTCCTACGCAAGAGGGTGCGGGTTCGAAACCTATCAAAAGCAAGTACCAATGTGACTTTTTCGAGTTATCTGTACTTTCTACTGGTCACTTATAGGCTGTTGATATAAACAAAAATATTCGTAAACAATCGATCGGTTAACTAATTTATATGGTGATTTAAATAAAAATGGTGATTGGGTAGAGGATTTAACGAATGTCGTGGTGGCCCGGAGGTTTAAGACGCCCACTTCTCATGCATGAGGGTGCGGGTTCGAAACCTACCAACGGCAAGTACCAATGTGACTTTTTCCGAGTTATATGTACTTTCTAAGATTATTTAGACACCACTGACAAACGGTGAAGGAAAACATCGTAAGGAACCCTGGGCTTATAATTTCTAATTATAAGTTGGCTTTGCATAATTTTTAGTTAATCGCCAACCTGCATTGAGCAATCGTGGCGATTAATGCTCAAACGTTTTCCGTGTGAGAAGAGGCCTTTGGTCACTTATAAGCTGTTGATATAAACAAAAATATTCGTAAACATCAATCGGTTAACTAATTTATGTGATGATTTAAATAAAAATGGTGATTGGGTAGGGATTTAAGTAGCACGTTATTATTGTTGACCCCATATCGAAATAGGAACAAGATTTAAAGTACGATAACAGGACAGCATACAACGAGATGTTCATGATGTCATTGAACTGACAATCCTTACTAATATTATAAATCGGAAAGTGAGTTTGTTTGTTGGTTCCACTTTCACGCCGAAACTACTAATCCAATTGCTTTGAATTTTTGCAGACGGAAAGTTAAAAGTCTGGATTAAATAATAATAGGGTAATTTTTATCCCGGAAAATTTTGATATCCGATGGAAAACGGAATTATTGGTATAGATGGCGCTATTTGTATTGGTATATGTCACATAGGCTACTTTTTATCCTTTTGTGACGCGAGCGAAGTCGCGGGTAAAAGCTAGTCAGTCTATAAGCCGATTCGGAGTCGCGGAGAACCTAACGGGTAACCGGGGCTCCGGCTCGACGTGCAGGAGAAGGAACGGGGTGGTTTTTAGTCAGTAAGAGTCTGACACTCCCTTCCGCCTCACCCAGGCGGAAGCAGTCATTCGATGACTTTCCCCCCTTAAAAAAAAAAAAGTCAGTCTATAAAATGTCACAGCGCACTAAACAACACTATCTCTTGTGGTGGTAGATCTATGATGGTGGTGGTTATTTGTGTAAATTAGAATTGGACACTTGCCTACTAGTCAAATTCAATACTTTTTTCGAACTGTCAAAAACGACAATTTTCTATAAATTTTGTACGAGATTGTGTATTGTGACGTCACGTTTTTTTAGCGTCAAACAGCATACTCTTTTCTCTAATATTTGCTGGAAGAATACTAAAATTAAGTTGGTCACTATGTTCATTATTTTTTTATATTTTATTGTATTGGACAGTCGAAATAATTTATTTTTGATTAAGGTAAGGACCCAATTATTTAGTCTCCTATAGGTTCCCAATACTTTGGGAAATTTATGGCTTCTCTGCCAATAAAAAACTGTTGAAGGCAAATCCACTAACGTCGGTCATCGGTGACCCCCATGGCTTTTAACGGGTTAAACGTTCGTAAATATCGTACATTTTCTAACAGACCATTCGCGTAGAGAGGTTCATTAGTCCAGCAATGGATTCAGGATTGTCACAGTCAATGATAATGACTGCACGGTTGGCGCGGTGGCTGAGCAACCGGCTGCCGTGCAACGTGTCGCGAGGTCGATTCCCGCACGGAACAACACTTTGTGTGATCTACAAATTGTTGTTCCAGGCCTGGGTGTCATGTGCATGTGAACTTGTATGTTTGTAAACGCACCCACGACACAGGAGAAAACTCTAGTGTGGGCAATATTGAAAAAAAATGACATTCTTACCTGCCAATGCGGTTTTCTTAGATGCAATATGAAGACGGACTGCCCGGGTGGCACGGACGAGCACGGTTGCGACCACCGCTGCGCCCCGAAGGGAATGTTTGCGTGTGGCCAACAGGTCACTTGTATCACAATGAACAAGGTCTGCAACGGACGACTGGATTGTGATGATGGATCCGATGAGACGCCTGATGCTTGTTCTCAGGGTAAGTATTTATGTTCTGGTAATTTTATCATTTGTAAAAAAATTTGTGAACCTTACGAATGAATGTAAGACTCTAGATTGTTTTGGAAGGGCGGACTGGAAGTGAACACTCACAATTTTTTTCAAAAACCTTTATTTTGGGTTACTCTATTTTATTTAAAACCACTAGGCAAGTGCTTGACTTGGCTGGGGGCACTGCCGTATCTAATATCTTGTGTTGTATATCTTAACCCATAGATCCCCAAGCGGTCACCGGTGACCGCTATCCACTACCTAATAATACTAATGTAGGTACATTATAGACCTTATTTCGAACGCTTAGAGACTACTTTTGTATGAACAAATTTAGGGGATGAATTTATTTTCAACTTTACAGTGGTTATTAAAATAAATATTGGTATATTTTAATGAATTCTTGACTTTGCATTGTTCTCACATATACGTACAGTATTGGAATATGTATCAGAGATATTGTAGAACATATTTTTTTAAAAAGAGTAACGAATGGTCTTTGTCGTTCTTCTCTATTCGAATCTACATTTTGGAATGAGCACCTAGCTTCACCTAGCTTCACTGACGGACTGACTTACAGACTACTATTTATTTTGTAATTGTTGACGTTCAAAAGTACCAAATTATGGTTTAACCCCTCGAGCGTCCTTATGAGCCCCCGGTGGATCATAAGAAAAAATCCTCCATGCTGCTTTCTCTTTTATAAAATCTATTATTGATGTTTTGTTTTTATTTTGGCTATATTTGTTTTATTTCTATTGTTATCCCTGTTTTCGTGTGCCAATGGCCAAATAAATGCATTTTCTTGCATGCATAAGGATAAGTAAATGCATAAGGAATTCGGACGCTCGAGGGGTAATTGAAATAAATGCTTTGATTTTGACTTTGAACTTAAGGAGGGGATAGCTTGAATGATTAACTAGGGACGTATTAATTACATTAGATAACGACAGAGAATGACAGTTTTGTTTGTAATTTCAGTGAACAGGACCTCTCACCTGTTCCCAGTAGCCCGGACATTCACTGAATGTACTGAGGGTTACAGGTGTAACAACGGACAGTGCATCGAGTGGTCACAGTTGTGTGACAAGAAGAGGGACTGCATCGATGGGACAGATGAAAATGGACTCTGCGGTGAGGACATATGGTTCTATTTAATTTTTTTCTTAGTATTTTGCTAGTTTGTTCATGTAATAGGCCAATGATCGTATTTTTATATAATAGGGTAGGGTAGTTAATTTAAAACTTTAGACACGTCATTTTTGTTTTCTCACAAAATTAAATACTTTCGACGATATATTTATTTGAAATATCGTGTGACGTCACAGCGTGCTACATTTTGTAGCACGTTATGACGTAACAACCTCACACTCCTAAACTTAGCGCCATTTTATATAAGTATTGCAACATAATGCGACAAAATAAAAAAATACGTGTCTAAAATTTTTTCATTATCTAACTGATGATGGACTAATAAGATTTTTAATTTTGATACCCTGGAAACTACCCAATTATGTGGCCTTTCTGATCGGTTCAAAAACGCAAAACCTCAAAACAGTGCACACTTAATTATCTCCAAAACATTCCCTTCTTCTTCGTCTTCTTCTTCTTCTAGTCTACTCTAGAGTCTATAAAAAGACTTAACAATGATCGATACTGATCAGGAGATCTTCATCAAACGTTCTTCTTAACATTCTCCTTAGATACTGCATGCGCAAACAGCACCTGTACGTTCATGTGTCAGCCGACCCCATTCGGACGTCGCTGTCTGTGCCCCTTTGGCTTCCAAATTTCCAAGGATCAGTTCTCGTGCGAGGACATCGACGAGTGCACTGAAGATGTCTGCTCCCAAGGGTGTATCAACGTGCCAGGGTCCTTCCTGTGCTGGTGCCATCATGGTTATGCCATCAGGAGGTATGGAGCTTTTCATCATTCATAAGCTAATCTTGAGACATTTATTGTTTATTAGATTTTCGTTTATCTAAACATCACTCCATAGTAGTTAATATCTTTGTCGAAGAACCATAGCTTTTGAAGGTCAGAGGATGGCAAACTAGTAGACGGATCACCAACTGACTGTAAGTAATCGGTACCGCCAAGGCCACCAGCAATACCAGAGGAGTTAAGAGTACTTTGCACACAACGCAAGCATTATTTCAAATTTTTCTGTAAGGCCGTGGTATCACTTCTGTCGAGCCAGCCCATTCGTGAGTCTCCCACGTAAAAACAGCTTTGAGAATTTAACATAACATCACGCCTTTTTATCCCCGAAGGGGTACGCAAAGGTGCACACAGAAGTAACACCCACTTTTCACTATTTATGTTATGAGTCCCATGTAATAGGGGGTGAACCTATTGCCATATACCGGGCACATTTCCAGACTCCGTGCTACTTTGAGATTTTTTTTGAAAACCCAGTAATTCTTTGCCCGACCCGGGAATCGAACCCAAGACCCCTTGCCTGGCAGTCGCACTTGCGACCACTCGGCCAACGAGGCAGTCAAGAGTATTTGAGAATTTGTAGACGAATTAATTTCATCGTCACCTCCTCATCATCAGGACAGACCGTCGCTCCTGCAAGGCGATCCGCGGGAACATGTCTATCTTGTACGTGTCGGGTAACACCGTGCGGTCTATCTCAGCAGACGGGTACGGCGCTGTCGAGTATACCGATACTAATGCCTCGGCCATCACTGATATGGATTATAATGTTAGGTGAGTGAACCTTCCATCTTAGAACTTAAGAGTTACCCGAGCGTACGGCGCGTCGCGTTTCGCGCGCGCCTCAAAGAGCCATCAGACCACCACAGATGCGGCCCAATAGGGCCGATGCCGATTCGGAGTCGCGGAGAACCTAACGGGTAACCGGGGCTCCGACTCGAAGTGCAGCAGAAAGAACGGAGTGGTTTTTAGTCAGTAAGAGTGTGACACTTCCACCCGCCTCACCCAGGCGGGAGGGAGTAAAAATCGCGGGTTACTCACGTGAATATACTGAGAAAAGCTCTACTAGTTTCGAACCACAGAGAGGCTCTTCCTCATGAGCAGCGTGCGCGGTCGCAGCGTTGTCGCGCAGCTTACTGAAACTAGTAGAGCTTTTCTCAGTATTTTCACGTGAGTAACCCGCGATTTGTAGTTAATTAAATTATTATGTTAAATTAGGAAAAGATTTTGATACCAGACGATACCTCCCCTTGATATTTTTTTATTTTTTGTTTATAATTTTTTTATTTTTTTTTTATTATTTTGTTTGTTAATATATATTGCTATTAGATAGTTATGATTCATAACTATACCAAGGGGAGGTATCGTCTCTTATGATCTATATCTAGATCATACTTATGATCTATTCATGGTATGTGTGATTGCAGACAGAAGAAGCTGTACGTGACGTCGGAAGCGGGTGGCAAGTTGTTAGAAGTGAATGAGACGCAGAATGTGATCGCTGTTACGAACGTTGGGAAACCATCGCGGGTAAACCATCTACTTCCATTTGTTCTTTTGCTACTACTGAGATTTTTTTAAAGCCCAATAATACAGTTTCTGCTTCGCACAGCAAAACTGTGGAATGATATGTCGACAGACAGAGGAATTGAAAATTAAAAAAAAAACACCTCACGTAATAGTCCGTCAGTTAGATAATGAAAAAATATTAGACACGTATTTTTTATTACAATACTTAGATAAAATGGCGTTAAGTTTAGGGAGTGGGAGGTCGTTACGTCACAAAGTGCTACAAAATGTCACACGATATTTCAGATTAATATATCGTCGAAAGTATTTAATTTTGTGAGAAATGAAAAAATACGTGTCTAATGTTTTAAATCAATCTACCAGACGGACATAAAAAAAAATTAGGAAACTACCCTATTTATGGACGCCCCCTAACTTGCTGTTCGTAAATAAAGTTACGATACTTTTATTATAAACTCAATTCCTTTCGTGTTAGGTGGCAGTGGACTGGGTGACGGGCAACGTATACTTCGTGGACACGACGCCATTTGACCAGCGCATACGAGTCTGTCATGTCAAGAGGAAGCGTTGCGCTTCCCTGCTGAAACTGCCTTCTGATGCCACGGTATGTTAACTTTGATTATTTAAAAATAAGAATAACTTATTGCTTTCATTAGTATACTTACTGCTTCGGCACGAATGGGCCGGCTCGACCGGAGTTATACCACGGCCGAGCAGAAAACCGACGTGAAGCAACGCTTGCGTTGTGTTTCGTCGTGTGAGTGAGGTTACCGGAGGCCCAACTCCCTCCCCCTTTCCTCAATCTCCCCAATCCCCGAATCCCCAACAATCTTCAAACTCCTAATCCCCAAAAGGCCGGTAACGCACTTGTAACGCTTCTGGTGTTCCAGGTGTCCATGGGCGACGCCGATTGCTTACCATCAGTGATACGTTTGCTCGTTTACGGCATAAGACATAAAAAAAAATGTTTGATTCTACTTATGACTGTTTTCGAGTTATATTTTTTACAAAAATCTTTTTGTCTTGGTCGTCATTAAAATATGCTTAAGATCTATTACTTTACCTACGGAATATAGAATACAATACAATACAATACACGGAATATTGTATTCTATATTCCGTGACTTTACCACAGGTTACATAAACCTAGTTCAAGTAAATAGCGACAAATATTAAAATTAGTCCTATTATTTTTCTGTCCATAGTTTTTGCGAAATAATGTATTATTATTATCTAGTTAATAGTCTAGCATAATTTTACTTTAATATAGTAATTAAAAAAAAAACATATTGTAAGTGGAGTACATTCAAATAAATTATTCTTATTCTAATGACATTATGTAATATTAATCGAATGGAGCCTTTTTAATCGACTTCAATAAAGGTTCAGTTTGATAGGTATGTATGTTTATGCGCTATTATCTCGCGACTGGCTAAATTGATTTTGATGCGGTTTTCGAAATAGTCTTTCTTACACTTAGGAGAAGGTTTTACTATTAACGGACTACAAAAAAAGAGTAGGTTGAAATCGGTTTTTTAAACGTAGTGTATAAACAATTCATTATTTTATATCTTGTACTTCTTATATCTTATACTATTATATAAAACGGAAGAGTTTGTTTCTTTGTTTGTTTGAACGCGCTAATCTCCGTAACTACAAGTCTGATTTGAATAATTCTTTTTGTGTTGGATAGCGCATTTATCGAGGATGGCTATAGGCTATAAAAATCACGCTACGACCAATAGGAGCTGAGCAGAGCGTGTGAAATCGCGCGGTAGTAGCTAGTTATTATTATAACTAGTAATATTACAAAAAACCTTTGTCTACAATACAAAAACCACACAATCACGGTTGGCGCGGTGGCTGGACAACTGGCTGCCGAGCAACGTGTCGCGGGTTCGATTCCCGCACGGAACAACTCTTTGTGTGATCCACAAATTATTGTTCCAGGTCTGGGTGTCATGTGTATGTGAACTTGTATGTTTGTAAACGCACCCACGACACAGGAGAAAATACTAATGCGGGACAAGGTTTTTAAAAAAAAAACTAAATTCTATGTCAATTTAATAACAGCAATACATTACCTTTTACCCAGGTGACAGCGTTGATAGTAGAGCCCAGTTCCAGCCGCATGTTCTACTGCGTCACTCGGAAGCTGGAGTCGGTGATCTGGACAGCGAACCTGGCTGGCAGACACGTGACGGACCTGGCTACTGTACGGAACTGCACCGGCCTGGCCGCAGACTCCTTCAAGAAGAAGCTGTACGTCGCAGAGACGGGCCCAGCGCATATTATTAGGATGGATTATGAGGGAGAGAATTTGTAAGTGGCATTTTTATTTTGAACGTAACATGACAACACGCCTTTTATTTATTTATTTATTTCAATTAAATAGTATAACATTACAGTCATAAAACCAAGGCGTTATACATTTTAAATAATTATAAAAGAAAAAAAAAACAGAACAGTTCTTAAATAAAACAAAACATTAAGAATAAGAAAACTTTATCCCCGAAGGAGTAGGCAGAGGTGCACGTTACGGCACTTAATGCCACCGTACAATGTAACACCAATTTTTCACTATTTATGTTATGAGTCCTATGTAATAGGTGGTAGGTGAGCCCATTGCCATATACCGAGCACAATTCCAGGCTCCGTGCTTCTACTGAGAATTTTTATAAAAATACCCCTTGCCCGACTGCTGGGCACTTGCGACCACTTGGCTACCGAGGCAGTTGTATTTTTATGATAAGAATATGAATTATTATTATGTTTTCGGCTTAGACACGTAATTATTTGCCGAGGAACTCAACTAGTTTCAAACCATACTAGAGGCTCATATTCATGAGCAGCATTCCGCGAAACTAGTTCGAGTTCCTCGTCAAATAATTACGTGAGTAAGCCAAACAACATAATAATTAATTTAGTATATCTCACTAAAGTTATAACATAGATTAGAATATATTCCAGAAGTAGGTAGGAATTGCACATTATCTCGTACAATATCTACTTTTGACCTGAAAACTTAAAAGAGACAAAATACCTTGAAGATTTGCCTTGCCACACCTTATAGGATAGATAGATCGTCCTTTTGCATGTGGTAAGATTCACCCGGAGCCAAGTTACGAACTCTAGCCCAAAAAACATTTTTAAATGCGAGTAATTAAATTAGCAATAACCCGATTATCCATAAAAATGGCGAACATTTTACATGTGCACCATTTTAACGTTTTTTAACGATTTTAACAAATTTCCAGCAACAAAATCCTCTCAGATCACCCACGTCTGCAAGCACCGCATGGACTAGAAATATTCGAAGACTACATCTACTACTTGGAAGCCAACTCCTTCCGCCTCAGCCGCTGCCAGTTATATGGGGCCAAACATTGTGAAACTTATGTGTACCGTGTGTTTGACGCCAACACATTTGTCATACGCCACGAGAGCATCCAACGCGATGACATAGTCAACGAATGTGAAGATGTCGTTTGTGACAACATTTGCGCCGTGGACGAAGATGGGCCCAAATGTTTGTGTGACGATGGAGCCTTGGCCAAGAGTGGGAAGTGTCCTGTGGTTGATAAGAAATTGGTAAGATCTTTTTATCATTATCATCATCATCATCATAATCGGTCCTTTACCGTCTCCTCTGCTGGACGTAGAGATTCTCTGACTGCGCGTCGCTGAGCTCGATCTACAGTTCTTTGCATCCAACTACAGCTAGCCACTTTGGGGATATATATATCTCTAGTCTCTACCTAGTTGTGCTATTTTACAAACTAAAACAATATATCAACTATTGTGCGATTTATACGTAACATCACGCCTTTTACCCCCGAAGGGATAGGCAGAGGTGCACATTACGGCACTTATTGCCACTGTACAATGTAACACCCACTTTTCACTATTTATGTTATGAGTACTATGTAATAGGAATGTTTAGTATTATCTACGGAACATTTCTAATAAAACTATTCGTTTTGGACTAGTAGTACTCTTACTCTCATTATCATCATCTCCCAGGTACCTTTATTCAACGGCTGGTCGTACGGGGAGCTGGCGTCAGCTCACAGCATCTCCTTCACCGTCATCTTGGGAGTACTGACCCTGATTGCCATCTACCTCTGCGTCTTCGTATACTACCATTGCATATACATACCCAGGAAGAGAATGTTAGCTTCTGCTTACACTGAGTGAGTAGAAATGTAACTTTTTAAGCTGTATTGAGTTTATTTGAGTATGAATTATATTTAGTTGAGTTGACTATGAGTTGTATTGAGTCTAAAGGAGAACGGCAGATTTTGTACCGCTTCGCTAAAAAAAGATTTGTCATTAAAAAATTGGGTCATTATAGAACCTCCTAAGTACGTTATGTTAGCATATTTAATAGATTTTTAAAACTTGGGAAACCCTAGAAAAACTGATATTCAATAATGATAAAAAGCAATCCACTATACGTAAAACGAACCGCGATTGACGTTTACAAAGTTGCCATGCGTAAAGATGAAATCAGAGCATATTGAATTTCGCTATTTCATAAACTCATTTATTTTAATATCTATCAATGAAATATTTTCCTTTCCATTTCAAACATTTTTATAAGTAAATATAAAAATCTACATCCAATCTAAATCTACGTTTACATGGATTATTAATGATAATTAACATTTTAACAAACTTGAATATTATGGCAATGTTGAACTGGCATTTGTCTTGATGACATTGACAATTAATTTGTCAATACTGGCGCATTGCTGTTTGTTTCAAATGCGATGTTATGATGTGTTTGTTGAATTTGTAGTTATTTTATTCATCTGGTGATACGTTGAGTTTGGCAACCGTTCCTCCGTAGCCCAAATTGGTATTATTGGAATCATTGTTGTGACAATTGCGAAAAGACACTTATTTATATTGTTTTGTGCAGTGTGTTGTTATTTGTCGCGATGATGAATTTACAGTGTATTAATTGCATTCAGAGTTTGTCGCACATGAGACGGCATGCTCTAGAAAATGAGAGTGAAGATTAGACGTGGTCAACAATATCCCAATGTGGACTTATCCTAGAGATGTAAGTACCTAGTTTACCCATAACATATCGAAAGTCACCATGTTGCCTGAATAAAAGAAGGCGCATAGTGTTATCTACCCATAATGTATCATTTTATTCTTTTTATTCTAGATCTCTCCTACCGACCATATTTGCAATGCTTGCTGGCAATTAGCAATGTATCGGATGTTGCTGAAAGTATGTCCAGCAAACAAATTGGTCACTGGCATGTTTGTGTCGTATATGGGTGATTCATTGCAATGATAAGGTGACGCAGGGTTTTAATTGAAGGCGCCAACAAACAGGAGTAAAGACTGGCTCATATAGTATTTGATTGGATTCAGCCACAAGAGGTAATAAAGCATAATTTAACCATACTATTATCTATATACAGTGTAATCTAAAGTCAATATCATATTCTAATAATATTACTTATTTTAGCTTACTTCCCATGATGAAGATCATGTTCCATACTGACTGAGAGACCGTACAAGAGTCGAAACTATAAAACCACAACCTGACATACCACCTCACAGTGTTCACTATCAGGAAGTAATGTATTATGTAAACATGGACTAAGCCTCACTTTAACATTGCCATTTGTAGAACAGATGAGGCCGGATGATGTTGTTCGGCTCTCAAAGCTTCAACAGGTATGCATTCTCAATATAATGTACCTACATAATTATGTATCTATGTGGAGTATATAAGCGGTTTCTAATAGGTTTATACTCATGTTATAATTATAATTTATTAATTAGCATGCTGTTTGAGCTCCTATGATCTGTGTTATACGAATAACTATAATAAATGTTATAAAATGAAGTAATGTAATCAAATATTTATTTTTATCTTTTCCATTTTAAGATAGGGAATCAGACTTATTATAACATATAAAACTAAAGGAAAAAAGTACTTTTGTTTACTTTATTTACAGTTATCTTACTTGTTTACAGATATCAGCAATTGATGTCTGCTGTACCTATGACACGGCCTGATCTCTTTTTAGATGAAGTACTCCTAGAAACAACCTGAATACAATGAAATAAAAGTATTTCAAAATAATACATTTGTTTTATTTTAACCTAGTAAGTAACTATATATTCCATCTTGATAAAAGTGATTTTAAGAATCAATCTATAAAATAAATGCCATATTTAATTTAGATAGCTTTAGTTTTATACTAAAAATGTTCATTTTCATTTTACATTTTCTTTAGTTGTAATGTGGTGGCCCAGAGGTTTAAGAAGCCCGCTTCTCATGCATGAGAGTGCGGGTTCGAAACCTACCAACGGCAAAGTACCTTTTGTCCAATGTGTCTTTTTTCCGAGTTATTGGTATATTCAATAATCTAAGAAAGTACAAAGACACCGCTGACGAATGGTGAACATGGGCTTATAATTTCTTATTATAAGTTTGAATTACCAACCCACATTGAGCTAGTATGGTGATTAATGCTCAAACCTCCTTGCGAGAAGAGGCTTCGGTCAGCAGTGGCCACTTATAGACTTAATGATGAAAATGTTGATGATTCTACTAATTTGACTTACTTATTAGAAATTAATCCTTACATGCGTGCTAAGCAACCAGTTTTCAGAAGAAATACTTTCTCAAAGAGCTAAGCTAAGTTTAAATCGAATTAACTTGAGACCCTTGAGACCTGCAAGATTCAAGGTGAAGTGAGACATTAGTTTTATCATATCCGCCACAAGACTTCCACTGCTAAATGTAGGCCTTCTACCCAATGACAGTCGCTTACATTATGAATTTGCATTTTCGTAGGCACCTAAGAAATGAAAAAGATTGTGAGGCATACTCTTTAAAACTCTATAGGTGCATCATGCTTGCTGAATTAACAGGATCATTCCTAATTGCCTTTTGCGCTGCGACGCACCATAGGTTATTTTTTGGGTTTCTTGTTGTGTGTCGTAGCAAAATAAATGGTTTTTCTTTCTTTCTTTCTAATAATACAAAGTGTAATAGTCACTGGAGTAGCGAGCAGTATTTTTAGATTTTTGTTTTTTGTAAATAAACAACCACATGAGAGCACATTGACATTTTTCAGTTAACTGTCATCTGTCATTTGTAATAGATATTTTGCTTACGGTGGCTCTACACTTGACGTTGCGTATTTGTTGTGTTCGGCCAAAAAAGAACATGTTTGGAGGATTTATTCTTCTTTGTTTGCTATATATTTGCACGCCATTACATATAGAGATACTATTTGGACGCCATTTGTACGAAGTCTACAAATATTTGGACAAATGAAGCGACTACGCAATGTCAAGTGTGGTACCACCTTAACATACCTTTTGCACATTTTGAAAGTGAAATAACTTTTGAACCCCAAGTTCTAAAAATATGTAATTTTTTTCTAAACTTCATAATAAAAATATCTATCGTTCAGACTATTCACTTGGTTAAAACAATGACTAATACAAAATTTTATAGCGGTACAAAACTTCCATACAAACCTGCCATTCTCCTTTGTTTGTACTCTCTGTTACATGGCCCCAATTGACATTGCGGTTTATACATGATCGCAGTTGACATACTGTAATGAAAAATTTCAACAATTATTTTCAGAGTTCGGTTCCAGAACACTCAAAATACGTCCTATCCTGAATCAGACCCGGTAGTGGAGATGCATCCCTCAAGGTATCTACCTTAGTTAACCAATTTTATAAAAACAATCATTGGACATACCAAAATGGTGGACAAAACTTTTGACATTATTTATTTAAAAATAGAAACAAATGACATATTTATCAAATGGATTTATTTATTTTATTTATGACAATAAATTAGAATTAAATGGAATGTTGTGTATTTCTTTTCTTCCTAAAACCCTTGTTGTTTTGTTTATGATTTAACTAACTGTTTTTATTTCCTCAGTTCGGTTTCCCACGAGTTCATAAACCCTCTTCAGTTCGTAAGAAACATGTGGTATGGGCCCTTTAGGAAAGATAGACGACCAAATGTAAGTTCAAACACCACTTGGTATTAAATGACCATTCGTTAACAGGGTATTCAAGGTCAATTGAAAATTTCTGGTACTCATTATTTGTGTCCAACCGATACTGGATTTTTAGCCAAAACCGAAGCCCAACTTTGGGTCACGATTTGGGGAAGAAGGCACAACGATTTTATAAAGACACTAATAACATAAACCCATTAAAAAGATATCGGCCGAAACTAAATCGGGGTCGAAAATAAGGATTCGGTTTCGGTCCGAAAATCCAGTTCCAGTAGATTCTACATAATAAGTACATTTGAAATTTTCTTTCATCATTTATAACACAATCCAGTCCATTTTAACACAAATAATCTTTATACAGTATAAAGTAAATGTAATTTGTTGCAGAATATCTCCGGTCTACCAGTCACCACGCCCGCGTCCCCGCCGCAACCAGATTTCTCCGATACAGAATCAGACATAGACGATAAAGAGAGCCAGAGAATATTAAAATATCATTAATTTTATTCAATGAGCCTACAACATAATTTTAATTTTTAATCTGTAGCACGTTATTTTTTATTTACTTGATTAATGATCAAGCTAAGAATTATTTTTTAATTATTGTTTTTATTAATTTATTTTTTATGTTTTATTATAATAAGTAAATTATTATGATTATGGTGTAATTAAAATAATATGTATGTGTTTTATATTATGTTAGTATAAAATGTACAAAGTTTAATTTATTTCAATTAAAATAATTTAATGTAATTTTCAATAGTCTAGTCATTTGGTGTCAGTGCCTATAGATTTTAATAATAACATCGTCATCAATAGCTCGTGACAGTTCATTGCTGAACTACGGGCCTTCTCTATATAATAGGAACATGGGTTTGCCATAATCTCTTTTCGAATCTCAACTTTACCCACTTATATACTGGCCAGTTTGGCCAAAAATCTCATAATCCACACCATCTTGAAGTGGAACTACTTTTAATCTCTCTTTTTCATACAAAATGACTGGACTATGGATACTGAAATAATAAAAATATAATCGGTGTTTATTGTTGTTTTTGAATTATTTATTCGATTTATGTTAAGCAGACTTGTAGTTTTAATAAATAGGTGTGCCGCCAAATAAATAATTAATACTTGTTCCAATAAAAGTATCACGTGGAACAGGTTTTGTCATTTTCGCCATCTCATATGACAGTATACGACTCATCCACGCCTTGTAACTTTGCTTACCGCGAAAATGGCTACATTGTGCGCTAACGATTTGCAGTACAAATTGCCATTTTTAATGAAAAAAATAGTTCCGCCCGCGTACGCGCAATCCTGTTTCTCCCGTTCCCGTAGGATTTTCAGGATTTATTTTCTGTCATAAGAACCAAACACAAGAAACAAAATATAGGAATCGATCCAGCAGTTCATGCGTCATGGCGTGACCACGGAATATATGAAATCATTTTTATTATTTAAATAGGTAGATAGATATACAAACATGAAGAAAAGACAACGAGAAGCGTGTTTACGTACCCTTAAAAAACGCGCCTAAAGTTTCCCATACATACATACATAACGGAAGTAGTAAGTCTAGTGTTGTACCATAGACAGTACTAAATACGATCAATCATTTATTTTTATTCATTCTTTTTTTTCGAATTTTTCAACTATTCAATATGCAACAACATTAATTTATGTCTTTAATGCGAATTCATATTATATTTTAATCGTATTCATATTTCGATTATAATAGAGTATATTATATCAAATATAGACTAACGAATGTACGAGACCATTAAGCATTTACCATAGACAACCACTGTGGCGTCTTTCGAGCGGATATTGTTTATGATCGACATTTTCTAAATCTTTAGAAAATTTAGATCTAGGACGTAATTTTTATCAGAATTCCGTCTTATTAGTTGTTATTTTATGCAAACATTAGTGCATTGAGTACGTTTTCTGAAATTGAATCAAATTAACACAAAACTGTGCCGTATAAACGTTATGTATATGCCTATAAGACTAAAGTTTTTTTCGCGACCATTATAGCGGGAAATCTACGTTGTGACGCGCACAAACCGAGATTATTCGTCCCGAGCACTGGCGGAGTGTCGTAACAGCACGGTTATGTGGCCATTTATATTTTGACAGTGGACTCGTGATAAAAATTGTTTTATTTGACAATGTCTGAGGAAATGGCGGTGTCTGATAACACAACTGGGGATGAAGCTACAGTTAGCAACGATGATCAAACAGCGGCACCTGTGGCGGAGCCCGAGGAGGTAGCTACAGGAGAGCCGACCGAGCCTGTTGCTCCTGTTATAGAGGAGCCCCCAGCGATGGAAGAAGGTAAAATATAAACTTTCACATAACCTAAGTGCCAACATCACGACATATTTATTCGTCATTTGGTCAGTTGTTTGTTACTTTTATTCGTTCTAAGCTGCAGTTGCAACCATTGTGTTGCATATTGAGGTCAAATATGTTCACTTTCATTGCTTATTTTAGTTGTTAAAAGTTAGTTTGCTTGTGTTTAACTCATTAGTTATCAGTACACAATAATAGTCAGCATATCTTAGTGTCAATTAGATAGTAATTAACAGATACTAATATGTTTTGTAATGCAGAAGCGAACTCATGTCACTGTAAAACCAAAATCTATGATCGGCTTTGAATCGGTGGCCACAAGTTGGTGACATCATCACAGTACTTGCATACTATGGGTAGTTATGACCTTTAGGATTTACTTGAATTACATGGCTAATTATAACTAATGCAAAGTCTTTACTATATCTGTATCATTTTAGTAACTTTTATACCATTGTGTCTATGTAGAGTATTTATTCTGTTTACAAATGATTGCTATATGTTTGCTTTCACAATCAGCTATGATTTCAAGCATTATTCATTCCGACATTTATTTCAATGTTAATTTAATATATTTCTTTTTTTTTCTTTAGTATTATGACGCCTCTCGCATACTCCTCAAGTCCTAATGACAATTAACTTACTTTCGATCACCACATTAGTAAACATTTGGCTAAATGTTGCATTACTAGTTAATGTTCTAATATTAAAATCTTATTTCCTGGTTTCATGTCATTCCAACTATACTCTGAATTTTAATTCGATTCCAGATTTGACAATTTCAGTGTGGCAACGTTATGACAAGTACTAAATAGTGACGTTGCGAAATTATTCGATATGGAAATGCAATATTTCTGTATCGATTCTTTTCGTTTATAATAATAATAATTTTACTTTCGTGAACTAAGTATATCAGGAAATTAAACATTTCTGAACTGATATTTAGTTTTGACGATTAATTAACGATCTGAGACGTTTTTTTTATAATTGTGTGTGAAATAAATAAAAAAATGTAATCATGAAAGAACATGACAAAAAAAAAACAGATAGATGTATTATGGTAATAAGTTATTTTATAAATTGTCGCCGTCATCGCTATCGCTATCCTGTCACTTTCTGTAACATTTATTATAGAACACACACACTGATTGTTTATCGATTTTTGTGTGCATCACTACACTATTATATGTGGTATCATTATTTCACAAAATGACAGTAGCTATTGTCAAATCTGGAATCTAATTAAAATTCTGACTATAGTTTTGCTTCGATTTTTATTTTGTTTTATTACCACTTTTCCGATAATCCATTTTTTATATGTAATTAGTTTTGCTGGCTTTATTTTTGTTACAATAACAATGGAATGTTGTAGATTTATAATACAGAACCATTGCCATGCTTATTTTTATAACAATTTATTAATAGACATTGATTTATTTAATGGCATGAAATGTGAAATAAGGACTGGCAGTAAAGCTGTCAGAATTAAAAAAAATATAGGTATAACTTTATTTTTCATATTGACTCATATCATGCTGTATAATATTTTTGTTTACTTTTCATTATATAATATGATAGTCAAATAGTAATGTTAAAAATAACGTTAAAAGTTAAATAATAGCCTGTAAAATTAAGAAATATGTGAGCCTTCACGCATGGTATTATATTACAAGATTAATTATAGATGAGGTACAAGTTGTCCATCTATTACATATCTTAGTACAGCGGTTCCCAACCAGTGAGAAAAATGGTCCGAGGAGGACATAAATAATAACTCATAAGACTATACTGTCTAATATATGACTCGGTTGAATGTCAAATTAAACTTGTATCATAGGAGACAACTGAGGGAAGCAACTTATTATAATAATTCAAAAGACACTATTTTTATGAGCAAATGTAATCTTAGTTATATTTTATGGTAAAAGTAATAGTAATAGTGGTCCCTAAGCTAACAACATTGATAATAGTGGTCCTTCACCAGGAAAAGATTGGGTTAGTAGGAATCATCCTACTAAATCCTTTTGAAAAGGTTATTTTTAGACATTGTTCAGTATTTTATAGGCTCGTAACATAATATGCAATTACAAGATATTTAACTGAAATACTGTTTATAGTTATTTATGGTTTTATTAGATTTAGATTAGAATGGTGATATTATTAAAATTCACTATTATGGTATTATTTTCCTTCTTATGCAATTAGGAGGATAACAGGAAATTATGGTGTTTCCAATAATAATATTTCTTATATATCTGCTATTAATACTGTACCTGTTGCCACCTATATTAATTGTTTTTGCTCAATGAACAGTCAAATTATAGTTTTCATGTTTTGTGGGGTTATACTTGAGGTCATTAGTATTTATGCATAATATTTCTAAAATCTTGTAAAATTATTAAAACATCACTGGCAAATCAAAAACAGACTTTAAGAAGTGAGCAATATAATATAATATTGAATAAAAGTAAATACTGTTTACTTGTGATAGAAAGGAGAATATTCAATATTATATTGCTCACTTCTTAAAGTGTGTAAACAGTATTAACTTACGATAGAATGAAGGAGAATATTCAATATTATCATATTGCTCACTTCTTAAAGTCTGTTTTTATTAAATATTACCTATAAATGCTACATGTAACTTCACATTAGTATACCAATATACTTGTTTATACACCAATGCAACTAATTATATAACAATGACACAGACATAAGTCCATGGAGAAACACAATACAAAAACTTACCCACACAATCCATTACAGATGCCCCGGAACCGGACAAGGAACCAAAGATTGAAGAAGAAGAGAAACCAGCGGTTAAAACTGAACCTTTGACCGAGGAGATAGATTTACCGCTGGACACATTTCATACTGATGTAGACCTCAAGAAGGAGGAACTGGAGGATGTGAAAGATGAATTTGAAACCTTTGAGCATAATATTGAGGAGGACATCAAGCGGGGGATCAAACGGAGAGCCTCGTCAGCTTTCAGTGACACTGGTGATGAAGACTTCAAAGGCTTTGATGATATCAAAATCGAAATCAAGACTGAGGACTATAGTAGAGTTTTGGGTGAGTATGAAAATAATACAAAAAAAAATATTGTTACTTGATTATTGTTAAATTTCAAAATAAACTGGCAAGACCAGTTTAATTTCTTTTGTCACAAGAAAATGACATACAACTTGTTAGAAAAACATAATATCTAATTTGAACTACATTGAACAATGTTTAATATTCAGAACGGCTGGAAGCGGAGGTGACAGAAGCGAGCAAGGATCTGGTGCCTATAAGGACTGTGATGGCCGCGCCTGGCAGAGCCTCCAAGCGTCCACGCAAGGATACTGGTTAGTAGTCGTTTGTAGTGCTTGGCTGGAGCTTTTTATTAAGCTTCTTCTCATATTTTTAAAGTTAAAATGAAAACCAGATAAAGTAAAAATTTTATTCAAATAAGACAATCTCACCATTTGTCTTTAAGGGTCTATGCAAGAGTACGTACTCAAAATAAATGCTACCTTCTATTCGCTAATTATGTTCTAAACTCATTAAAATCGCTTTTTAGTCTCGCATTTGTAGCTTCAGATATGCAATGAATGCCTTGAAAGTATGTAATTACATGATGTCTAAACAATGTCGCAACTCCTTCAAATCTTGGCTAATTGCTTTGTGGTTTCAAAATAATGTTATTATTTTAATCTCAATTTGTTCACGTCATTAAAAAATTCAATTATATTGTAGGTATTAGGTTCAAACAGGTTAGATAAATAATAATTGAAATAAAATGAATTTGAAATTGGTTAGAAAAATTAATAATCATTAGTAGTACATATGTAATTAATATTGAGTCTAGTTTAGTAAGTTAAGCCATGAAGTAACATAGGAATAAATTTTATTAAATTATGATTAAGTAGTTAGAATCAGTTCGATTATTACAAAAAATATGGAAACTTTAAAACTTTTGATAGTGTAATCTAACACTGCTACATTCTACATTTGTGCGAGCCTTTTATAACTCCCGTAAGAATGAATAAATAATAACATGTATGAATTGCAGCAATTGGCGGTCCATAGTCTTTGTCCGGTCCATAACCATAATAACATAATGTTATGTATGTAAATTATAACATAACTGGCAAACTGTATGAACTGTTACACTTTTATTATGTCTACTTCTTCGAAGATTAAGAGAAAGAAAGAAAGAAAAGCTAACTATTTCAGATTACAAATAAACCAAATATTTCCTATTACAGATGGATCCAGACCCTCATCAGCGCTATCTTCAAGATCTGACGAGGGAGGTACCACTGATGTGAGTACTCCCACTTTACATTACATTGCTTTTACTAACACTCACAAAGTCCTCTTATTGAATTTGACCCTCTTTTATTCAAGGATATCTTATCTACTATGTTTCTTTTATGAAACATTTATATTATATTACCTATTTAATGATATTGTAGAATTCATGTTCTATGTGTCAGTTAACACTTTGACTGCTTTAACTGCAAAGTTTAAAATGGTAAAAGTAACTCCACTACCGCTCTAAGGGTTAAGAACATTATTACTAACTGCGTTATGGTCATAGCTGTTTTCACCAACCACTCCTAAATCATTTCTTAACTAAGAGTCACTTAGCGAGAGAGAGCACCTAGACTGTCCCCTTACTTATACTGTTAGGTCTCACTTATAAGTTAGTGAAATCCAAAATGTTGTTAAGTGTTACCAGTTCCTTATAATTTAAGTGAGTTTGGTGAAAACGGGCATTCAGTCTCATTAATTTGTGGCCACTAAAGAAAGAATTTTAACAAATCTAACAAAATACCTAAATTCTTTCCATGGTAGACAAATCGGACAAAATTGAGAAGTGGAGCAATTTCTAAGACTATTACTAAATTACTAAATTGAATGTCTGAATGTATACATACTACCAATATATATTAAGTTAAATGGTATAATGTTTGTCTATGAATGAAAATAATCAATGTTCCAAAACAAGTTTCAAAAGAGGGTCTATTCATTCAGAGGACACAACACTTTAGAAGTGCCTACATCTTTGCTCGATTTTGTTGATTAATTAGCTCACTAGACGGCGCTACTGCTGATAACAATCCGCTAAGTCTTATTGACAACTAAAAATTAGTTTAACTGAGTTTAGTTTCGTAGTATTTAGTTTACTAACACATAAAACTCATAGGCAAATAAATGTCATGCATTTCATGCTAAGAAATTGTACAAGACTAGCCAAATCATTCATACATTATATTTTCATTAGGCGCTATTGCCATCATTCCCATTTCATGGATAAAACACAATTCTTCAGACCAAAAATGCTTCCACTATTATACGTTCTTTGGCCTCTATTCAAATTGTTCTGCCAACAGTTAATTTAGCTTCTTTTTTACAAGTTTAGCCATCGACAAACACCGAGCAAATCTTGTAGGCACTTTATGGTTTACTAACACTTTAAACATATTCTTTTTTATCTAGCCAGCATTCAAAATTGAGGTTCAAATCAAACGAAGAAAGGTTAGGACTGATATTTCTTATTTGCATGATCGTAGCTGGGACATGGAGTATACTTTTCTAATAAATTATAATATTATTGATAAAGTGTCTATGCACAATGCTTCGAAAAGATTTTCATATCTCATAAGCTATCGCATCTGAATGCTAGAATTATTATTTTTGGCTTTATCTCAACTAGGTTGGGATCGGCAGTCATTAATTCAGATTCGGATCAATGTCAAAATTTTGTTTTAGACCGCCTGGCAAATGCTCTCAATCAACTAAGGGAATGTTTTGGTAGACAATTTTTATAAAAAATTGTGGATTTTTGAGCCACTACTGCCTAGTACATATTTAGCAGCCTTTAAACTATTTGACATCTACCTTCATATAGCAACTAGCCTATTTTTTCAGGAGTAAGGTGATGGAACGAAAATTTCAATTTTTTTAGTATGTTACTCTAGGTTTAAGTCCAGTGTGATACATACAATGTTGTAGAATTAGTATTAGCTCTATGTCTAAAACTGCTATGGTTAAATAAGAACTGATTTGAGTAGTTTTTATTATAATGCATGAATTGTTTAGACTTGATGGGTGTCATGGTTGCATGTTACTTAATCTTAAGTAATATGTTAACAGTCGTAACTTAAAGGATTTTTTGACTGCCTCGTTGACCGAGTGGTTGCAAGTGCGACTGCCGGGCAAGGGGCCTCGGGTTCGATTCCCGGGTCGGGCAAAGTATTACTGGGTTTTTAAAAAAATTCTCAGTAGTAGCACGGAGTCTGGAATTGTGCCCGGTATATGGCAATAGGCTCACCCCCTATTACATGGTGCGTGATGTTATGTTTTTTGTGTTATGTTGAAAAATCGGCCAATCGGAAATAATTCTTAACTGTATCCTTATCCTTACTTCCTTACTCCTTACTAATATTATAAATCTGAAAGTGAGTTTGTTTGTTTGTTCCACCTTCACGCCGTAACTACTCAACCGATTGCTTTGAATTTTTGCAGACGTAAAGTTAGAAGTCCGGATTAAATAATAGGGTTAAATAATACTTTTTAACCCGGAAAAAATTGATATTCCCGAGGAAAAACAAAAGTATTGGTATAGATGGCGCTGTATGTATTGGTATATGTCACATAGGCTACTTTTTATTCTTTTGTGACGCAAGCGAAGCCGTGGGTAAAAGCTAGTATAGAATAAAATTGACTAGTGATAGATTTTAGTATGGAAGAATTGTCAAATATTCAAACTTATGCCTCAAATAAAATTTAGCTGGCGTTGGCAACATCGACTCTTAAGGTCAACAATACGAAATATTCTTCAATTACTTCCCGACGATTAACATCATTTTCCCAAATTCAGGTTAGCGCGGCATCATCGCCTGCGCACCGTGGCGGTCGCCGCTCCACCATTGAGATGTCGTCACCCCTACTCCGAGTGCCTCTCGAACGCGGGTGGAAGCGCGAGCTCGTGTACAGAGCCGCGTTGGATGCGCACTCGAGACGGAATGCTGACATCTATTACTATACACCTTATGGAAAGAAGTTGCGGTCGACTAGAGAGGTAATATATCATATTGTAATAATATTTTTTACATTTCTATAGTGGCTGACGCCCGAATACTGAAAGGCTACGCAATTTTAACTTGTAATTAAATATCTCCCTCGTTGGTCGAGTTGTCGCAAGTGCGACTACCGGTCAATGAGTCTCGGGTTCGATTCCCGGGTCGGGCAAAGTATTACGGAGTTTTTAAAAAATTCTCAGTAGTAGCACGAAGTCTGGAATTGTGCCCGGTATATGGCAATATTTAGACTCACCCCCTATTACATGGGACTCAGAAAATAAATAGTGAAAAGTGGGTGTTACATTGTACAGTGGCATAATGTGCCTGCCAACCCCTTCGGGGGTAAAAGGCGTGATGTTATGTTACTTAAATATCGTGCCATCTCTGTCATTTTATAAAGAATTAGTAGTGACGGAACTATACTTAAGGACAACTTAAGTTTGAGTATTTCGACAAAAGTATAGTTGTGCTATGAGTCCCATGTTACAAGTCGCTGGTTAAATTCCATTTATCTTATACTACCTTCTACCAGCGGCTTTGCCCGCGTTTCCGGGACAAAAGTAGCCTATGTGTTATTCCAGACCATAATCTGCCTCTGTATCAAATTTCATCCCGGTCCCTTCAGCCGTTTTAAAGTGATTTGAGTAACAAACATACACACAATCTCGGAAACTTTTTATAATATTATTAATATGTAACACATAAAAGTAAAAATATATAAAAAATAAATATAAAAATGAAAATATATAACAAATGTATTTATAATTGACAGGTAGCCGAACACTTAGCTGGTACTGGCCTCACAGTAGAGAACTTCTCCTTCTTCAAAGAACCTCTTGGCGTTGATGATCCCGAAAAGGAAATTATCAGGTAAATTCTTTATAAAAGTATTAAATATTATATATGTATGTGTGTATGTGTAAAATAGTGGAGTATCTGGGGCATTAAAACGTTAACACTTCGGATTTCTCAGGGACAGAAAACAATTAAATGGTTTTTTCAGAAATGTTAACAATAATCTCTACCTATTTAAACAATGGGATATTACATTAATAGCGTACAGATATACATCTTCATGACCAATTTCCTCTCAGTTGATAACTTGTAAAATGTTTGAGGGAGTTGTAATGTAAAGTATTATGGACGTTAGCTGCGGCGCAGGTAGCGAGTTGAGCAGTAGCAGCCGCCCAAACAAATGATAATTTTTTCAGTGATTTCCTCTCGAGATAAAATTTGTCAGCTGATAGTTTATGCATTACTGTTGATAAATAAAAAGTCAACTGGCTTTAGCTGGGTGGAAACTCGTCAGCTGATATTCTAAAGGTGCAACGTAAAAGGCGGTCGGAAACATAAAATAATCAATGCAAATGTATCTGCTGAGAGAATCTGTCTTAACAAAAGCTAACTATGTTATGTTATCTATCAGCTCATCCACATAAAAGGATAACCACTAGGCGCAAATACTCGAATACCTTTATGAATAAATAGTGGTAACAGAACCAATTTAGAAGTATATTCCACCAAACAAAAAAGGAACACGCAAATCGACACAAATGTTTCAGTAACTGCTGTAAATCGTTGATGAATTACCTAGATTGTCTTAGTACTTAGACCGTAGTGCTTATCAATACAATTTCAAGTTCAAAGACAAGATAATTATTGTACAGCAATGAAGAATTTCTTCTATGTATTTATAATACAGTAATAAGTAATATAATTCAACTATATTTAGGAAAGCAATTATTTCTAGGCAACATGAAGACGGCTTAAATTCAAACGCGGAGCCAAATGGAACCACGGGTCCCAAAAATGATTCACTGGCCAAGGATACGCCAAGATGGTTTAACAAGATAATTATTATAAACCCACGGGCCATCGATAATACGGACTTTGCTGCCAAAGCCGATACAATGCCTGAAAACGTTGAAGATAAAAAGATTAACGTTTGCTTTTTTTGCAACAAAAGCAGAAAAAAAAATAAAGGTCGTGATGAAAAACTATCGGTTTTCACAGAAAATGGACTGAATTCAATTAAAAACTTGGCGATCGAGAGCAACGATTACGGCATGATCCAAAAATGTCAGGACTTACAATCAGATCGGAATTGTTGTTTTCATAAATTTTGTAAACTTGATTATACTACTTCGCGAAAGTCCATAATATTAAAGCTCGGACAGAAACCAACTGAATGGCATGTCATAAGAGATATCCGTGCTACAGCGTACAGTGCTGTCGAACAGTTCGTCGCTGAACATATTGTCAGACAAGGGCAAGTTGTCTACTTGAAGTTTTTAAATGAAATTTTCAGTGAACACTTGAGGAACAATCAACAAGATATTTTAGACTACAGTTATAAATCGTATCATTTGAAAGAGCGACTACTTAAAAAGTTTTCAAAGAAAATTAATATTATAAAATTCAAAGGTAAAACTGTTGTTAAACCGTACCGACGAGGTTTTTTTTTTTTTTTTTTTTTTTTTTAAGGGGGGAAAATCATCGAATGACTGCTCCCGCCTGGGTGAGGCGGAAGGGAGTGTCAGACTCTTACTGACTAAAAACCACCCCGTTCCTTCTCCTGCACGTCGAGCCGGAGCCCCGGTTACCCGTTAGGTTCTCCGCGACTCCGAATCGGCATCGGCCCTATTGGGCCCCATCTGTGGTGGTCTGATGGCTCTTTGAGGCGCGCGCGGAACGCGACGCGCCGTACGCTCGGGTCTGTTTCTGGTCGGACGGGGAGCCACCCATGCTCGCCGTCCGCAGGCCCGCGCTTACGGTGGCCGGAGATCGTCCCGCGATCCCCGACGCCCGGTGTGTCCTTCGCGATGGCTGGGTTGCGAGGAGGCAGCGCTTCGCTGCCTCGCGCGTCCCGCCTCCTCCTTAGCCAGCATGACTGCTTCGCAAAAGGAGGAGACGGCATCCCAGTCCCCCTCGCTCCGCATCATGGCCTGAACTAGGCCCGGACGCGAGAGGTCTCCATCGCCGATCACTTCCCTGAGGGCACGGCGGTGCTCAGCCCACGCAGGGCATTCCGCAACAGTGTGTTCCACCGTGTCCTCAGGGCGGTCCTCGCAGTGATGACACCCGGGCGTTTCCTCCCGCCCCATCAGACACAGGTACCTCCCGAAACTTCCATGTCCGGTGAGGACCTGCGTCAGGCGGTAGGTGAGGACGCCGTAGCGTCTCTCAAGCCACTCCTCAAAGAGGGGACTTACCGCTGCAATGGCAGCGAGCCCAGCCCTCGGTTGCGACAGTCGTTGCTGCCATTCCGCCATGAGATCGCGCCGGAGCTCATCCCGCCACGCACTTATCTGGCGCGGCAGCGGAGTTTCACCCCGGCGACACCGACGAGGTTACGTTATCGATTAACGGTGAATGTGAAATTTCTGCAACACTAATATTTTTTTAAGTAATTTGCGGTGACAATTGTCGACCTAGGTGAAACAAATGTATATTTAATTTACGCTGTACGCTGTTCTTAAAATGGTAAAATAAAACTTAGAGATTAATTATAAATATTGTTTTGAAATTTTATTTTTGCTTAATTGGAAATGGTCGTAATTGATGATGCTGATAAACCTAGAAAGTGTTTTGACTCATGCTTTAAACTTTAAAGCAAATAATTAAATATAAATTAAAGCAGTTTTCTGGAAACCAATTCCCAGTATCAGTTGATAAAATAATAAATATTAAAGTTGAAGAATTAAACCCATTAGTTTGACTAACATGTAAATTCTTTCATCCCCTGAGAAATGCGAAGTTAAAACCCCCAGGCACTCCACGAGTAAGTATCCCTAGCAAAATTTTATTAGAACTTTTAAAATATTTTTATTGGAAATGGTGTTCAATCTTATCATTATAATCACGTAATATAACATCACGCTTTTTATCCCCGAAGTGATAGGCAAAGGTGCACATTACGGCACTTAATGCCACTGTTCAATGTAATACTCACTTTCCACTATTTATGTTATGAGTCCCATGTAATAGGAGGTGAGCCTATTGTCATATTATGCTGGGCACATTTACAGACTCAGTGCTACTATTATAAAATTCCAGTAATACTTTGTCCGACCCGGGAATCGAACTCGGCCAACGAGGCAGTCTCATTAAAATCACTTTCATAAATATCTTCTGTAATCCTGGAACAAGCACAAATAATCTTAATTAACACCCATTTCTCAATATTGGTCTCAACCTTCAACATAATTTTTAAACTACAACTTATCATGGCATTCAAGACTGCAAGGTTGGCGCAGTGGCTGGGCGACCAGCTACTGTACAATGTGTCGTCGGTCCGATTTCCGCGCGGAACAATTGTCCAGTTGAAAACGATTTTACGTTTGACGTGTATGAAAATTGTATGCTTGTAAACGCGCCCACGACACAGTAATAAATCCCAGTGTGGGTCAAAGTTTTATAAAAAAGAAATCTATCACATGATCATCTTAAAAAACGAAAATACACATTCATTAAATAAATATATATCTTTTACAGAGATGCCAAACTGATTCGTCGCGTGGACTCGCCAATAGCGGCCACGGTACCCCCAGCACAGGTTGAAGGCAAGAGGACCCCCAAACCGAAGCCCCCTAAGGGAGCCAGTCCTGAACCTGTCACCCCTGCTGCCACCGCCGCCACTACTGCTACTACTGCTGCCGCTGCTGCAAATAAATCTCCTCCAGCTAAGCTTAAGGTAAACGATCCTAATATTATTTCTAAAAGACAGAAAAGAGAATCCTTAATTAATATTAAAGCCCTTTATTCTGAAGTTTTACATAAAGAGTTGTTACAAAAAGGTTACAATATATCTCTTAATTCAGTGTGCCTTTTGGCAAAGGTCTCCTCTAGCTGTCTCCATTGAATTCTGTCGCGGGCTACTCTTCTCCAGTTGGGTCCCGCTGTTAGCCTTAGTTCGTCTTCCCATCGTTTTAACTGCTTTCCTCTGCTTGGTTTACCGTCTGTTGGATATGATACTCAGCAGTGGCGTGCAGTCCATATAGGCAAATAGGCTTTGCTTGACATAAAATGTACTAACGCGTTTATTAAGATTCAATAATATAATAAAAGTTTGTAAAAAAACGGCTAACATAAATATACATTCACATATACTATACACGGACCGCACGCCTTTGTAAAGCAATGAATGCGCGCCGCACGCACCACGCATGCGCTGCTATTCCTTAAATCTTGGTTGGTGGTTGTGACGTCACAAAAAGTATGCAACGCGCATGCGTGAAGGTCACGTGACTATGGTCACAGCACAGAATAACCATTCATAAACGCAAAAAATTATTACACGATTCAATCTAGCCGGACTTGATGAAATTTGTGAATCTGCGCCATCTATTGAATTTTTTGTTAAAACTTCTGAACGCGTTCGGTATAATGGGAATGTCTTTTTATAATTATGCATACTAAAAAAATATGTTTCAGGTGTTTTAATTAAATCTTAACATTTTTACGCGTTGTCGCTTTATAGAAACTTTAAACGAGGAGTTGACTTTATTATTTTAAAAGTTAAAAGGAAGTTATCGAAACGTCAAGTTGCCGCTACTCAAAGTTTCAAATTATTATCAACGAATGTTTCTTATTGGAAAATAATAATAAGACAATGATGCAATTCCATTTGACTTATGTAAATTAACGTTTTGTTTTTTTTTATAATTAAACACTGTGTTGCCTTAATGTTTTAGCTATAATTTTTTTATAATAAACACTCAGTTGACGATGGGTAATGACTTTCCAATGTTTTCGGCCATATTGTTTTCATGTGATGTGCGATCGCTTTGTTTATGTTTTCGTTTAAATTATAAGGAATTAGTTTTAAACATAAAGTTGCATAAATATGTGTAGAAGTAGTAAAATATATGTGTCGGTTTTTCAAATAGTGTATTTGTTTATCAGTGTCTAGTATATTATTCGATTGTGAAGTTTGTGTTGATAATAGGTAATTTTTTGTGTTTGTTTAAAGTTAAAAACAGTAAGTTTTCGCAAAAATGTGTCCTATAACGACTAGATTCAGGTAATGACCATAGGCAGAACTCAAGTTACGAGAATTGACCCAAGTCAAAGGTAGGTAATGTAAATATGTAGGTACTATAATGGATCTTTTATATGATGTTCTTGTTTATTGATTGATAATTCTTAAAAATATCAACTTATACCTCGGGTTGTTTTGATTTAAACATATTAATTTATTATTAATAATTATGTAATGTAGTAACAAATGTACCGCTTATACTCGTCTCGGCCACAGCCGGCCGCGCTTGTTGTTGATTTGTTTGTTGGTAGGTACCTACGTTCTTAAATTCGTAATTATGATTTTGAATAGATTATTTAGCAATTTGATAATTGAATTTGGTTCATCAAATTTATGATTTATTATTAGTATTATAAATAGATGCTTCATTATTTGTAAGTTTTGTTGGCTTATTCGATAGCTGATGTAGTACTTTACAAAAAATACGCGAGATGTCAGTGTATGTAATTTGGCGAAAGAATAAACCACAATATTCTTGAACGCACTTTTCAACAAAATGTATTCTATACATGTACCTGTCTTGTAGGAGTATGATTGTATGACCGGGGGGGAGGGCTTTAATCATACGATATTTAGTTGCCTACCCTGTCTCGAAAATCTGTGCACGCCACTGATACTCAGTTACTATCTTGCACCATTTTTCCCTGTTTTCTCTCATCTTATGACCGGTCCAACGCCATTTTTGCTAATCCTTAATTAATGAATTAATTACTTTATATCCTGATATTTTTATAACAAGTTTAATAAAAGCGTGAATTCCACATAGGTTTAAGCTTTTATTGAATACTTGGTCCAATATAGGTACTTTGTAAGGTGTTCATTAATATAACTGGACAATCGTCTAAACTGCTCAATATTTTTATCTGACCAGACAATCAACGAAAATGGCTATATTATTTGGCGACTTCCAAAAGTTGCAATAACACCTCTTATAAAAGAATTCTCTACCAACTTTATTGCTAAATTAGCTGAGACCGCAAAATCGTCCACATTATTTTGTCTAAAATAAAAGTAGCCTTAGTACATCATGCAGCTACCTGCTAATAAATTGCCATTCCAGAGATTAACCAATATGTAGACAAACAAACAGATAGACAGAAATTCTAACCCATATACCCCCAAACGGTCACCGGTGACCACTTTCCACTAACTACATTATAAACCTTATTATCAATGCTTAGAGACTACTTTTGTATGAACAAAGTTAGGGGGTGATTTTCGAAAAATTTCAACCCTCTAAAAAATGTTATTTTGGTATGTGTATCGTATGAATATTCATATGCAAATAACGGTTATTTTAATATTACAAACATACTCAAATTTTATTTATCTGTATGGAAAACAAAAGATAATAAAACCCAATTTCCCTTTCCCAGGTGAAATCAATGGGCTCCCGGCTCAGCAACAATGCAGCTCCTGCGGCACCAACCCCACCAGCGAAGCAACAGAAAAAACCGCAACCAGCCGAGCAAAAACCGCAACCGGCGCAACAACCAGCAACAACACCGAGCAACACTGACAACAACAACTCTGCTGCCTGGAAGAAACCGAGGTATTTGATGTATTATTATTATTTGTTTAAACATTCTCTGTGGTGATGTAAACAAAATTAATTACTTGAGAGTTTGATTTGATAGTCGAGGAGTTTTATAACGTAGCACGGAAACGCTACTCAATTTTAAGTTGTACTTAAATATCGTGCCATCTCTGTCATTTTACAAAGCATTTGTAGTGACATAACTATACTTAAGCGCAACTTAAAATTTAGAGGCGTTGGAGTATTTGGACATAAGTCTTGTTCAAGAACTTTACATTGAAAGAAGATTAAATTATGTTGAGTCATATGAACACATAGACTTGATACTTAATTTTTTATAAATATACATTACGTTTCGTAAATTAAGACTATGATGTTTCGTTATTATTATCATAATAATTAAATTATTATGTTTTCGGCTTACTCACGTAGTTATTTGACGAGAGACTAGACTAGTTTCAAGCCATGCTAGAGGCTCATATACATGAGCAGCATTTCGCGAACTGCGACGCGGCGACTGTCGCGCTGCTACGAAAGCGAAGCCGAAAACATAATAATTTATTTAGAATGTCTCACAGAAAGTTATAAAACAAATCATAATAATTATTTGTATTCGATTAAAAATATTCAATAATTAAATATTTTGCATCTCCGTGCAAATAAATGGTTTAACGTTGTCGTTTTACGAAGAATAGATATCTTTATACAGCGCATTATTAAACAGTTCTGTCTCTTCTCTAATTACTTTTGTTTACATTACGTTTCCTAACCAAAACTAGTATATAAGCGGGTTCAAATAACGTCGTTCCGATACGGTTAAAAGAAAAACACGTTTGATACATTCCTTTACAAATAAATTAGGATAGTTACACATTATTATTTATGTTATGTACACGTCTTTATGTTATTTTGTAATAATCAATTTGATTACTGATTCTGTGATCAGTTTTCAATTTTACTGTGTTATTTTGTGTGTTTATTAATGTTATATAATCCAGGCTGTCTTAACGTAAATTATTTTTTATTCCTTATATTACAAACAGCTAGTCTTAATAACTTACTTTTTGTAGACTTGGGTTCTAAAGATAGAATTTTAACATTAATTTCTAAAATAAATTATCAAAATTCTATCTTTATTAGTCAAATCTATTGACAGATAGGTTGTTTAGACTGGCTATTAGTGAATAGGGTAATTCTACAAACAAAATTGCTAGTTTGATCATTGCAAAATACATTTTATCGTGATTTAGATAGAGTTTATTTTGCAATAAACGACATTAAAGTAGAGATTATTCGAGTGGTTGTATGGTGAGCGTGGATTATATAACGGTACCGTGTTGTCCGGGGGCTGAGTGTACAATGAGCCCCCGCGCGGTACTGAGCCGACGCGAGTGTAGTGCGGTCGTGGCCAGGCCGCAGCCCGCGCCGCCGCCGCCGCCGCGCGCCGCGCCCTCGCCGCCGGACCCGCCCGCCACCGTGAGTATTGTATCATTCCATTATACCGACCTAAAATTAGATTGAGTAGTACATAAAGTAAATATTGAGTTTTTAATGAGACGATGTGCTCCAGACCGCGTAGACCGCATCATCGCTTACCACCAGGCGAGATTGTGGCCAAACGTCGGCCCATCAAAGTTTTATTGTTATGCGAAAGTTTGTTATTAGTCCCAGACAAGCTTTCGCCTTCGCCGGAATACTCATATTCTTTCACTTCTTTACAATATACTTTTTAATCCCACTACCCCTACCTATCTAAAAGAACGTTTTACGTACCTTGGCGATACACATTCGAAGTTTTGAGATCATCGGAGAGTCTGAAATTGAGTATTTGTTTGCATTCCACTTCCTTTTTAGACAAGTCCTTTACAGTGCAAGCAGCTCGGTTGTGGAATGCTTTACCGATTGCAGCGAGGCGAGCTCAATCCATATCGCAATTTAAAAAACTTGTTAAAGAGCATTTCCTCTCTTTATAATTTTATATCCTATCTTAACCACACACACACATACACACACATACACACACATGCACAAATACACACCATTATGTAATTTATGTATCATATTGTATATTGTATATTGTATAGGTATTATTTTATTTTTATTTATTTTATTTATTTTTTTTTTTGAGTTGTAGTTGTATTTTTGTATTCTGTGTATAGTACTTTATAAAGTTATTAGTTATTGTACACTTGACGACCCATATCAGACTCCTATTACTGCTCCATCCAAAGGTTGTCTGTAAGAAATCGCCTTGTGCGATAAGACCGCCCATTGTACACTATTTTTGTTAATATTTATCCTATAATGTGATTGTGTGGTGTACAATAAAGCATATTATTATTATTATTATTAATTATTTTGAGGCAACCTGTCCCAAAAACTAGTAACAGAGACTAATTTGTTACTCAAATTTAAAGTAGTTAAATCAAATTTATACTCCAAGCCAAGAACATTCATGACTGATTTGATACTGAGGCTTTTTATCTATTTAAATTGCATGAACTCCATTAAAATGCTGGCAAAAGCGCTTAAAAAGAGTAGTTAGTAAATTATGTAGTTAGAATTTTTTTCTTTATAAGTAAGGCTCACTGGTTCGGCAACTCACTAAAGAAATAGATGAATTATTTTGAAAATTAAACTGCTGGATGCAGGTTACTTCTAACTGGCCTGTATAAAAGACTTAGTTATAGCCTATGTTCAGCAATGGACATCTTATAATTGATGTGATGATGGTTATAGTACACTAACACAATTTTCTATTAAAACATTCTTAATCTAGAATATTTTAGAGAATTAAAGCAATATCGGCTGTTAAAATTTACCTCATTGAAATGTTTCAAAATAGCCAATTTTTAAGGATTAATTGAAACAAATACCTTAATTTTGACTTTGGTTCTTAGTGAGTTGCCATGCCAGTATAGCCCCAAGTTCCGTAGTAACCAGCTATGTCCAGGTGGCCCCGCGCGTGGAGCCGGGCCGGCTGGTGCAGCCGTGCAGCATGTCGTGCGGGCGCGGCGCGGTGCCGTCGCTGGCCTGCGCGGCCTGTCTGTGTCTGTACCACCCTGTATGCGTCGGGTACACGCATGCATTGCCGCCTGACCCGTTCTTGTGCAAGGTCAGTCACTTTAATGTATCCATCTTTTATACTGGTTGTCGTAATGTCGATTTACAAACTTAAATAACAATAATAAATTCAAATGCTAATTATGTATCTGTTTTGGCAGAACTGTCGCAAATCAACTTCGCCGCCACCTCGGCCGGACCCGCCCCCACTAACCCACAAGTCTGGTATAACAACAACTAGTATACCGATACCCGTGCCGGTGCCTGTGCCCGTGCCTGTGCCTGTACTCGCGCCAGTACCCAGACGTGTGCCTGTTCCTGTGCCCATACCCGTACCCGCTAAGGTGCCCAGGGATAAACGGGTGTTATTGAGGATGAAGGTAAATTAAGTTTTATTTTTATAGTATTTAGGATAAAGTAAATTAATTAGTGCAGTTTGTGCGCGGTTTGTATGATTTTTACTAAGATTGTTATGTCAAAACTCCAAAACAAAAAAGGAACCATGAAAAACCTTTCATTTATTTACTGCATTAGGGTTCAAACGCCAAAAAGATTTTTTGATTGGAACTTGTAGCTCCAAAGATTACAACGTTGAAACTTTTTAGCTTTATAATACCAGTTTATTACATAGAAAATTTACACTTCAGTTAAAATAATAATATTCGTCCCTTATGTTAGGTGGCAGGCGGCACTCCAGACGGAGAACGAGTATGGGCAGTAGCAGGCGCGGGCCCCGGGCCGGTGCAGGCGGCGGCCGCGCCGGGCCCCGGCGCCGTGCCCCCGGCCCCTGCGGCCGCGCCCCCGGCCGCCGCGCCGGCGCCCCCGCCGCTGGCCAGTAGAGCGCTGGCCCCCCACGCCGCGCTACCACAGAGCCTGGCAGTCCTCAACGGCCGGCGCTTCGTCGTCGTCCCGCGCAACATGGTGCAACCCACAGCTAAATGATACAATATTACTATCTATTTATATCACACTATCTTCACATGATCAGCCTTTAAATGGCCACTGCTGAGCAAAGGCCTCTTCTCACACAGAGAAGGTATCTTACTAATATGTATTATAAATGTGAAAGTGTATGCATGTTTGTTGCTCTTTTACGCCAAAACTAGTGAGTAGATTCGAACGCAGTTTGGTGCACAGGTAGATTATGGTCTAAAATAATACATGCGGCAGATTTTTTCCTAAGAACCCGGGCAACGCCGCTGGCTGAAGCTATATTATTGTACGATATCATTACAAATAGTTTAGGTAGATAGATTTAAAACTAGTAACCACAGAATTATTACAAGGGATTCATAGTTAGGAATTAGAATATGCACTTCTGAAGTCTAAGCTGGTATTTGACACTATTAATGCTTATTTTTAGCTAGGGATTTTGAAATTTGAGTATGTTCTTTTAGGTATGAAAATTAAGGCAAAGAGTGAACTCAAAATTGTTTGTAATGAATTCTCTGTATGCTAAATTTGATGTAAATTTTCTAAGCACGCATGAAATTCGGCATGCGATTGATCATATTTTTCCAACGGATGCACGAAATACAATTTACAATTAGGCGTAGTTCTCACTTATTTGTTACAGAATATTACAAATATTTGGTTATGACAAGTTATTTATCTTGACATGGCATTATCATCTCTCATATATTACTCACAATATTATATTTTAATGAAATATATTAAGAAAGGAACCAACTTATAGATATAGACCATTTATTCTTAAATATTCGATAGGTTAACGGAGAAGTTAATAAGAAGTACGCATTTATAATTTAAACATATAAAATAGTTATAACACTGATTGTGTCCCAGTGCCTAAGACTAAGTCCACACATTCGCACATAATTATGTATAGTTAATAAAAATAGTAATAAACACTTTTCATCACAATTTAGTTTTATAATGGAATGATACTGCATAATTGAAAATTGTACCTACTTAGTTTTAGAAAGGCTGATTGACTTGTTACATTGTATAATATGACAAGAATGAGAAAACACCTCCTATTACATGGTGACTCATCACATTAATAGTGAAAAGTTGGTGTTACATTGTACAGTGATATTAACTACCGTAATGTGCACGTCTGCCTACCTCTTCGGGTATAAAAGACGAAGAAAAGCTAGCAATGACATATTTATTAACATAAACCTGGGAGAACTATGCTTCGGCATGAATGGGCCGGCTCGACCGCAGTGATACCACGGCTTCACAGAAAACCGACGTGAAACAAACAATGCTTGCATTGTGTTTCACTGTGTATGAAGAGAGAATTGTTATTGAAATTCGTAATTTTCAAATCGGCCTTTCTGAAACTCGGTACTCGTATGGAATGGTATGATAAGTAGGTAGTTTGTGTAATAATAAGACTGTGAACGTTAAATACATAGCTTTACAATAGGTTTTACACAAGGCGAGCACGCACACATGTTAACCCTGATTAGGGCCCAAAAATACAACTTCAACTGAATATAACGACAGAGTACTCTAATACAAGAATGCAGAATAATGTCTATACATAGTGTCATTAACGCCCGAATACTAAATGGCTACACAATTTTAAAGCTGTACTTAAATATCGTGCCATCTTTGTCATTTTACTAAGAATTGATAGTGACCGAACTATACTTGTACGCGAATACGGTATTTGACAGGTAGTCGAACATTTATTAAAATGTCAAAAACGATACTTTTCTATGAATTTTGTATTGGATCGCAACTTATGACGTCATTATATTTTTGCGTCAAATAGCATACTTATTTCTTTAAAATTAGCGAGAAAGAATCCAAAAGTAGGTAAATTGTCAAATTAATGGATGAGTTTATGATTATTTTTTTTATTATTTATTGTATTGAAAAGTTGAAACAATTTTTTTAAACCTAGGAAACTATTTTTTATTTTTTTTTTTTGTTTTTTTATTGTGTGGATTAAAGTGGAGTAGTCTTTTAGTATTCGGGCGATAGGATCATTCTTACATATTGTGCCTACGATTGTTTGCCATCAGATGATCCATCCAACCAAAAATTGTTACGTAAAGAATGGCATGTCTATTTTCTGCTGATATTTCGATGTGCTGGTGATGTTCATATCCCAATTAAGGGTTAACCAAAACTTAAGTGAACAAGTAAACAGGTGCTAAATTTCATGTTAAAAATTTTGTTAACATACTATACTACAACAAAGAAATAAAAGAAATTATTTTAGATATAATTCAGACCATTTACTTTTACACTTAAACATACAAAAATATAATGTCTTGTTATTAGATGAAGCAGTTCGAAAAATAAAGATATGTTTATTTTCCAAATAGATGTCTAAAAGATTGTTTCAAAAAAGGTTACTACAAATCTTCTGTAGTTACCTATTCAATCCTCAAGTGATCACCGGTGACCACTCTACACTAACTTCATTATATACCTTATTTCCAATGTTTAGAGACTCCTTTTGTATGAAGAAATTTTGAGGATTTTCGGTACAATATATCAACATATAACAGACTATTAACAGACTTTTTATCGTAATATCTTACACCTGAAATGCGATTCTTGTGTGCAATAATAAAGCAATACAATAGAGAGGAAAAAATAACAATATTTATATTTATTTTACACTTTATTTGTAGATTTAGGACACAAACGTGTTTCAGGTGTCAGATATTATGCTATAACTATGCATTCACTAAAGAAAATTTGTTTCAATATGTTGTAGACCAACTTGATTTCCATTTTACTAACATAAGCTTTTGACGTGACAACGTCTTATAAATTGGTTTGCCGGGTGACACTCCAAGAAACTGCGTCACGCTCCGCTCACGTTATGCGCTCACAATGAGAGCGAGTGAGAGGCACGCGTCCCTTCCACTCGGGCATGATTAGCCCGCCTAAGAGCGAGAGAGACAGACATAAAAAGTGAAAGGCACGCGTCCCTTCCACTCGAGCACAGTTAGCCCGCCTAAGAGCGACAAAGTCGTTGTCACGTAAAACTTTCGCCCGTATACTTTACAGGCAAACAATTTTTTTTTAATTTAATAATTTTCTTAGGCTTCCACTAACAACATTACAGACCTTATTTCCAATGTTTAGAAACTACTTTTGTATGAACAAATTTAGGGGATGATTTTCAACTGGGTAATACATTTTGTGGAAGTTAGATATGTACTAAATGTATGACTATAGTTTATACAAGTATGCAATACTGAGCAGGACATAGTCGGCTAAATTTAAGTTATGTTAGTTTAGTTTAATCCACATATTTGCCGGTAAACATAAGTGTACTGGAATGGCATAGTATGTGTATATTTTTTGCTTTTGTGTGATCCCAAATTTCTTGAATGTGAAAACCAGAAATTTTGGATTCGGCTGTTATTTGCAGTGTACGTACTTAATATAAAATTGTCTTTAAATCTCATTAGGTACTCCACTTGTGTTTATTTTACAACAAAAACTATGTTTAGTGAATACATCACCATTTTAGGGTCATAGAGGTATCTATACATGGGGTTAGAAACACGTTGAATGGTTACAAAAATACGTATTATGCATGTTTAGACTTCTAACTGTCGAATTGTTTTTATATGTAATTTATATGCGGGAGCTGCGAGGATAGAATTTTTATTAACCAAAGTCTTTGGAATTCATCATCTAATCTTCTTTCTTTGAATTCTTTGTAATCATTTGAAGTGTTATTTCCTTTCTCTATTTATAATGCCTCTATGTATATTTGTTTGTTTATATAGTCATATCGGCCATGATGTCATGGCGAACCATACATTATTTTATAAGTTTTAACATTGTAAGTTTTCTCAAGTAAATTAATTCTCTTATTGCTTTAAACCGACCTCTTAAAAGAGGCAGGTTTTGTTTATTTTGTATCCCTTTTCAAGCGCTAATCTCTAATTAAATTGTATTTTTATGTATTAAATATGATTGTTCTACATTGAGATTTTCGCTTGATCTTTTCCAAACATTGCCAAGCAAATTTAGATGTTACACTGTACAAAACAAGGTATAATATTCTACTATATTATAAAGAAGATATTTTTCAAGTCATTTTGTTCCTTATGTCAATAGTAATAACATTTAAATTTGCTTATCCTTACCCTACTTGTGGTTTGACCACATCGACTACGTATAGTGGTTATTTTAATTTATTTATTTTTTATTTTAAATACAAAATGTAAAGGAATGTATCAAAAGTTTAAAAGAGTGAACAATAAAAAAGTCGGAATGCGTTTCACGTTTTGATTTGACGGTATACCGGAACGTTTTTTTTTATACAAGGATAAGGATAAGGTATGTATTTAACTTTTTTTATTCCATCTGTTGTCTTCAATTTGAGTTTCCTAACCAAAGAGTTTTAGCGGCTTTCTTAAAAAATATAAGGCACTTTGATGCCTAATCGACAATAAAATTGACATCTTTAAAAAAGAAATGCATTTTGTGCAATATGCGATTTCTAAAAACATTTATAATTTCGTTTTAAATGCAAATCTAATATCACTGGTCCTCTTAATTGTTTTATTAACAACAAAAAAAAAACATTTTGTTGACCAGTGTAATATAAAATAAATTTTTAATTACTGTATCAACAAGTTTACATCATTATACGAGTTATCAACTCCAATGTGTCCAATGCTGGACCAAGGTATCTCTTCACCAAGCTGTTATTTCATGCAACCTATTGTCATAATTACTATTTTGTCCCCAGTGACGACAAGAGACGTGGTCGCGTGGCTAACGGCGCGTCGTCCCCGCCCACCGCCACCATGTCGCCGCGACGTCGCGGGCGACAACGAGCTGACGATACCGACCACTTCACTGCCTTCTATAACAAGGCGCAGGAGAGGAACTACAATGTTGTTGTACAGGTATGTAGATACATTGTTAAAGGACCTTATAATATTGTAAGGAGTATCACTGAACTGGAAAACTTTCTTATAAAAGGAAATAGGCGTTTGTTAACTCCGTATTAGCAGAAAGGCCAGAGCTCCTAAATGGATTTACCGATTCTGCTGTAGTGTTTTTGTCATGATTCATGTCTTTGTGAAACTAGTTTCAAATTTTACACTCATATTTGAAATAAACAAACTATTATTTTATCAAAAATAACCATCCCAACATCAATGATGTTGCAATGTACCAAGCAATGGAACGAAATAAGTGGCGACATCTAGTAAGCAAAATTAGAGGGAGTCATGATCCTTAGCAGTGAGGGAATCGACTAGGAAGAATCCCTTCAACAAATGTTTTACAAGCAGCATAAAACAATGTACGATGCCCATATTCCAGATCTTCCAGTATCTGGGCATGCGCGACCTGGCACACTGCGCGCGCGTGTGCAAACTGTGGCGGCAACTGTCTGCTACACCCGCGCTATGGAGACATGTCAGGATGAAGAATTCACATGTAAGTCCATTCATAATTTTTAGGTACTATTAGGAATTCACCAAACTATTGTTTGACACAAAACGTTTAAACAGCGTGAAGAGATTATGGAAACACTTTTATATAAAGGTCACCTTTGTGTATGTTGAAGATGAAGAAATATGGCTTGACTATACATGCGTCTTTTGGCTGTGTTTGTGTGAATGTTATTTTTTCCTTTGTAAAGAGATAATAGAAAAATGTATTGTAATATTTTTAATATCTATAATTGCTTTCTTGTTTTGTGTGTTATAGGTGAGTGACTGGGGAGGATTATGCGCAGCGCTCAAACGGCACGGGACGAAGAGACTAGACCTGCGCAAGATGTTACTGCCACAGAACGATACAGTCTTCTGGGAACAGTTCGCTGAACACATCTCTACTGTCGACACGCTGGAGAGGTGCGTCGGAAATAATCAAATTAATACTGTTTATAGACACGTTAATTATAGTGTCTTGTTTCGTAGTAATTTGTAGGTAGGTAGGAAAATTATCTTAGTGTTAGGGTAGAGTTTAAAGTCTACAAGGAGCATACATGCCACATACAATTTTCTAATATGTAGTTTTTACTGTGTGCTATTATTAGGTACTAATGCAACAAGAATGTTGTGTATCTTTGATTCTGAACATCATTTATTTTGATTTGAGCAGAGAAAATTTTAGTTTTTAGTATTTAAGTGTACTGATCAAAAGGTCAAATGATCTTTTGTGATTTTGTATATACTCTTGTATAAAAATAGGTTTTGTGTGCGCAGGATAGAGATGTGTCGCTGCCCGGCGCGCGCCGTGGAGGCGGTGTGCCGCGGGCTGCCCGGCCTGCGCGCGCTGGCCGCGCTCGCCATCCGCGACGCGCGCCTCGACCCCGCGCCGCTCGCAGACCTGCCGCTACTGCACGAGCTGCGCCTCAAGAGCATGGCCGGCCTCTCGCTCACGCAGGACCTGCGCCATCTCGCCTCGCTCACCAAGCTGCAGCATCTGTCGCTCACCAGCATCAAGGTATGGCCAATTTAGTCACATCATTTTTAGGTTTAAAGTTATTTTGAATTATATTATTACCGACTTCAAAAAAAGGAGGAGGTACTATGTTCGACTGATTGTTTTTTTTTTCGCTTTTTTTTTTTGTTTGTTCGCGCAGTACTCCGCCATTTGTGAACCGATTTCCAAAATTCTTGTTTTGTTTGAAAGGGTATACTCCCGAGATGGTCCCATTTCCATGAGGTCAGGATCTGATGATGGGATCCTAGGGAAACCGAGGGGAACTTTCGAAAATTCTATGGGCGAGTAGTGCGTCTATTATGTTTTTCAATTAGGATTTTTTAAAACATGGAAAAGTAAGCCCGTACAAATTGATGTATCATATAATAATAATGTTATAGAACAAATACATTGCTCTAAATTCCTGGGTATAACAGTAGATGAAAATATTACTTGGAAAACTCATATTGCAAATGTATGTGTAAAAATAAATAAATTTGTCTTTGCTTTGAGAAAAATTACATGTATAACATCCATGCAAACTGCCTTAATGGTATACCATGCATACGTTTGCTCAGTTATCCGCTACGGTATCATTGTATGGGGAAACTCTTCGGATATATCACGAGTGTTCATTGTCCAGAAGAAGTGTGTTCGTGCAATGTTTAATGTTGACTGGTGTGATTCATGTAGACCCGCATTCCAATCAAATAGCCTCTTAACGGTTCCCTGTATTTATATTTACGAGATTTCTAAATTTGTGAAAAATAATCCTCAATTTTTTGTGTCTAACAATAATGTAAATAAAAGAAAAGCTACTCATCTAGAATTTCAGTTACCTGTTCCTAGATTAGAGTTATTTAGACGAAGCTGTATTTACATGGGTCCCTTAATATATAACTCTTTACCAAAAACTATCTCCGGACTACCTTCAAATAAATTTAGTGTAATGCTAAGAAAATGGTTATGTCAGCAATGTTTTTACTCAGTTGACGAATTTCTAGCAAAAAACCCATGTAAATTCTACAATTGTGAGCGATCTGTGAGGTATAGACTGTAAACTTATAATTTAGATAAATTGTTAAATGTTCTATTTCTGTGATAAGTATTTGAACTGTATAAAGATTTGCATGTCGCCAAGCGGCAAGATGTATATGGCACCTTGACTATGTTATTATTATCACCATTATGTACCTACATTTTATGCAAATAAAGATTCTATTCTATTCTATTCTAAGAGTCTGGAGTCGACCTGATGATGGAGCCGACAGACAGTCGAGGGAACTTCTCGGCGGTTTATATTAACTACCTTGTGTTTGGGCTTGATTAATTTGTATTGATGAGGACTTTACACTTAGATAGAGTGGGGCTGTCATTAAGGGTCTGATGATGAAGAAGTGTAATTGTTAAGGGAACTCCTCAACGGTATACAGTAACTACCTTGTGTTTGGACTTGATTAATTTGTATTGATGAGGACTTTACACCTAGATAGAGTGGGGCTGTCATTAAGGGTCTGATGATGAAGAAGTGTAATTGTTAAGGGAACTCCTCAACGGTATACAGTAACTACCTTGTGTTTGGGCTTATATAATTTGTATTGATTAGAACTTTGCACCTATGTAGATTAAAAGTAATAAAACGGGTATATGTAGCTTTACACTGAAAATTATAAAATAATAAAACAAAAACTGCATTTAAAAAACCAACTTCAAAAAACCAAAAACTAATAACAAACAAAAAGTCAAATTGGTATAACTTAATGCCCACAAAATTGTGAATTAGGTACCTATTAAGGTTTTAATGAACAATTTTGTATGGAACTTATGGCACCGACTTCTTACCTATCAGAACCTAAAAATATTAATTTTTTGCATTTTAGATTTGACTTTTTGTTTGTTATTAGTTTTTGGTTTTTTGAAGTCGGTTTTTTAAACGCAGTTTTTGTTTTTTTTAAATTAAAGTTTTACAAGTACATACTGTCTACTATATCTGTCATCAGATATCCCTTTTATTTATTAGTTGAAATTGGTATTTGTTAATGTGGAAATATTTTACAGGAATTGGGATGGTGCGCCTGCGACGTGATCGGTTCCCTAGAGGGGCTAGAGTCCCTGGAGCTGGGCGAGTGCACGTTCGGCGCGTCGTTCGCGGGCGTGCTGGCGCGGCTGGGCCGGCTGCGGCGCGTCCGCCTGGAGCGCGGCACGCCGCACTGCGCCGCGCCCGCCATCCTGCGCGCGCTGGCCACGCGGCCGCTGCTGACGCGGCTGGAGCTGGTCAACATCGACGTCAAGCCGGGCTTCGACGACGCGCTGGCGGCCTGCAGCAACGTGCAGCGCCTGCTCATCATCCCCACGTACGTGTCGCAGTCGGCCACCACCAACCGCCAGGTGCTGTCGGGCGTGCTGCGCCTGTCCGCGTCGCTCACGCACCTCATGTGGGGCGTCACCATCGAGCTGCTGCGCGTCACCGAGCTGTTCATCGACCAGTGCGAGCAGGCGGGCGAGCCCAAGCGGCGCGACGTGGGCGAGTGCATCCCCGTGCTCAAGCCGGTGCCGGGCTGCAAGCTGCCCGCGGACCACGCCGGCCCCACCGGGCCCCCGCAGGTGGAGATCCTGCCCCTCCCGACGCTACAGCGCCTCCTATCGCAACAACTCCCCCATACGAAACTGAAGTTGCTCCGCATCCCGTTCCACGCGACCTGGCGCCAGTCCCTCGCGGACTTCCAGTAACGCACGACACTGCCTATGTAAGCATACCTACTTACCGTGTACATACTTATATCACTAGATATAAAACTATATATTGTTGTAACCAGCCCGGAAACTATACATATGCACACTAACTCACGCCCTCGATGACAAAAAAAGAGCTATAAACAATAACATTTTAGCTTGGAATTGAACTTTAAAACGTTTATAATTTACTAAACTTTGTTATGTTATTAGATTTTAAACAGATTAATAATAGTTCGCCAATGTTATAGGGAAATCTATTTTATGAGATGTGGTAATAGAGATACATAGTATATTGTACTATATGTAGCTGAAACATAGCCTTTGAAAACAAAGATATATTTGTAGTAAACACAGTTGAACTATACCTGTTATAAGGTTAACGCAAGCAATAAGATAGCCGGCTCATATTATATTAGACATGTAATTATTACATACTGGGCTTTGAATACACTGGGGGATAATAACAGCAATATGTGGGCTATTGATAACTCTAACTGTCTTTAACCGACGGTCAGTGGGCTGCGCGCAGTCACCGCGCACGCTACTCATGTATAAGAGTCCCGATGTTACTTCAAACTAGAAGAACTTTCCTCAAATAGTTCACTTAAGTAAGCCGTATATTTGATTTCGTATGTCTCACGATGCTTATTATACAAAAATAGCCATGTTGTAATTAACACAATTTACATATCTTAAATGCGTTATCAATATTATACACATACATGGATTAATGGTTCTTGAATTGTATATTTTATCCCCTAGTGACTCCAAGCCCAGCATTCAACACCAGTATATCCCATATATCGCCTTACAAAGATATTTTACATTAGAAGTAGCAGAGAATATATTGTGTACATAAATATTAGTATATAGGGGTTCACAGCGGTCGATATATACCATATTATACTAGTATATTATATTTTATTATATTATACATTATATTTATTTAGTATACAATCGTTATACACTGATTTTGTTATTTCTCTTGGTAACTTAATTGGGGTCTTGGGGAATATAACTTTTTCATCACCAGCCTTTAAATGTCCAGTACTGATCAAAATCCTGTTCTTACACTGAGAAAGTATGGGCATTAATCACCACCATTTCAAATCCACCTGGAGGATTAGCCATTCAGCAAATGTTAGTCCAGGTTTCCTCACGACGTTTACATTCACCATATGTTGGTGATGTTTAAATTATCTTAGAAAGTACACTTATGCAATGGGCGCTGCCGATTGATTACTATCAGGTCATCTGTCTGCTCGTTTGCCGCCCTATATCTTACCAATATTATAAATGTGAATGTGTATGTTGGTTACTCACACGGCAAAACAGCTGATGGGATCGATAGAAATTTGGAACTGGGACAGATTATGGTCTGGTCCGGAATAACATGTAGAAAAAAAGTCAAAGTCTAAATCTTTATTTCAATTAGACCAAGAAGCCACTTTTGAATATCAACAACAAACATTTTGAAGTGAAGCAAGTTGCTCATTCCAAGGTGTAGATTCCTATGGAGAAGAACGAGCAAGAAACTCAATAGGTTACCCTTTTTCAATCGGGTTTACAATACAATTGTGTAGTTACATAGTTTTGTTGTGTTGCTTCGATTGTGTGAGAACAATGCCACACCTAAATCAAGTCAAAGACCCCTAAATAAGTTCCCTCTTGCGCACTTTTACCAAGAAAAGTAACAAAATCAGTAAATATTTAGATAAAACAATGATTATTGTACCAGCCGGTACTTGTTACAATATAGTACATAATATATACTGCGGGTTAGGTAATTCATGAGTTATTTTTAACTATATACTTTACAAAATGCTTGCTTAGTTAACCAGACAGAACCTTTGCTTGATAACCTATGTGTCAATAGAATTGCTCACGGGAGATAGAATTTTAACATTAATTTAATGTTTAATATCTTTCTTTAGTGATAAATCTACTGATAAAAATGTTATTGAGACCACATAAACTGTAATTATTAATGAATCTTTGAATTGGTGTATATTTTTGACACTAGTTCTATATGGTTCTGCACGGTTGGCGCGTTGGCTGGGCAACCGGCTACTGCGCAACGTGTAGCGGGTCCGATTCCCGCAAGGAGCAACTCTTTGTGTAATCCACAAATTGTTGTTTCGGTTCTGGGTGGCATGTGTATGTGAACTTGTATGTTTGTAAACACATCCACGATACAAGAGTAAAATCGTAGTGTGGAGCAACATATAAAGAGATTTCCTGCCAAAAACCTAGATCGGTCAACATAATTTGTATTAAGATTCGTTATTAATTGCGGTTATAAAAACAAATAGTCTAAAGTTTTTACGTTTATTACTTTTGATAGGTAATAGACATTTGATTTTGGTTCAAAATATTGCTATCTCTAACTAATAGGTTATGTACAAAAGAGATGGAAGTCTACGATTTTAGTTATAACAATTAACGATTGAATTTTGTTATTCCCTAATATCGAAACATCTACCCAATAAATTGATGCTAAAGAAAATAAATTATGTCAACATTTTCGTTCAAAAGAGAGCGAAACATGTCTAAATAAATTTATTCAACTACTAAACATAGTTCCAGAACACCGTATTCTAAAAATGTGTCTTAAGTCGCTCACATAGACCTCATATTCGCGTACATATAAATAGATATATTTTTCTAACAACAAGACTTTGAAACACCAATTTGAAAAGCCCAGCAATGTAAATGAAGTACTAGAATAAACTATTATGGGAAGTTAATAGTTTTTATTAAAGAAAATACATATTATATAATTATATTAAAATGTTTTATTGATAAGACTTGTAAATATTCTCTAAGGTATAGTGATCAGTGCCTAAAATTGATTTATATTATGGTCATAAGAGGCGTGGTTTATTTCAGAGTGGTTTCTTTTTAGTTTTTTAGTTGCACATCTAATTTATGGTATCTTTCACTTCAATAGTTATGCGAAACGCCACTTAAACTGTCAAACACCGCGAGGACACCGGTGACCGCAACCTATTGTTCTTTAATTGTGTCTATGATGACGGTACTCAAAGGGTTAAGCCCTTGTCCACCGAGAGAGTGAAAAACGAAATGTATGGGAATGACACTGACAAATGTCAAAATTTACGTTAATTCCATATAATTTGGTTTTCTACTCTAAAAGTAGACGCTAAATGGCATCTAGCTACAGCAACAGGTTGGAAAATTAAGGTTGAGTTAGTATAGAGACAGTATCTGTTAATTGACTTCTAACGACTGGAATCAGTGACTCATCTGAATGCAAAATCTTTTGGATCGAGAGTTCTATAGATTTTTTGTCAAATGCCGAGATTGATCAAGCTATATTGGATTATGGTCGGTTAAGAATTTCGGCCGTGACTTGACCAATAGTTTCATTTAAAAGCATTAAATATAGCATAAAAATAGCTACTGTCTCTGTTCTAAGTTTCGACATTATGACTTCAACAATAAAGTTGAAAATCTATCAAAAAAGATAATCTTGACATGCGATATTTTGTATAGAGAAGCGAAGAAAACAAGTGGTTTGAAAATTACAATTAAAATTATATCGTTCGTCAAATAATGTTAGGGTGAAGACTGAGTCACTTTTAAGGCTAAAAAGTAAGGAATTTTAAGATATTTTTAAAGAAAATTATGTAAAAAGTCTTGAACACACGTATGCACATCAAGCTAGCCAATGCCAGTGTAAACTGACCATTAAATGTTGCGGAAACATTATATAGAGCGAGCAAGTGCGACTGCCGAGCAAGGGGTCTCCGGTTCGATTCCCAAATCGGGTAAATTATTACTGGGTCTTTTAAAAAATTCTCAGGAGTAGCACGGAGTCTGGAATTGTGCCCGGTATATGGAAATAGGCTCACCCCCTATTACATGGGACTCGTAACATAAATAGCGAAAAGTTGGTGTTACATTGTACAGTGGCATTAAGTGCCGTAATGTGCACCTCTGCCTCTTCGGGAATAAAAAGGCGTGATTTTATGTTATGATGATCACGACAAACTTGCTATGTATGGTTTGATGTGGAGGATTCTTTATATTAGATGTGCAATGCTTACAGTTTGACAGCAGTTGAAGTTGCTTATACATGTAGCGATTTTTCCTACTCGCAAACTGTTAAGGGAATGCTTAGTTGCGAACTAGACACATAGATTTTAAATGAAATAATAGGTGATTAAAAGCCTGCAAGAAATTAAGGTAAGAAAAGTTTTTCTGCAAACAGTAATTCTTCTCTATTATTTTTACTGACTTCAAAAAAAGGAGGAGTTAGTACTATGTTCGGGTGATTGTTTTTTTTTTTGGTTCGAAATTTGACAGTCACTGTTACTTAATGGAATTTATTTTAATATAAAATGTATGGGTCTAGTTTCCAAATTAAACGTTGGTTTTATTTAATTAGTAGTAAAATTATGTGGCAATGTTTTAAATATATTATTTTTTAGACTTGTATATGCGAAGTACAAGCTTGCGTGTACGTGGGGCGGCGGTGTCTTGAACAGACTAAATATAATCGTGAATTTGTATTATTTTTTACCACTTATTCAAAAACTTGTATCATAAAAGCGAAAAGTGGGTATGTGCTATGCACCTCTGTTTACGCCTTCGAGAATTTAAAAAGTCGTGAAATATTATGTATTTCACTCCCAGGACATTTCATTTGCTTGGTAATTGTCAGTTTTAATTAACTAATCCCAAATATAATGTACCTACAATTATGTTGTCTGTACTTTATCATTATGAACCTATATTTCGTTTGAACGAGACACCGCAGTACCTCGGTTATAGGAATACCGCGTGGGCTATGAAAATATCTATATTAATTGCGGGATTATATTATTTTCAACATTTAACCAACACGCCTGAGCATATAACCAAAATCACGATCTCAGAAAAAAAGTTAATTTATCGACACATGACTTTATAATCCGTGCAAATGTTATTCTCTCATCTGATTGGTTGATTAAACGTGTAATAGCCAATCACGAGAGTGGGTGTGGCATTTGGTTACAGATTATAAAGCACATGTGTCGTAGATTTTCCTTTTCATGGTTTAGTGGCGTTTTTTAAATTATTTTTATTGTGTTTGAGGCTTCGGAGTATATTTGTGGCAATTATATTTATTTTACTGATTATAACTTCATTATAAATGTAGTATTTCTTGTCAATTTCGAATTTACTGTAAAGTAAAACTTTCAATTTTTATATTATTTTCGTGGTAAAATAAAATGTCTGCTTTATATCTCCGAAGCCTAAGCTGAGATAATTATTTATTATTAGCGTGGTTTAATAAAACAATTTGTTTTAGAGATAAACATGAAAACTAGGTTTTCGCTAAGCATTTTATCCACCATTATGCACAAGTGAATTAATGCGAATTTCTTTTTTAGCATAATGTTTTGATCAGGACAGTTTCTTTCCAAGTATAGCCAAAGTAACGAAAAAAACAAGTTCATATATACTTATGTAAATAAAGTCGGCCTTGTAACCGAGAGTTTCTTCAAAAATTATGTAATTAGAACTTAGATATTTTCGATACATCTGCTTACAACAGCGAATGGTGCGATCTGATCGAAAAATTAAGCGAAAATTGATTAAAAAGTCGCATTAATCCACATTATTTTAACTTATCGTGTATTGTTTGTACATACGACGCGTGAAACTATACAAACCAGTATATAGTAATCGTTGAATGTCCGGAAAGGTCGTGATAAACCGAGATCCTGATATACTGGTTTTGTATAGGTCGACGTGTTAATATAATGTTTGTCAAAAGCAACACTTTGTTTTGTATTTAGTTATCTCAGCTTCCTTATATACCGTACTGAATTAGGATAACACCATGACTTGTGTTAAAGCATAGCTTTTTTAATATAATTTAGACTCTGTAGTCTATTGTTAATAATCTCTTAAAGCTTCTTGTATTCTAGTTTATATTTTGGCGGGATTGCCCTCATGGCGTTTAAGTTTGTGTAAAAAATGTAAATGATGATTAAATACGATGTGTTGTTGTGGGTATCACAACTTGATGTTATGTGTAGGAATATTCTAGAAGTTTCTTTTAAGAATTTGCCTATTTTTATTTATTTGTATAATTTTAGTTCAGTTCATTTTACCAAAAGGTGACTTTGCTGTACATAAATTATTTAAAAATTGCAGATAATCATGTTTATTTTTCATTGTTTTACCTATTTGCTGTCTTAAATTGATGGGATCAAGGTTCAATTTCGGCTGTAGAGGAACGCATGTAACCTCAAGTTGGTATTCCGTTGGTTTGTTGTTGGCCGCGACGCAGGATCTATTGTATAATTAGGTTTATATAGGTTTAAAGACAACTTTGCTACTGAGCAAGGGCGACTTGTGAATAAATGGTTGCCGATAGATTTGCTGTTTTATTTTTTATTCTCTCAACTATACCTATCTAAGTAATATTTTATAACATTATTGAAATATCGTTCAATTCAATCAAACTATCAATTATATTCGAATGTCAGATTTCTTTTTACACGAATCCATTTCAATGAAATGTGATTAGAAAGAAAATAGATTTGTCAGTAAACAAAATGTGATCATGACAAAGTGAATCAATTGAATGGTTTAAAAAGTATTTGAAAATACAACCTATTTTTATAATCATTAAATTAATCTAAGTGTACCTAGACTTTATTTATTTAAACCTTATTATCATTGAATAAGACTATAAACAGACCGCATTTCCACTGTAAATTGCAGTTTGATTGAATGCAGTCGTGTCACGACTGCCATTGAACTGCAAACCAAACGTGGAGTCCGAATGCAGTTCTATTGCAGTCATGTCAACTGCGTTCACAATACATTCGAACTGCAATTTGTAGTTAAAATGCGGTTCGTCTGTTTAGAGCCTTAAGTGTGTAAGGGATCTACAATATTTGAGAGAACGAAAGAAAGATATCAAGAACACGTGAGCAGGACAACAAAAAGGGCAATAAAACGACCAGTTAAAATAGATATCGCCTCCTCTGTATTTCCTCTGTCTTAGCATTAATCAGAATCTGAGATATATCTTCCATTAGCTTCACTTTCATTTGTTCATCCTGAATACTGCGGAGTAGGGCTCCGACGAAGGGCAAGAACTGGTCAACGTGGTCTTTTCGTTTGATGATGAGGGTGGCTGTGGCGATTTCCTCTGCAGTATCTTCAGCTGTGTAGGTAACTGTGAGGTACCGCGTCTGGTCCTCACTCTCATTGGATTCTTCGTCAGTAAAATACGTGAAAGTGACTGGTTCAGAGTACTCTCGTCCCATGGAATCCGTGGTGGAAGTGCACGGCATCACCACAGACTTGGAGCCACTTGTCTTCGGAACTTCAGAACTTGAGTTGTTGCCGTCGGTGTCCTCATCGTCACTCCGCGCCCTCGCTTCGTCTTGTTCCGCCATTGTTTATTGTGATCCTAGAAGTGAATTCATTTATGAATTTGTTTAACTGTATAGAAGTTTAGTGGACCGGAGTGGGGTGTGAAAGGGATCGTATGAATCGTGTGATTGAAAATACTAAACATTTAATTTTAACATTAAACCTTGACTTTACGTATTTATTCAAACGTTAAGTGATTGATGAAATCAGGTTCGAATACAGAAGTGTTACATAAAATAACATTAACCCTTCGTGCATTACACTGTATGTACATTGTACATCATAATAACCGAACCACAATCGCGCAGGCCCAGACGTCCTGAAATGGCGCGCGGAAGCGGTGAGCGTCGCTGTGTATGTGTGCGTAAGTATTTTAAAAACTTAATGTATATACTGCGCTTGGCTTGAAGAGTTACTAAAAGTTTCCGCATTTTTTTTTAAATATATAAAATTCGGCCCCTTTTTGCTAGACGGGTGCGACGAAAAAGGCAATGAACTATTTTTATAACAGTTGGAACAATAATTAACTTAACGCCCTAGATATTGTCTTTACATCAACTACATATGCGGACTATTATTATTAATTCCTATATTCTGGCACAACTACGTTTATTTCTTAAAAAAACACCAACATTCAGAGGTTTACTGCGCACAGTAAACGCACACGTTTATATTAAAGCACTTACATTAAAATTCAGAATGAAAACAGCGCCTTTATAAAAGTAACGAGCATCGCTTTACGAGGCAAGAATTCGTGTTTACTGCTCGCGCCGGTTACGCGTTATTAGTCGCAAGAACGCAAGCTGGAGTACCACGTTGGGTGGCGTCTCGACGTGACGCGACTCACACGCGGCGAGGACGCCGAGGTGCCAACAACATAATTTCTACTTATTGTTAATACAGTCGCAATTCACTTGGCAACGCTATTCCATAAAATAAACAAAACAACCTAAAATATACAGTGATTTAGGCATGTAAAAAAATATTAAAAAGTTATCTTCAACCATGCATCTTTATAAAGGCACAGCATACGTATCTACTTATTAAATTTATTCCATAAATACCTACCTTTTAAACCCCTTTTTTCGCCTTACAAAACGATATGTAAATCACCAACTTGTTTATTCAAAAGCTATCAAATACTCAAGCAAACAGGCTTGGTTATGTGCCTGCGCGAACAGTGATTTATGCCTTCGACGATTGATTACTTTCCACGTAGGTAACTGCATAGATGCACTAAATATAGGCATCCCCCTTCCCTTGTTAAACGGTGCCCATTGGTAGAACCAAATGACAGATCTAGTGCTAGGTAGATAGGGCAATATGTAAGAAGTACTAAATGTTTGAGCCTAAATATAATTCGTATTTCTTGTGGCTATCGGTCATAAATCAATAGTTTGTTGTGGTCGATTTCAGTCATCTTACGTCAGGCATAATTTAAGAGCATTGTTGTAAATATTTGCTGTAGGTACCATGTAATGCGGAAGGCTGTATGACCATTGACGCAGGTCTGTTTACAAAGTCTATGTCTGATACCACCTGCGCGTTGACGAAAGTAACGATCGATGACGTCACGTGCGTGATGTTGCGCGCGCACGTCCGATGTTTCTGTTTTGTTTATTATGGTAATTCTTGTAAATAAACTTGTTTGGTATATTACTGTATTACAATCATTGATGATACTCTTTTTTTATTGATATGTTATAATAATACTAGCGGTTTTCTTGTTTTGAATTAGAATTTTTAAGTAATACATACTATGTAGTAAGAAAAATCTACTAACACAATCGCCTAAGTTATGCAAACCGCTACCGGTTGTAAAAGTGATCATAGTATTTAATTTTCCTCATTCTTTATTAATAATTTCGGAAAATACTTAATGAAATTTATAGATTATTGGAACAAACAGTTATATCTTTTTCGGCGGTAAATTCAAATATTAATATAACAGGCATGTAGATTCAGACTGAGTGTGCGACTCGCAGAGCCTGGTGAAACACACACTGCGAGTAGGATTATTGTTCTTTGTTTTTTGACGATATCCACTGCATGTAACCTTATGATCACATCAAAGTCAAAGTCAAAATCATTTATTTCAATTAGGCCAGAATGGCACTTTTGAACGTCAACAAAAACAAAAATTTAAAGTGAAGCTATTTGCTCATTCCAAGGCGTAGATTCCTATGGAGAAGAACGAGCAAGAAACTCCATAGGTTACTCTTTTTCAATCAGGTTCACAATACAATTTACTAGTTACATAGTTTTGCTGTTTGGATTGTGCGAGAACAATGTAACACTAAAATCCAGTCAAAGTGATCAAAAAAGAAAATAACCTTAAGGACAGTAATACAGTCTGGAGCTGACCAGTCCCAGTTGACGGCGCCCGTTCACGAACATGACACGTACACCAGCACCGCCCAACTCAACCATATTGTAGGGAATCGAGCGATCCACTGCACGCGCCACCGCCAATGAGACCTTTGAGTGAGCATGACAACTCCAAGCTGACACAAATGAAATCTACTAATCTAATTTAATATTAAGTTAATTACAGGGCTCACATTTACAATGGTTATCTAAGTTAAACAATATACAATTTAGCAATATGGCTGTATTATTTACGATTTCATTAAAACAAGTGTTTTTAGTTATCCTGTGGAGCCGGACTAGCCTGCATCCAAGCATTTTTATCCTCTATATATTCATTAAGTTTGTAATATGCTTGTCTACATAAAGTTTTCTTTATACATAATTTAAATTTCGATTCATTTAGTTGTTGTACATCGCCTGGTATCTTATTATAACATTTAACACAGAATCCCATGAACGACTTACTTACTTTCGCTAATCTCGAAATTGGCTGACTTAATCTATTCTTATGTCTAGTTTGATAGTGGTGTCTGTCCGACACTTTACCAAATAACTGTAGGTTTTTCCTAACATACATAATGTTTTCATAAATAAATTGACATGGAACGGTCATAATGTTGATCTCCTTAAACCTTTCTCTGAGTGATTCGCGACGACCTAGATTGTAGATAGCTCTGACGGCGCGCTTTTGTAAGATAAAGATAGATTCAATGTCAGCAGCGTGTCCCCACAGCAAGATGCCATACGACATAATGCTATGAAAGTAACTGAAATACACTAGTCTTGCCGTGTCTATGTCAGTTAACTGTCGTATCTTCCAGACAGCATAAGCTGCAGAGCTCAATCGTCCCGCTAATGATGTAATGTGAGGACCCCATTGCAATTTGTCGTCTACAGTAATTCCCAGGAAAGTTGTCTCTTTTACAAACTCTAATTTCTCACCATTCAATAATATGTCACAATCGTTGCTTTTAACATTTGGCAAAACAAATTTAATACATTTTGTCTTTTTATTGTTTAGTACTAAGTTATTTAATGTAAACCAATTATGAACTTTCATTAGGGCATTATTTACGTCGTCATAACTATTTGTGCGTCTATTAATTTTAAAAACTAATGAAGTGTCATCAGCAAATAATACCATCTGCGGTTCATTTTTAAATAAATGGGGCAAGTCATTTATGTACGCTAAAAATAAGAATGGACCTAGTATCGAGCCCTGCGGTACACCCATAGATATGCTAGCACCCTGTGAATTTACTTTATTTCTTACTTTTACATCGTCTGTTTAAATAGTATATTAAATTAGTAGGGTTTTCCTTCCTGACGCTATAACTCTAGAACGCACGAACCGATTTCCACGGTTTTGCATTCGTTGGAAAGGTCTCTGGCGCCGTGAGGTTTATAGCAAATAAAATTCCGGAAAAACATTTTTCTTCGTCTTTTAATCACCAAACGAAATGTTACATAAAACGAGGCGAAACGAAGTTCGCCGGGTTTACTAGTATGGTATATAATCCTTGTCAAGAAAGATGGATCAAATTCGGAATCAAAAATAAATAAAACAACAATAAACATTATAAAAACACATTTATTTATTTTTCCTACGTCCCTTTGCAGCCTGGGGTTTACCAAACGCCTTGGGTTTGGCGTTGGGCTTGCCTTTACCCGGGCCTTTTCCCTTTTGAGGCCCTCTATTGCCCTTTTGAGGCCCTTTATTGCCTCTTGGAGGCCCTTTGCTATCCTTCTGGGCCTTATTAGCATCGTAACGAAGTCTCTTAGTTGCCGTTCTTGATGTGTCTGTGAGGTCATTGGCGAAATTACTTTGTTTTTTCTTCATTTTATTAGATTTCCTAGGTGTGTGCTGTGGGCGGTCGTCATCGTCGTCGACTGCACGTATCCTGCGCTGTTTCTTCTTACGTTTCTCCATTCTTGATTGGAGGAGGGCGACCTGTTTGCAAATGAAGCTTTTGTTTAGTAAAGAACCAATTAAACTTTTGTTTCATTGCGTACATAAAGTTATTACTAAATTAAAATACTCAGAGCACATCATTTTTTTCTTTTTGTACTGCACATTTTTATCTTAGCAGTCTCGCGTTGCTTACGGAATTTTGTGTGAGACGAGAGGGAGTGTCAGACACTTACTAACTAAAAACCACCCCGTTCCTACTCCTGCACTTCGAGCCGGAGCCCTGATAACCGCAGTCCTCCGCGGCTCCGTATATACAAAGATATGTTGGGTGTATTCACAACATAGTAAGCTAGTGTTACCTTCTCCATCTCCCTGTTGACTCGTTCCTCGGGCGTGTCCTTGGGTTTGTGTTTGTTCGGCTTCTTCTTCTTCCGTCTGCCGTCGTCCGAGTCATCGTCCTCGTCCTCGTGTTTGCGCTTCTTACCTTTACCGCCCTTCTTTTTATCTGTTGATACAGAAGTATATTTTAGCTTTAGAAATTACATAACATAACATCACGCCTTTTATCCTCGAAGGGGTAGGCAGAGGTGCACATTATACCACTGTACCCTTTAACACCCACTTTTCACTATTTATGTTATGAGTCCCATGTAATAGGGGGTGAGCCTATTGCCATATACCGGGCACAGTTCCAGACTCCGTGCTACTACTGAGAATTTTTTAAAAACCCAGTAATACTTTGCCCGACCCGGGAATCGAACCTGAGACCCCTTACCCGGCAGTCGCAATTGCGACCACTCGGCCAACGAGGCAGTCAATAGAAATTAATTTATTTTATTTAAGTCAGGCTTTAGAAATTAATTTATTATAATACCTACATAAATGTAGTGTGTGCTAGGCATTATAAACCATATGCCACAACTTACTATAGTTTTTTGTTTTTAAATTAAAATCATGTAATATAGTTTCCCTTATTTTCTAAAAGAGAACAGGGGTAAATGTAAAGTTATCTGTTATTAAGTTGTGAATCAACAACAAAACCATATAATTCACACTCCAATCTTTCCCACGCACCTTTATCAGGATGTTTAGTAAGAGCGAGCCTCTCCTTCTCCTCCCTCTTCTCCTTAGGAGTCTGGAACCACTCCCTCTGCCGCTGCACCTCTATCTTAGGTCCGATCTGTTCTCCCTCCGTCTTGATGGCTCCTTCTAACTTAGCTGTTTGTTTCTCCATTTTATTCATTTGCTTCTCTGCGTATTCCTCGTCTAGTATTGCGGCTGGGTAATAGAAAGATAAATTGGTAAATTAAATAATTCTACTAACTCGTTTTATAAATAGCGAAGGTTCGGTACAACATGTGTATCAACATATTCATCATCATCAACAGCCTATAAATGCCCACTGCTGAGCAAAGCCTCTTCTCACACGGAGAAGGTTTGAGCATTAATCACCACGCTTGCTCAATGCGGGTTGGCGATTTCAAACTTATAATTAGAAATTATAAGTCCAGGTTTCCTCACGATGTTATTCCTTCACCGTTTGTCAGTGGTGTCTAAATAACCTTAGAAAGTACATATAACTCGGAAAAAGTCACATTGGTACTTGCCGTTGGTAGGTTTCGAACCTGCACCCTCATGCGTGAGAAGCGGGCGTCTTAAACCTCCGGGCCACCACGACATATCAACATAATTATTGTTTCATGAAAAAAGTACTGAAAGGATAACATAACATAACATCACGCCTTTTATCCCCGAAGTGGTAGGCAGAGGTGTACATTATGCCACTGTACAATGTAACACTTTTCACTATTTATGTTATGAGTCCCATGTAATAGGGGGTGATCCTATTGAAAGGATCTAGACGAAATTTGACACAGAGATAGAATTTAGTCTAGAATAACACATACACTACTTTTTACTCCAATACCGCGACCAAAGCTACTAAAAAAGGCTAATCAATTTTTATTGCCACTTGGAATTTTTAAATTTTAGTTCTACAAAAAAAAAAATATCGTAAAAAGAATATAATTTTAATTCGATTCCAGATTTGACAATTTCAGTGTTGCAACGTTATGACAAGTACTAAATAGTGACGTTGCGAAATTATTCGATATGGAAATGCAATATTTCTGGATCGATTCTTCTCGTTTATAATTTTACTCTCGTAAACTAAGTATATCAGGAAATTAAGTATTTCTGAACCGATAATTTAGTTTTGACGATTAATTAACGATCTGAGACTTTTCTTTTATAATTGTGTGTGAAATAAATAAAAAAAATGTAATCATGAAGGAACATGACAAATAAAACAGATAGATGTATTATGGTAATAAGATATTTTATAAATTGTCGCCGTCATCGCTATCGCTACTTATCCTGTCACTTTCTGTAACATTTATTATAAAACACACACACTGATTGTTTATCGATTTTTGTGTGCATCACTACTCTATTATATGTGGTATCATTATTTCACAAAATAACAGTAGCTATTGTCAAATCTGGAATCTAATTAAAATTCTGACTATAGTTCTAATTTCGCCGAGAAGTAGAAATATTTATATCTTAAATTAAATGAAATGGTTAATAAACCATTTTGTATAATAATATATTCTCACCTATCTCCGGCTCAAGTCTAGCTAATCTGTCCCTGTACTTGGCGACGATGTCAGGCGGTATCTGCCGCGACTTGACAGGTCGTCGCGCGCGCTTCACGATGGCCTTCACAAGCTGGCGCTCCGCTTCCCCCGCCAGCGACACCGACACGCCGGCACGACCTGCGCGAGCTGTTCTACCTACCTGTAGGGGAACGAAGGATTTTGTTTATTTTAGCGATGATCAAAAGTAGTGTCGTTTTTGTAAAAAAAGATTGAAATATAGTTTTAGAATTGTGACTGTTTTTATAAAATTTCGATTTTCAAACTTTTAATGAATTGTTAACAATTTGTTTTTCCTCATACAGAATTTTGTACTTGCCTTAATCAAAAAATGACTGTTCAATACAATAAAATATTAAAAATGAATCTCATTTTCATTAACTGATTTTATGACCAACTTAATTTTAGTATTTTTCCAGCTAGTTTTTAACAAATAAGTATGCTGTTTGACGCTAAAAATACGTGACGTCACAATACACAATCTCGTAAAAAATTCATAGAAAACTGTCATTATTTACAGTTCAAAAAAGGTATTAAATTTGACTAGTTGGCATGTACCCAATTAAGGAACATCACAATCTGTGAAAATATTGCAATGAAAGTAGAACGCGAACTAGTTTATATTCTCGCTACTAGTGGCGCTGTCTTTATTTGTATCGAGCTATGTATTTTCTTTTATTCTATGGTTGTGTGTACAGTCTTTGAATAATACTGTTTGATTGGAACTGATCTCAGAAATAAAACTTATTTGTAAACTATTACACAGTTTTACTCTAAAACCACATTTTCCTTCACAATCTATTCAAAACTTGCGAATTATTGAAGTGTTTTAAAAGTTTATCGTTATAAGTTAGCAAAATATTTTAACATAAAAAATAATTCCAACTCACCCTATGAATATAGTGTTCGAGCGTGGCGGGCAGGGTGAAGTTGAGCACAGTCTTGACGCCGGGTATGTCCAACCCACGAGCCGCCACGTCGGTAGCGACTAGTACGTCGACCTGTTCCTCCTTGAACCGCTTCAATGAGTCCAGACGTTGAGGCTGGTTTAGTGCGCCGTGGAGCTCTGCTACCTAGATAGATAAATAAATAGATATCCGATTTAAAACCCATGTAATAGTTGACAAAACTGCCTTAAAAGTAAAAGAATAATTATGATGTTTGTATGTTTGGAATTATAAAATTCAACATAACATCACGCCTTTTTTATCCCTTAACGGGCAGGCAGAGGTGTACATTACGTGCGTACAGTATAAAATGCAAATAATCCAATATTTAAATGCTTGCCGACTTACTAATTTTTTTATCTCATTGTGTCACTAAGAATTTTGGGGTCCGGACTCCAAATGTACCCAGTAATAGGCTTCTCTTTATTATATATTATACTCATTACAAAACTAGGAAAAATAAGTATATTTTTCACAATTTTTTTCTCCTGGACCTTTTACATATAATATGCAATAGTAGAGAATAATGGTAATATTAGACAGTAATAATAATAATGTATGTTGTGTATATACCTTGACGCCGAGTAGGCCGAGCGCGACATGTAGCCTGTGTGCCTGTTTCTTGGTCTGTACGAAGATGACCGCGCGGTCGCGGAACGTGCGACACACTAGCGCCGCCAGGATCGCCTCGCGGTCACACTCGCGCTCGCGACGTATTCTGGAATATGACACTTATTGAGTAAGGTGGCAGGTCGAATTTAACTTGACACAAAGTTCTAGTCTATGTTTTTATAATAACTATCGTGAGACATACTAAATTAACTAAAATCGCGGGTAAGCTCTACTGGTTTCGAACCACAGAGGGGTTCTTCGACATTGCGACATCGCCGCGACCGCGCACGCTGCTCATGTGGAAGAACCACGCTGTGGTTCGAAATTAGTAGAGCTTTTCTCAGTATATTCACGTGAGTAACCCGCGCTTTTAGTTAATTCTAGTCTATGTGTCTGTTAATCCGTGATAAATTAAAATAGGATTAAGAGTATTTTTGTGGTTTTCAACAATAAAATAAAGTAGGTCTCTTTTTTTTTGAAAAAAAAAACGTTTCCCCACACTAGGATTTTCTCCTGTGTCGTGGGTGCGTTTACAGACATACAAGGTCACATACACAATGACACCCAGACCCGCAACAACAATTTGTGGATCACACAAAGTGTTGTTCCGTGCGGGAATCGAACCCGCGACACGTTGCACGGCAGCCGGTTGCCCAGCCACCGCACCAACCGTGCAGTCAGTCTTGAGGAAGGTTCATGTGTACCATGCTTGTAAGTAGTATTCAGTGACACAAGTTAACGGCATAGCAACAAACGGAAACGGAGTGTCCGAAGAGATTGTTAAAATGATATTAGATGGTTGGAAAAATTTTAATACCACGACGAGCGAAACTGCGTGTAATAATAATAACACGTTTGCTATCCCTATCCTAACCTACTCTTTTGGTATCATACGCTGGTCTCAAACAGATCTCACAACATTACAGAGAATCATAAATACTACAATGACTAAACACAGGAAACATCATCCTAGGGCTTGTATTCAAAGATTAACACTACCAAAAAATGAAGGTGGCCGAGGGCTTATCGACATTACAAACCTTCACAACAACCAAATCAAGTTACTTAGAACATTTTTCTTCAACCGCTCACAACATTCACCACTACACAAAGCTATATGTCTTACAGACTCATTCACACCGCTCTATCTAGCAAACCACACAAAACACATGAACATAGTTAGTAAAGAACAAAAGATACAGACTTGGACACAAATATCGCTCCATGGTCGCCATCGCCTCGATTTGACCAATCCCATTGTTGACAAGATAGCGTCAAACGCGTGGTTGAAGCGAGGCGAACTGTTCCCAGAAACAGAAGGATTCATGTTAGCGATCCAAGACCAAGTCATTGATACAAAAAATTACAGAAAATATATAATCCGTGACAGTGCCCTTGGCAGTGATCACTGTCGGCACTGCCACAGGCAATCCGAAACCATTCAACACATTACAGGCGCATGTTCATCCATCACACAAACAGATTACAAACACCGACACGACCAGGTTGCAGCTATCATACATCAGGCACTCGCATATAAACACAAATTAATCGCTGAAAAAACACCGTACTACAAATACACACCCCAAATTATACTCGACTCTCCTGAATATAAAATGTACTGGGATAGAACCATACTTACGGATAAAACTATACACCATAACCGACCTGACATCACTCTCCACGACAAGAAAAACAAATTAGTATATTTGATAGACATAGCAATCCCTAACACGCACAACCTTAGTTCTACCCACACCAATAAACTCTCCAAATACGCAGACTTGACCATTGAGCTTAAAACTCAGTGGCAAGTTCACACAGTCAAAACAGTCCCAATTATAATATCTAGCACAGGCGTCATCCCCAAAACACTCGATACAAGCTTAAAAACCCTTGACTTACACCCTCTCACATACACACTGTTACAAAGAGCGGTTATATTAAACACTTGCAGAATCGTCAGAAAGTTTCTGTCCATAGAATAAAAATATCATCAAATCATCCCCAAGGTTGCTTTGACCACAAGTCCGCAACTTTGGTGTATTTCCCCAGAAATGGGTGAGGTCTGAACCTATATACAAAATAATAATAATAAAAAGCTGTTTATTTCTCATAAAATACAGTTTTATACAAATCTTAATTTAATCTTAAACTTAAATAGAAAAGATTGTACTAACTGTGTGGAAACTCAGTTCGTTTTTTAATGGCAATATTTGTTCGTGGAAATATTTTTCATTGTGAAGTTTTCGAGTTTATCACGAACAGACAGAACCAACATAGGACTTTTTACTAAGTTATATTATATCGAAATTAATTTACTAACCTCACAAACTCCTGTCTGAGATTAAACGCCACATCCTTGTTAGAATCCACAAACAGTTTGACTGGTTTCTTGAGCGACACGGCGGCGAGATCCTTGACCTGTTCCGACATGGTGGCTGAGAACAACATGGTCTGTCGCTTCGGGGAGCACTGGCGGATGATCTCCTTCATCTGCTCCGCGAAGTACTCGTCTAACATCCTGGGGGATAAATCAAAAAGGTTTTTTAATGGGCAAACGAGCAGGTGGGTCATTTAAACATAATAATAACATCACGCCTTTTATCCCCGAAGGGGTAGGCAGAGGTGCACATTACGGCACTTAATGCCACTGTAGAATGTAACACCCACTTTTCACTATTTATGTTATAAGTCCCATGTAATATGGGGTGAGCCTATTGCTATATACCGGGTATACTTCCAGACTCCGTGCTACTACTGAGATTTTTAAAAACCCAGTAATACTTTGCCCGACCCGGGAATCGAACCTGAGACCTCTTGACCAGCATTCGCACTTGCGCCCACTCGGCCAACGAGGCAGTAGGTCACTTATTAAAATGGTAACCAATTGATATATTGTATACACGCATAACATCCGTGGAGTTATAAATTCATTGCCAGCTATTAGCGTTGTGCCACGTCGGTTTCCTGTAAGACCATAGTACCAGTGCAATGAAGGATTTATCTTTTTTTCGAAAATATAAACCTTTTTTTACTTTTTAGCGGAATTAGCTAGATATCGGACTAGAATTCCAGTGCCTTTAGCCAAACGCCACTTTAGCGCTTGTCTACCAAGAGAGTAGAAATCAAAATGTATGGAGATGACACTGACATGTGTCAAAATTGACGTCAATTCCATATAATTTGGTTTTCTATTCTACATGTAGACAAGCGCTGAATGGCATTTGGCTACAGCTGCAGATAGGGTAAAATATAGTTTTAAATTATCCTTACTAATATTATAAATCTGAAAGTGAGTTTGTTTGTTTGTTTGTTCCACCTTCACGCCGTAACTACTCAACCGATTGCTTTTAATTTTTGCAGACGTAAAGTTAGAAGTCCGGATTAAATAATAGGGTACTTTTTAACCCGGAAAAAAATTGATATTCCCGAGGAAAAACGAAAGTATTGGTATAGATGGCGCTGTGTGTATTGGTATATGTCACATAGGCTACTTTTTATTCATTTGTGATGCGAACGAAGCCGCGGGTAAAAGCTAGTGTTAAATAAATTAAATTATGTTGTAAAATAGTTTTTCTTAAATGTGCCCGATGTTAGTAATAATAGTAGTACTATATAATAATAGTAGTTTTGAAGTTACCTATCAGCCTCGTCGAGCACGAGGACTTCGATGGAGTGTAGTCCGAACGAGGGAGTGTTGCGGATGTGGTCTATGAGCCGGCCCGGGGTCGCTATCACTATGTCCGGGTTACGACGGAGCATGGTTTCCTGAGGAAATTAGAAAATATGTTACGTTGATAACAACATACATATATACATAACATCACGCCTTTTTATCCCCGAAGGGGTAGGCAGAGGTGCACATTTCGGCACTCAATGCCACTGTACAATGTAACACCCACTTTTCAGTATTTATGTTATAAGTCCCATGTAATAGGGGGTGAGCCTATTGCCATATACCGGGCACATTTCCAGGCTCCGTGCTAGTAACTGAGATTTTTGAAAAACCCAGTAATACTTTGCCCGACCCGGGAATCGAACCCGAGACCCCTTGCCCGGCAGTCACACTTGCGACCACTCGGTCAACGTTGATAACAACATGATTACTTAAATTAAGATTCAACCACAAAAAAAAACATAGAGTAACAGGTGCGTTGCCGGCCTTTTAAAAAGGAATACGCTCTTTTCTTGAAGGTTTGAAGTTCGTATCGGTTCGGAAATACTGCCGACGACAGATCATTCCACAGTTTTGCTGTGCGAGGCAGGAAGCTACGTGAGAAGCGTACAGTAGTGGCCAGCCAACCATCTATATGATGGGGATGTATATGCTGTCGTCAATAAATGCTCACCTGATATTTGACGTCGAGTCCTCCGATAGAGAGGCCGACTGTAACCGCCGTGAACTGACACAGCTGTCGCGTCACCGTGTGTACCTGTCAATATACAAATCATTTATTAATTTGACTAATCATCTGCTATAAGGAAGTCCCTCTCTGTTCGTGATACAATAAGAAATGTTTAAACGAAAAACAAAAGAAAAAAGAAAGGCTGCCTTGTTGACCGAGTGGTCGCAAGTGCGACTGCCGGGCAAGGGGTCTCGGGTTCGATTCCCGGGTCGGACAAAGTATTACAGGGTTTTTAAAAAAAATCTCAGTCGTAGCACGGAGTTTGGAATTGTGCCCGGTATATGGCAATAGGCTCACCCCCTATTACATAGGACTCATAACATAAATAGTCATAAGTGGGTGTTACATTGTACAGTGGCATAATGTACACCTCTGCCTAATCTTCGGGGATAAAAGGCGTGATGTTATGTTTGAACGAAAAGCCGATGATGATTCTTGGGGTAGTTTATAATGGTTGAGAGTATAAACATAACGTCATGCCTTATAAACGTCGAAGGGTCCAAGCAGGGAAAGGACTAGGTTATTATATTTTCCGTCGCAACAGGGCCTTTAGCCAAACGCCACTTTAGCGCTTGTCTACAGAGAGAGTAGAAATCAAAATGTATGGGGATGACACTGACAAGTGTCAAAATTGACGTCAATCCCATATAATTTGGTTTTCTATTCTACATGTACACAAGCGCTACATGGAATTTGGCTATAGCTGCAGAGCGAATTACGACTGGAGATAGACAAGATGTTGGAGAGTGACATATGTTACTTTTTTCTATGATACTTAGGGGTCATTAATAAATTAGGTCACACGCATTTTATGATGTGTTTGCCCCTCCCCCGTTCTCATCACAGCTAGTATTATATTATATTTGTGGTATTCCCCCCTCCCCCTAAAGAGAAATTTTATAGAATTACAGTATAGAAACCAGTTATTGTTGTATTTTCATTTCCGCTAAAATTACTTTAAAAAATATGAATATCAAATGAAACACTTAACAAAATAAAAAAATATTAATATAATTATATTTCGTATTTTTTTTTCAGCCATGATCGTCCCTCTGCACTGCAGTGCAAAGGCGAATAAAAATATTTCAATATTTCAAATATTTCGTAACACAAATTATAATAGGTTTTGAAATGTGACATAACAAAGTTTTGGACCCCTCCCTCCCTCTTGTCACGCAATGTCAGACTTCGTCGATCCCCCCCTTCCCCCTTAAGTTACGTCCAGTTTTTATAACCTATCTATCTGTAAATTTGCTTACTAGAGATAGAATTTTGACACATTTTGTATGGAGCTCATGTCAAAATTCTATCTCTAGTAAGCAAAAGATAGATAGGTTATAGAAACTGGACGTTAATTGGCTATGTAGAACGATTTACTCTAGTAGTTGTTTGACGAGGTAATTCGCCAGCATTTTGTAAACTGCTATTAGTACATACCTGCGCTCCCAGTTCCCTGGTAGGCACGAGTACGAGGACCCTGGTGACCCGCTGGCCCGCGCTGGCCTTGTACAGCAGTCGCTCCAGTATGGGCAGCATGTACGCCGCCGTCTTACCTGTACCCGTCGCCGCGCACGCACATACGTCCTTACCTGCGGATAACAGGCGTTCATTTTTGATATGACATATTTTCTAACTTGCAATAGCAGCCACTTTTCCTATTTAATAGGCGATATGAACCGCCTAGGACCTGGGTGCTTACTCTTGACACCAATCTCAATGTCAAAGCAATTTCAATCCAATACAATCTCAATAATTATTCAAAGTCAAAACTATACAACCCCTATCGTAGTTGTTAAAATAGTGTTCGAAATATACAGCCAAAGTCAATATCATTTCGTTCATTCAATATCCACGCAATACGGATGCAATGAGCGCTAGTGTTGCAACTCAAGAGTACGAAATTTCACAATACCAATGTCCATAGATCGGAATTGGATTCAAGAGTAAGCCCCCTGGGCGAACTACCGCTTGTGGGTAAATTATATTTTAATGTTTGTTCTTAAAATATTTTTTGGCCTAATTGTAATAAAAACTTGTCTTTTAGAAGCAAAAAGGTTTTAGCTTTTTTTTAATCGATTAAAAAGTTCACAAACTTACCAAGCAATGCCACAGGTATAGTAGCGGCCTGTATGGGCGTGGGATGCACGTAGTTGAGGGTCCCTATAGCCTTCAGCAGCGGTCGGGACAGGTTCATCATGTAGAAGGACGCGTTCTCGTCGTACGGAGGAGGCTCCTCGAAGAAGTCTGAATCATATTCTATGCGGGCGCCCTGCTCGGTCTCGTCTTCTAATTCCTGTGTGTTTGAAGATAAGTTTTAGTCTAGTATAGATTGTTGGTTAAGTGTAATAAAACTACTGAATAACTTAATTAAAAATCTCTAGTAGAGCTTTTCTCAGTATTTCCACGTTATGAATACGCCGCGATTTTTAGTTAACTTAGTGTGTCTCACGATAGTTATTATCCTCACTAATATTATAAATCTGAAAGTGAGTTTGTTTGTTTGTTCCACCTTCACGCCGTAACTACTCAACCGATTGCTTTGAATTTTTGCAGACGTAAAGTTAGAAGTCCGGATTAAATAATAGGATACTTTTTAACCCGGAAAAACTGATATTCCCGAGGAAAAACAAAAGTATTGGTATAGATGGCGCTGTGTGTATTGGTATATGTCACATAGGCTACTTTTTAACCTTTTGTGACGCGAGCGAAGACGCGGGTAAAAGCTAGTAAAAACATAACTTTGAAATTAATATTCGAAATACTTAAATAAGAAGTATTTAGTACTAAATACACAGGTAGACATGTGGATGTCTACCAGTTACATTATGAGAACCATGTATTAATTATTTATTTATATGAATACAACGGTACAATAAACCAATTACACTACTCAATACATATTCAATTGTAAGAAACAATACAATATTATAATATATGCCTTAAAAAAAGTGGTTTATAGTCAGTAAGAGCCTGACACTCACTTCACCGGGCGGGAGAAATCATTGGATGAATTTAATCCATCAAAAAAAAGATAAAATCTTAACTGATACATTAGAGACAGTACCTGTTTCAATTTCTCTTTCTTAGTGAGCTTCTTACGTTTGTTCTTGATTTCATCTTTTTTGAGCTCATCATCTGATATCTCCAGTTCTCCCGTATCATTTTCTGTAAATTACAATAAATAGCATAGTATGTACAATTTTAATGCAAAACCTCAAGTCTCTATATTAAAAATTAATAGTGTGAAAACTTTTTTTTGTATGGGATATTCTGGTAAACGCGCAGACAGATCACCTGATGGTAAGCAATCGGCGTCGCCCATTGACACCTGGTAAACCAGAGGCGTTACAAGTGCGTTACCGGCCTTTCCTTTTCTTCTCTAATCCCCATTAGGAATTTGAGGAATGTTGGGGATTCAGAGATTAGGATGATTGAGGAAGGGGGAGAGGGTAGTTGGGCCTCCGGTAACCTCACACACATAACGAAACACAACGCAAGCATTGTTTCATGTTGGTTTCTTGAAAGGCCGAGATATCACTTGAACTGTGTCTTATCATGGCTTTTCAATACTTACTAAAAAACCATTATTTAATTTAATTTTACAAATTCATGAGTTTAAAATATCCACAAAATTGTAGTTCAAGAAAGAAATGAAAGACAATTTTAATATACAATCTTATGCTAAGTCCATTATTCAACTGTTGTAGGATTATAAAAGAATGTTACCATACCATTGTTATCGACATCAGAGTCTGTGTCGACATCCTCAGCGTTCCCATTGACTTTTACTGCGGCTCTCCGCATCTGAATCTTGTCATCTAGCGTGTGTTTCACATTGCGCTTCACATACTTCTGGAGGTCATCCCATGGGCTCTGGAATATGTTGTTTATTGTTTGAGTTAAATTTCATAGAAAAAAGGTCTTGATGTCACATTAGATCAATGTATATGTAGGGACAGACTAGTATGCAATTGTTTATATAATACATATACGATTGTATGTGTGAGGTGTCTATTTACATTATTCCTTAAACCCAAGCAACTGTGTCCAGTCGATGAAATTATATGAAGGAGTTAACACATTCCTTAGTTATCCGTGTGTCAGTTGCGATAAATTATTATAATCTAATTGTATGTCTGTATGACCTTGTGTGTGTGGAACAATATATTTTATAGCAGTACTCAGACTTTCATTGACCAATTAATAAAGACAGCATATCTACAACCACTAAATCTACATATAAATAAAGAATTAGAAATAAGTGGATGGATAAGCACAATTTTAATTTCATAATTTAGTTAATATTCTAAAAACAATATTAAATGGACCATGGGAATGGAACCCTGTATTTGTTGCCTTTACTAGTTACCATAAATATGTATACACCACATACCTTATTATATTCATCTACAGTTCCAACAAATTTAAAATTAGGGTTGATATCTGCTTTCCTTTTGATTTTCTGTTTAGATGGTTGATACTGGAAATAAAAATAACCATTTAATTACATACATTTAGTTATCTATACGGAACATTCTAAAAAAAATGTTGGAATGCATGGCAATGATCATCATGGTCATGATTCTCCTGTGACAAAAAAAACAAAGTTATTTATATCATGTACAAAATAGATATAGAATAATTCTAGCGTTGAAATCCTTTCTAACGTAGAAAATAATTCTAAAGTTCGCACTGTGTCCAGATGACAGTGCGAACTTACAAATTAAATATTTTATTCCTACAAAACCATGCAACATTACAATTATAAATTAATGATTACTATTACCGTTCAAAAGAGAGTTGTTTAAATAAAATATAGAGATAAATGTAAATATTAGTACAGAAATGCAACATGCTATTAAGTTTCCAGCAATATTTCACAATCATTTACAATGTTTTTAAACTAAATGCAGTGTGATAACTTACGTCTACTTCTTCATCCGATTCCTCGGAGAAATCTTCGACTTCTTCACCATCCTGTATTGTTTTAATATACGTCGGTAATTCTATAGGTTTCTCCATAATTATTTTACTTTTATTCACACGACATGCTTTACACAACTTTTGTAAATAAATTCGCTTTGAGGCTTTGAGGTTATCCTTCAAAATCGCATGTTGCTCTGTCTGTCGTTCCGTTTCACATTTACATTTTCCGGGCTGTCAATTTGGCAGTTCTAAAACAAAGATTTTGCGTATAATGAATTTCTCTTTAGTCGATTCTCTGTCGCAGAAGTACTTCACTTTTTTAATTATCATAACTTTAATTAGTCTTTATTTTATTTTCACAAGTTCACAACACTAGTGTCATGTCATGTCGTAAATGTCAGGTTTTCACAAGTGTATGTTAGAGAAAATTAAATTTATTTTGCCGATAAATCGTTAAGGATGGCAGATCTGCTAAGTATTCACGATGATATTAAATTGTAAGTTTCTTATTTTCTTAAAAAAACCATAGCATGTGCGTTACATTTTGTAAAAACGACTCTCTCAAATCTTTACCTTACGTGTATCTTGTATTCATGTTTTCCTCGAAGCCGTACACAATTTTGTACAATATGCCGTGTATTTATCATTAACAGTAATTGAAAATTGAATACAATTTTATACAATGTTCAAAATTTTAAGATTTTCATGTTTTATTTACGTTATTTAATCACCATAATTTGCATTATAAAGAGATAGTTTAGAGCGATATAAGTCGTTAAATAAAGTTAGCCGTATCTGATAATTACGTCATAAGCAATTATTTGACGACAGTGTAAGCTATACTGGCTATATTCTGTATAAATTCCATGATTTGCATCCAGTCTCTTGAGAAAAAGTATAAAATAAAAAATGTTGTATTGCAAGTCATTGCAAGATTGTTAAGACTGTAAATTATACTAATTTACGTGTCATTATTTGCGCTAACCTTTGCACTTATACTTGGAAAAGATTTGTTTTCAATTAAAAATTGTTTAATGATCGGAATCTAAGAAAATATTTACTATGCTAATTATTCTTATAGTTATGATGATACTAATTTAATTAGTATCAATGAGTTATGTATTTTGATATCTGAATATATGAAATAAACAACTTTCAGTTATCTAAAAGTTATCTATCAATGTATATAAAATATTCAGTACTAGCTATCGCTAGCTGTTTCACTCGCTCTACTCAGCGCCTATTTGTCGTAGCATGATATTTTATAGCCTATGACCTTCCTCAATATATGGGCTATCCAACACAAAAAGAATTTTTGAAATTAGAGCTAGTTCCTGAGATTAGCATGTTCAAACAAACAAACTGTTCAGTTTTATTATAATAGTATAAGAATCAGTATTGACTGTAAATTATAAAAGTAAATGTGATAGTAATTTTGTTTGTTTATTTATTTCTTTACTGTATCTACTAGTCCAACCTTCATAATGTTGTAATGTTTACTAAAATACCATAAGTCCACATTTCCATATGTATTATAAACTATAGCAGTTAAAACCTTACAAGCTGTTTAAACAAGTGACCTAATGATGACACAGAAAGCTAGCATGTCAGTCATAAAAATTATATGTATAGGTACTCTATAGTAACCCCTATAGAGTTAGAAATGTTTAGGCAGGGTATAGCAAGAGTCCTCTCTGCATATCTCTAAGGGCCAATTTTTCCAACGCCAGATAAATGCCTTAGGACATTAAGTTGTGGCACTGTTATTTTTGTGAAGAAGAAAATATAAATAAATTTTAACTGAGGAATAACTAGCAGTATTTGACAATTCTTCCATACTAAAAACTGTGAATTGTCAATTTTATTCTACAGTAAAACAATTTAATTACTTAAAAAAAAGTCGCCCCATGCTAGGATTTTCTCCTGTGTTGTGGTTGCGTTTACAAACATACAAGTTTACACATGCCCCCTATACCCCGAACCATAATTTGTGGGTGACACAAAGAGTTGCTTCGTGCGGGAATCGAACCCGCGACACGTTGTGCGGCAGTTGGTAGCCCAGCCACCTTACCAACCAGTTCTGCCTGACGAATTGATGATTGAAAGATTTGCCCTATGACATATAATGCCCATAGCATTAAGTTTACTTATATATCTTTGTTGTGATAGAGTTTTAAATAAATATAAGTATGACATGATACATAATAGTAATTAAATATTTTACTTTCAGATATACAACTTCAGACAAATTCTATTTGGAGCCCACAATACATCCCACAGAGATTCTGGTTATAGACAGAGTCACTGGGGAAGCTTCTGTCAAAGGTATGTTTGTAATAATAAATGAAATTGTACAGCCAAAGAATGTTGCTCTATGGGTTTACAAATTGACTAGGGAACTGCAGCAGTCAACACCTATGATGAATAGTCTGGAATCAATTCTCTTTAGATTCCTATATATATACAGCTAGGAATAAGCAAATAGCTTCTCTTGGAATTTTTTGTTTATTCAAAACTACTACCAAACTATTTGATTTGTTGAAAGTTGTGGGGGCTGCTTGAATCTTGAGCGAAATTTCAATACGAGGCTAGACGCAAGGAGAGATCACTGTAGATGAGTGTGATGAGTGTACAATTTTGTACTTACAAACATACAAGTCTACGGCTACGACTACATGGTTGGCGCGGTGGTTGGGCAACTGGCTGCCGTGCAATGTGTCACGGGTTCGATTCACGCAAGGAACAACTCTTTGTGTGATCCACAGGTTGTTGTTCCGAGTCTGGGTGTCATGTGTATGTGAACTTGTGTGTTTGTAAACGTACCCACGACACAGGAGAAGATCCTAGGGCAACGTTTAAACAAAAAAAACATTATCAATTAGGGGATTACAAATGTGATTTTAATGTTTTCAGATGTTGGTTCAGTAAAAATTCCGATCCCAGCGAATGCATACCGACCAGTGTGTGGTTTCCTGGGCTCAATCAAGCTCATATCTGGATTATATTTAGTTGTGGCCAAATATAGAATTTTGGTAAGTAAATATTTATTAACATTTTAGTATTTTCTACTGCTCCAAGTGTGCATTCAAAAACAAGGTCTTTCATGGGGGTAGGTACGTATATTGAACTATAGTCAGAATTTTAATTAGATTCCAGATTTGACAATAGCTACTGTCATTTTGTGAAATAATGATACCACATATAATAGTGTAGTGATGCACACAAAAATCGATAAACAATCAGTGTGTGTGTTTTATAATAAATGTTACAGAAAGTGACAGGATAGCGATAGCGATGACGGCGACAATTTATAAAATAACTTATTGCCATAATACATCTATGTGTTTTATTCATGTTCCTTCATGATTACATTTTTTTATTTATTTCACACACAATTATAAAAGACAAGTCTCAGATCGTTAATTAATTGTCAAAACTAAATTATCGGTTCAGAAATATTTAATTTCCTGATATACTTATTTTACGAGAGTATAATTATAAACGAGAAGAATCGATCCAGAAATATTGCATTTCCATATCGAATAATTTCGCAACGTCACTATTTAGTACTTGTAATAACGTTGCAACACTGAAATTGTCAAATCTGGAATCGAATTAAAATTCCGAGTATAATTAAAAGAGTTAAATAATTGTATGTATCTCCACAGGTTGGCAAACTAAATGGGCACGAAATATATCAGCTGGCGGGCACAGACATCATACCGTATGCACGCTCCAACACACATCTCACCAGCAAACAGGTATGTTCACAGTACAGCATCTGTCAAGCAAAGCAAAGAAAACAATAATAAATAAGGTTGGAATTGCAGCGTGTAGAAGATTTCATTACCGATATAAAAGATCTAAATTTATCTTCTATATAAATAACATCACGCCTTTTAGGCAGAGGTGTACATTATGCCACTGTACAATGTAACACCCACTTTTCACTATTTATGGTATGAGTCCCATGTAATAAGGGGTGAGCCTATTGCCATATACCGGGCACACTTCCAGACTCCGTGCTACTACTGACAATTTTTTAAAAACCCTGTATTTCTTTGCCCGTTCCGGGAATCGAACCCGAGACCTCTTGCCCGGCAGTCGCGCTCAGCTAACGAGGCTATCTTTAACTTCTATACAAACAAAAATAAATTTCCGTTTATTAGTCCCGCTAAAACTCAACAACCAGATACCGATTTGGCAAATTTTGGTCTTGAAATGTTCGTGGAAATTCAGGGAAGGTTCAAAATATGAGAAAAAAAATTGTAGGCTGTACGAAGTTCGCCGGGTCGGCTAGCAAGAGATAAAAAAAGAAGAGACAAGAGATACAAAATATAGAACATGAGCTTTGCCCGCGTTAAATTAAAAATGGCAGGTATTTTCGTTAGTAACAAAGAGTCTGTGTGCCGATTTTAGCTTCCTGTCTTGAAAACTGCTAAAAGACCCATATAAAACAACCGCTCTTTTAATTTATTTCAAATTAAATATTGGGCGATTTTTTTTGTAGTCATAAATAGTCAGCATACCAATTTTAGCTGCCAACCTTGAAAATTGCGGAATGCTCCATGCAAACTTCCACGTCCTATTTTAGGGAAGTGGAGGGTTAGAAAAGGGCAAAATGTAGCCTATGTTACTCTCCATCCCTTCAACTATCTGACGAACAACAATCGCAATAGTAACGTAATAGTATCGAGCGCATTCGGCGCTCTGATTGGCCGGCTCGAGTGAACCAACCAATCAGAACGCTTAACTCGCTCGATACTGTTACGATACGAATGCGATAGTTATTCGTGCTTGGCACTCCACACTTGAAAAATCACGTCAATTCGTCGCTTCGTTTTTCCGTGAAAGGAAGACAAACATACAGACAGACACACTTTCCTATTTATAGTATTAGTATGGATATACGTCAATAAACAATTAGTTACTATGAATATGAATACCATGTTCGTGCAGATAGATGACAACGCGACATACGAGCGCATGCTCCGCGCGGCGCTGGACACGGTGGGCATCTACTTCTCCTACAGCTACGACCTCACGCACTGTCTGCAGCGGCTGCACTCGGTCACTCCAGACTTCCATAGGGTGAGTACTATAAGACTTCATTTAAAGTTTACGATGAAATTAAACGTGATTTATAGGTTAATTGCCAACTAAGGTTTTACAGGTAATGTTTCCTGATGTTACTAAAGTATACCTTTTTGTTTCATATAGTTGTCATTTTATGGTTCTTTACACGATAAAATTGCCATTTTTTTATGGCATAAGCCGGTAAACGAGCAGACGGATCACTTGATGGTAAGCAATCGGCGTCGCCCATGGACAACTGGAACACCAGTGGGTTGTTAGTGCGTTACCGGCCTTTTGGGGAATTAGGAGTTTGAGGATCGTTGGGGATTCAGGAATAGGGGAGATTGGGGAAGGGGAAGGTAATTGGGCCTCCGATAACCTCATTTACACGACAAAACACAACGCAAGCGTTGCTTCATATCGGTTTTCTATGAGGCCGTGGTATCACTCCGGTCGAGCCGGTCCATTCATGCCGAAGCATGGCTCTCCCACACTTCATTCGAAACTGTATTTTTTTTTGTGGCAAAGTTGTAAGCAAGTACCTATTGGTAAGCACCGCTAAAAGTGTTTTATTAGGCTTGGGGGGGAGGTGGAGCTGTGTTATTCCACCCTAGTTTTGTATGAGTTCTTTTATGACATTGTTTCCAGATGTCCATAGCGAACCGCGCGGACCCTCGGTTCCTGTGGAATGGCTTCCTACTGCGGGACTTCTCTCACCAGCAGTTCTCACGGTTCGCACTGCCCATCATACAAGGCTGTATCCTTTTTAACCGAACATTATTTAACTGTCTCTAGACACATGTTAATACCTATGTGTAAAAACTGAATTAAATCATTCCAATGTGATCTGAATGAAGTCTGGTAAAAAAAGTCTTCAAAATTTTCTTCTAAGTCTTGAAACTCGAGCGGTAAAATAAAATGAAATAAATCTTTATAGCTGTAGTTACAATTAAAAAAAAATATTACAGATGTAAGTAAGGTTGTAACAAAGAGGTAAGGAATAAAGCGAACTTAAAAAACTACCCTAATATAATCTCAACATTCGGTTTCTCTGCTCTTACAGCTTGTCTTTCGACAAAGCCAATTTTTAAATTAATTACTCTTATAACTATTACGTCGATGTATTAAAGTAAGAAAAAATATTATAATATGTAGTTATTATATTTATATATAACATAAAATAAGAATTAAATCTTATACTTATTATATAAAGCAGAAGAGTTTATTTTTTTGTTTGTTTGAACGCGTTAATCTCCGTAACTACAAGTCTAATTTGAATAATTCTTTTTGTGTTGGATAGCGCATTTATCAAGGATGGCTGTAGGCTATAAAACATCACGCTATGACCAATAGGAGCTGAGCAGAGCGTGTGAAACCGCGCAGAAGTAGCTAGTCAAGATTAAAATTATACGTTTATTGTAACCTGAAAAACTATTTCAGAAGGTCTCAGCAAATCTACCTATACCGGCTACAAACAATTTTCAACTTTAACCTCCACAACAACAAAGTGTACATTTCCTTAACTCGTATACAGTCGTGTCAATAAACAACGTGACAGTGAACGGTCACTCGTTGACGTGGTCTCTGGTGTCGCGCCGGTGTGTGGACAGGGCGGGGACCAGGTTCTTCATGAGAGGAGTCGATGCTCAGGTGAGACGCTTATTTCATTGGTTTTAAGGTTGATTTTTGCTTGACAGATTCGTGATGTTGGTAATTTTGTGGATTTTTATACTTTTGACATAAATATTGATTATTGTTTTGAAGTTTTGACAATTAAATGTTTATTTTAATAGTCATTTTAATTAATTTTGAGCACTTTGAACATTGTCAATTAGATTTCATGACGACCAAAATTAAATGACGACTGGCACGCACACACACTCGCGCACGCGCTCTTCCTCTCTCTCTCTCTCTATGTTTCTGTCTCTCTTTCACTCACACTCTCACTCTCTCTCTCACACACAAAGTACAATAAACCTATTTCTTCACCAGGGTAACGTAGCGAACTTCGTGGAAACAGAACAGATAATAGAGCGAGGCGGCGAGAAGTCATCCTTCGTACAGACTCGGGGTTCGATTCCATTATACTGGAGCCAGTACCCCGATATCAAGTATAAGCCCGCCATGCAACTGTCACACGAGGACCATGTCGCCGCTTATACTAAACATTTGAGGGATCAGCAGCAGAGATATGGGAATCAGGTGCTCGTTAATTTGGTGAGTCCACTTTTCATAATTTAGTCATAATTGTTACATACCGTATATTACATACAACTTCCAAATAATATAATTGAATATTAATTTGAGCTGAAATATGTCAGTTAAGCTAACGATAATTTTATTCGAACATTTTAAAAAATATCCTAAATAAAAATAGCACTATTTTTCTTTACTTGTATTGTATACTAGCTTTTACCCGCGGCTTCGCTCGCGTCACAAAAGGATAAAAAGTAGCCTATGTGACATATACCAATACACACAGCGCCATCTATACCAATACTTTTGTTTTTCCTCGAGAATATAACATTTTTCCGGGTTAAAAAGTACCCTATTATTTAATCCGGACTTCTAACTTTACGTCTGCAAAAATTCAAAGCAATCGGTTTAGTAGTTACGGCGTGAAAGTGGAACAAACAAACAAACAAACTCACTTTCCAATTTATAATATTAGTAAGGACTAGCTTCTGCCAACGGCTTCGCCCGCGATCCTAGGGGTAAAATGCCTATGTATCACTTCAGACCATAATCTACCTCTGTTCCGAATTTCATTCCGGTCCCTTCAGTCGTTTTAATATGACTGAGTAACAAACATACACATAAACTCACATATTTTCATTTATAATATCGAGTCAAGCTAATTTCAACCATTGGCCTTTCAGTTACAGCGTAAAGTCTATGAATAAGTGTTTCACTTATATTATAAGTGAAACACTTATTTTGTTAGTGTGACGTCGAAACGTTAATCATCGGTTCTCTATGGCACGGTTGGCGCGGTGGTTGGGCAAATGACTGCCCCGCAACGTGTCGCGGGTTCGATTCCCGGCTCCCGCACGGAGCAACTCTTTGTGTGATCCACAGATTGTTGTTCCGGGTCTGGGTCTGATGTGTATGTGAACTTGTATGATTGTAACTGGAAAACTGGAACACTGGAAAAAAATCATATTGTGGGGCAACTTTTATAAAAATAAAACTTCGTCACTCACCCCAATGCCTTTGTCTCTGTCTGCCTCAGATCGACCAGCACGGCAAAGAAGAAGCGTTAGAGCGAGGGTTCCGCGCTGCAGTAGCGGCGGCAGCACTGCCCGGCGTGCGATACGAACCGTTCGACTTCCACGCAGAGTGCCGCTCTATGAGGTACTACCGGCTCAACGTGCTCATTGACAGGATCAAGTTGGAACAGGTACTTATACCAGATTTTTGTATTCAAGTTACGTACGTGAAAAATAATTCGGAGATGCTCGACTAGTTTCGAGCCTCATGTTCATGATCATCAGTTGATTGTGCGATGTCGTTCGCTGCAAAATTTTGTTTATCCCGCGACACTTGTCTTTTTCATTTTCAATGTAAATTCTTTTTTCAGGCGGAATTCGGTTACTTCCTCTCCCGCGGAGGAACAGTCCTCCTCCGACAGAACGGAGTGTTCCGCACGAACTGCGTGGACTGCCTCGACCGCACCAACGTAGTACAGAGCCTGCTGGCGCGGCTACAACTGAACGCGGCGCTCAGGATACTCGCAGTCACCAGTACTGATGATGAGAAACATACTGAGTTCGATAACCTGTTTAATAATGTGAGTATAATATCAGTAATCTTACTTCTTACTTATAATATTATAGAAGCAAAATTTTGTGTATATGTTTGTAACTGACTGCCTCGTTGGCCGAGTGGTCGCAATTGCGACTGCCGGGTAAGGGGTCTCGGGTTCGATTCCCGGGTCGGGCAAAGTATTACTGGGTTTTTAAAAAAATCTCAGTAGTAGCACGGAGTCTGGAACTGTGCCCGGTATATGGCAATAGGCTCACCCCCTATTACATGGGACTCATAACATCAATAGTGAAAAGTGGGTGTTACATTATACAGTGGTATAATGTGCACCTCTGCCTACCCCTTAGAGGATAAAAGGCGTGAAAAAAATGTTATGTTATGTTTGTAACTCCGTCACGTCAAAACTGATGCATGAAATTGGGAACAGTGGTGGATTATGGTTTGGACACATAGTATCCTACATTATGTAGTATCATAAACTATCTGCTAAATAAGTTTATCCGGTAATCATGATCACAAACAACTTTCCCAAAGAATCTTTCTTTGTAAACTTATTAGTTATTCTTATCACAATATCAAAGTTCAAATTTCGCGCGCGTGCTTTCGTATGGTCAGCTGTTACACGCCCGGCGCCCGGCCGGTGACGTATGTATCGGTGACGGAGGCGTGCAAGCAGTAGTGACATAAAATAGCTTTTAACAATAGAGTAGATGCCTAATTTTTATTTTAATGTCCGTCTGGTAGATTATGTTAAATCATTAGACACGTATTTTTTATTTTCTTACAGAAACGAATACTTTCGACGACATATTGATTAGAAATGTTGCGTGACGTCACTTCTATGTACATTTTATACGTAGAAATGACATTTTAGCCCCCACTCCTAAACATTGGTTCGTTTTATCTAAGTGTTGTTTCGTATAATAATACGACAAAATAAAAAAATACGTGTCTAATATTTTTTCATTACCTAACTTACGGACTAATTAGATTTTTAATTTTCATACCCTGTCATCATCCCTATTACCTACACATGCTTATTCAATCTCAAAATTATCCATTAATTTAATTGGTCCATTGATGTCAGATATTAATTTTTATTTGATATTATATACCAAACTTTGTTAGTCTTCATTGTCTATCAATCTAAAGTATTACAACATCATCCTGTCTCCTCCCCCAGGTATGGGCAGACCACGCAGATGTAATATCGACCCAGTACTCCGGTACAGGCGCCCTGAAGACAGACTTCACCCGTACTGGCAAGCGGACCCGACTGGGGCTTGTAAGAGACGGGGTCAACTCTCTCACTCGCTACTACAAGAATAACTTCAGTGATGGGTTTAGACAGGTATGTATTTTATTTATTCATTTACTAGCTTTTACCCGCGGCTTCGCTCGCGTCACAAAAGGATAAAAAGTAGCCTATGTGACATATATTAATACACACAGCGCCATCTATACCAATACTTTTGTTTTCCCTCGGGAATTTCAAATTTTTCATTATTTAATCCAGACTTCTAACTTTACGTCTGCAAAATTTCAAGGCAATCGGTTCAGTAGTTACGTCGTGAAGGCGGAACAAACAAACAAACTCACTTTCCGATTTATAATATAAGTAAGGAAAGTAAGGATTTTCAACTTCATACAACAAGTGTGTACAGGTGGACTTAATGCCTTGGTCATTGTCTCCCAGTCAACCTTTAAGCAGTGCAGAGATGAAAGTAGCAGGTGATTTGAAGTATTTTATTAGTAACCTCTGCTTTTCTTCTTGTGGATGTTGTAAGAGTTTTTAGGGAATAGAGAGTAAAGTTCCCTAAGATCGGAAAAGGAGGATACTCCGACAAGGCGAGGTGGTCGTGCCTGGCGGGCTTTCTGCCCAACAGTTGTTCGTTGGGATTTTCTATCCGTGTTTATTCGCAAGTAAACTTCACATGTGCGATTGTACTTGGTTTGACTAATAAGTTGACATTGTGTTGTTCAGGACTCCATCGACCTGTTCCTGGGTAAGTACGTGGTGACGGACGGCGAGGGGAACACACTGCCCTGTCCACTGCGCAGGGACAGAGACTGGAAGTATATCACGGTGAGTCATATGTACCATCATACCATAATATCGATACATAGATTAAAATCGTAGGAAAGTGAAAACTGTACATCGAATATTTTCTTAAAAGAATGCTTTGGGCGTGATCTACAATCGATACCTATTGTAACTATCGTGAGACATAATACTAAATTAACTAAAAACTTCGGGTTACTCTCGTGAATATACTGAGAAAAGCTCAACTAGTTTCGAACCACAGAGGGGTTCTTCCTCATGAGCAGCAGTCTACTCTAGTAGAGCTTTTCTCAGTATATTCACGTGAGTAACCCGCGATTTTTAGTTATCATGAAAGATTTTTTTTAATTGGAAAAGCCCGCCACATAGTAGGTATTTTAATACATAATTTAACACTTTAATTCTAATGTAGACAATCTAGTTTCCTTATGGCATCGAGCATTTCTTTATTGAAACAAAGAGTTTCCTTTTCTTGTATAGAAGCACTAATTCTATGGATTGTCAGTATGCATATGTGAGCACCATGTTGGACTTTAAGTTAATTTTTATTAATTTTTTTTTTTTAATTTTTGTAAGTTATTAGTATAATGCGTCAAGCGTGTCTTTGCATTGTTCTTACATATGCGTACAGTATTGAAATATGTATCAGAGACATTGTAGAACATACTTTTTTTAAAAAGAGTAACGAATGGAGTTTCTTGCTCGTTCTTCTCCATTCGAATCTACTTTTTGGAATGAGCACCTAGCTTCACCTAGTTTCACTGACGGACTGACTGACAGACTATTATTTATTTTGTATTTGTTGACGTTTCAAAAGCACCAAACTATGGTTTAATTGAAATAAATGCTTTGACTTTGACTTTGACTTTGACAGCCTCCCAAAACCGCCACAACTCCTGTGAGCCAGGATGTACAGTAGATACAACCATGAAAACACCGGAACACTGAAGTCCGGCGCGTCCCAGGGATGTGAATGTCTTGGATCGCGCAACGAAGTCAATCAGAAAATATTATAAGAGAAGGGAAAGTAACTTGTGAATATGTTGGTACAGTTCCCGTCGGTGCTGCTGGTGGCGATGTCGATGTTCTGCGCGAGCGCGACACTGCCGCAGCGGTACACCAGCGAGGTGCTGCTGTACCTCATGTTCTGGGGCGCCGCCGTCACCGCCACGCTCACCTTCATATTCAGGTATATACTGTCTTCTATGTACTTAGTCTGTTAAATTAAAATCTTAAAGGTACAAAAAAAATTGATTTACAGTTGTAGGTACTTAACATTACGAAGTACTGGTTTACGTTCGATACAGGTTTGATAAAGTGACTTAAGTAATGAAAACTCTGACACTCAAAGAGTCGTATTCTAAATAATAATAATTATTATTACAGTCAGGTGTGATTCCATGTGAGTCCTTAGTCTTAGTAATTTACCCTGGTCCAGCAAAACTATTTATTTTTCAAACTTGTTATGCTACAAAAATTGTAATCCTAAAACACAAACACTACTTAAAAAAGTGCATTGGTCATGAACCAAGCTGTTTAGAGTTCAGTAACATAAATATGCTAAAAATCGACTATTATAATATATTGAATGAAGCAGCCTTTCTAACCATCTATTTTCTGTTGCAGACACGGCAAGGAGTTCGTAGACTGGCCCCGCCTGGACGCGGGCGGACTGGCCGCCGCGCGCGCCCTGCCGCCGCCGCAGTCGTTATGATCATAGACGCGCCGCTCGTAGTCGTCGTCTAAACATACTTATATACCCATCCCGCTCGCACATACTGTGAGCGAGCGAGACAGACAGCTTGTCGGTAACCACGCCTTTTTATTCTAGTGTTGTCTTATCTTTAGTTCAATGAATAAGTGTGTTAATGCTAGGAAGTTAAAGGGTCTTATACTAGCGGTTTGGGGGGCGAATACTTCTCGGCTGTGTCGCGAAATATGCTGCGGCTGTGTCGCGAATACTCCGCGGTTGTGTCGTGAATACTCCGCGGCTGTGTCGCGAATACTCCGCGGCTGTGTCGTGAGTACTCCGCGGTTGTGTCGCGAATACTCCGCGGCTGTGTCGTGAGTACTCCGCGGCTGTGTCGCAATTATTCCACGGATGGCTCACGAATACGCCGCGGCAAACATTTAGTTGAATATATGCAGGTCCTAAAACTATGAAGATAAGGTTTAAAATTGTTTACAATGGAAATTGATAACGAGATTTAAACCTTTTTGGTTCTTATGTCCCTTTCAGTAGGGTTTCTTTTCATTTCAAGTATTTATTATGGTTGCTATATAAATATTAGGTAATGCGTGTAGTTAAAGTATTTAATAATGTTTCCTATTTTTATTAAAATAAAGAGGTTCTGTGTCTGTGTGAGTGATGTTGAGTGGAAATAGTGAATTGATATTGAAATATTTGTTAGGAATTTTAGTAATTTGGGGTTTTTGGCGCCTTTAAAGTATTTTCAGTTCATTGATATACAGTTATAATCTATCTACATTGGTTAAGAAAATTGGGTTAGCCAAAAAAGGTTTGACCAATGTTTGTCCAATTTTTAAACGCGGTTTAAATGGTAGTTACGTTGTTTTAACACCTATAATGAACTTCTCGTATTTCCATAAGCATACGAAGATAATTTTATTTCAAATATTGCATAATGTTACTTCTACATTCAAAATATTCGTATATAGAAGTGAGATTGCAAAAACTATGATTAATAAATTTTATCTGAGTAGTTTTGTTATTTCGAAAACTAAAAATAAAAGCACGAGTCTTATATTTTATCATTAACTGACAAACTAACAAAATATTTTTTTTTTAATTTCGGTATATCTTTGTATATCCATGAACTAAAATATAATATATAAACAAGCATTTTTTGTATAGTACAAAATAATTAAAAGTGGCTGTTACATTGTTATACCCTATCAAAATAAAAATAAAATATTTAGGAAAAATTACTAAATTATTTATTTTTAAGACAGGCAACACTAGAATAAAAAGGCGTTTCATGAAAACATTCACACGACTTTCTTCCTTAGAACACATAAATCGAAGTCTACCACAGTTTTGAACTTAAACTTTATTCCTTTATAACATAGAGTTCATTTTGTATATTTGTCGATTGAAGATCTAATGTCCATGTACAAAATATTGAGAAATTTACGAAAATGTCGTTGGTATAATTATTTTATAGATGAGAAAAAGTATATTTCAATGGTAATGGTTCTTACTGCGATACTCAGAGACGTCTACTGATATACTTAAACAATTTTTTAGTAGCAACTTTATTCCGAAAACAATTATGTACTTGCCTTAATCAAAAATAAATTATTTCGACTGTTCAATACAACAAAATATTAAAATGTCAAACACCAAGCGGTCACCGGTGACCGCGACCTATTGTTCTTTAATTGTGTCTATAAAACCGGTACTCGACGAGTTAAAACGTAATCACACTTTCATTAATTGATTTTATGACCAACTTAATTTTAGTAGTTTTCCAGGACATTAAAAAAAAATAAGTATGCTGTTTGACACTAAGATAACGTGACGTCACAATACACCTTCTCGTACAAAATTCATAGAAAACTGTCGTTTTTGACAGTTCGACAAAAGTATTGAATTCGACTAGTTGGCAAGTACCCAATTGCTAAGGTTAATTAAGGAATTATTAACCACTTGAATGTACCGATATGAGATACAATAGAAACTACCTTTGGTCTCGCGAGGATCCGCGTTTAGACACACGAAAGGAGACTCTGAGTACGGCTGTAAAAGATACAAATTATATTATTTTGTTATCGTGAGGACAACCTTGTTAATAAATTAAAATGTGTATACTGCTTGCTACTGTAACTGTACGGCAGTGCTCGACCAGTTTCAAGCCACAACCGGGGCTCATAAATCTGACCTACTGTTAAACAAAGCCAGCTTGATTCTTTTTATACTTTTTCTTGTCTATATGAATAATAACTAAAGACATTTTGTTAGACCAAACTTGCTATTTTGGCTTATTGTCAATTTATTGATATTTATTAGGTGTTTATTTGAACTTGAATTTTGTAATAAGGATAGTGCTATTTGATTATTGTTCTATCTCTCTCGCACTACTATTTGTAGCTACAGTTAATTGCAGAATTGAATTAGACTCAAGGAACGATTTTTCTAATGATTAAATGAGGCATCTCAAGTCTTGATTTGCAATTATCAGAACTCAATCTTGAAATTTTTCACATACCTAATTCTAAAAAATCTAAATAAAATAATATGCAGAACAATGTTTTCTTGTTTTCATCTCAAGTTCAAATAAACTGCCTTGTTCAATAAATATTTTATAGTAATATGTATTAGCATTCCATTTGTAACTCTTATGCGATTTGTTGGACTAAATCATTATTTTGATTCCTCCATAGATTTAACTAATTAAACTTCGACAAAAGAGTCCTATGAATAAAAAGATATTTTGGGTTTAGTAATATAGCACGTTTGTTTGGCTGTATACTCATTCGATTGTACAATTCAACCAATACAGTGATTTACCCGCAATTATTGCCGTGCAAAAATATACCTTATTTCTTATAAATACGGTCTAAAGTTCAACAAATCGCATAGTCTTGTCTTAACAGAACAAATATTATTGGTAGCAAGCCAGTATGTAGGTTCTAGCTTTTATACCTCTTTTCATTGAATATACCTAATGTGTGATCTGTGGTCCTATAATTATGTTCCTGGGCAAGGAATTGACAGTTTATTACGTATGGATGCGCGGGAGTTTGGGTTTTCAAGTACAGTCTCCTTAAATTTCAACCTTATTTTTAAGGTATATAGCTGAATATTGAGTAATCGTTGAATATGTACTTAATTATATTGGTAGACCGATTTTAGTAGCTTAAACAAATTGTGTGACAAGGATATCAAAATTAACTATTTTAAAAACAGATTTTAATTTGACGTCTTTTAAAACAAAAACAAATATTAAAAAAGGTTCTAAGTGAATAGTGACCTAAGTACCTGATGGCGATGTCACATCTAACAACAAATAATTAAAATAATATCTTAATCGATTCGAAATTTTATATTAGGAACGATGAATATCAATGAGATAAACATCGTATAAAAAACTTGCATTGTTCGTCTGACAGGTATGACGGGTCATTCACCTTAAATTTAAAGCAAAGTATAAACTTGCGTTGAATAAATAACCAATGACAGAAAGAATTGAGAATAGTTATCAACTTATAGGTTAGGGTAAGGGGAAATATACGTAGGCAAAATTAAAACAACAGCTCCGTTCAAATCTGTACCAAAAGACATCGAAATTTGTTCAGAAATTATGAAGGTGTGTATGCCAAATAAATATATTTACTTTAGCTTCCTTCTAATATTATTTATTTAACTTTATTCTTTCTGTGACAATGGTTTTGAGTGTTTTCTAATAAATAGTAATTATAATTTTGTGTATCACAAACAAAGGTACAATATTTGGCGCCAAAATAAAGGAGCGTCAGAAAAAGTTGCATTCCAAATTCAAATGTTATTAAAAACCCAAACTGTCGCGTGTAGTTTTGTTTCCGGTACCGAAATCCAAACGACGACTCGAGACGGCCGATAGTCGATAACCATAGGAATAACATTGCGAATATAATTAAAAAAAAAAGCATTTAAAACCTTGCCTTTTTCGTTCATGTAAATCTATGAATATGTTTATAGGTAGCAAATACATTTGTTTTTTTTTACAATAAATAAGTACCTATTATGTGTAGATAGAGGTGCTATTTAGGTTTTTTATGATTTATAACTATGTACTATAAAGAAATCTAAACAATTTCAGCCTTTCTATCTACCTCTATGTAGTGTCTACTGCTCCCAAGTTAGTGGTAAAAAATATAATAATCTTTATTTCCGCAGTGTTATTTCAAATGGTGTGTTATTAAATAATATTGTTATATTTTGTCATCTTATGTAATTTAATAATTTTAATCTTGTAATTTTTATGAAGAAGATATTTCATAAAAATTACAAGATTAAAATTATTAAGAAAGAAAGAATAAACAATTAATCATACCTACTTGGGTTTTCATTTAGTTATTAACACCTAAACTGTAATTGCTTAAACGAATGGAGGATGCCTTATATTTCAAACCGTTAATATTAATTATCATTTTCCTTATCTTAAAATTGCTATTGAACAATTTTATTACTATTTTTTTAACCTATTGGTAACCGATTATACAGGTCAATGATTTCGTACTAAAGTCAATAACTCTGTGAGTCATAACATGTTTATAAATAAAAAATACAAGATTATGTAAATACATTTTTTTTCAAACGAATTCAATTTGAATGCGTCATTCGGTATGTGAACGCATTCATATCGATTGCTGTGATGCTGTCAGTCAAACTGTCACCGCTCTGTCTGCGACTGTTCAAAAACCTTAGTTTTAAAAATTATTACACAGTATTTCACGCATATTTTGTTGTCTATTTATTTTAAAACATTATAAACTCGGCGAATAATATTTCCGGTAAACATAGATATGCTATATTATAATAAAAAGGGTAACGAAATTCGAATATGTTCCTACACTAACATTAAAAGTTGTATTTGGTAAAAATGGAACGTTTATAATGACTGCCACGCTGCGACCAGTTTCAGAACGCAAGTTCCGTCCGTCTGTCGGTGGTATTGGAATACGCGAAACGAGTCCACTGATATTTATCGCCGTATTATCTCGTACGCTAATAAAATACAATAATTCTATGATAATATATTTCGAAATTAATTTGTTCACTGATATCCTGTGATACGTGCGGAGATTTTTTTGTGAAATTGTAGAAAAAAAATGTGTTTAGTAAAGTGAACGATTTTGCTTGTTTTTTTTTCGCGATTGTCGGCGCCAGAATGTCTGATGAGCTCGAGGCTCGGATGTGGGACGATGGGGCCTCCCGGTACGAGTCCAGGGGCCGTGGCCCTTACTTCGAGTCAGCTTTCGCCTCATCAGAACATTTGGACAGAGCACCTTTGTTGTCTGAGGTAAAACCAATTTAATGTATTTTTTTTTTCTTCGCTGAAGTCATAACAACGTTTATAGTGTTCATAACATTTTATATTTAATTCCATTCAACTTATTCGTGTTTACAATATTTTGCTTCATTTCTGAAAGTTATTATTTAGGACACCTAAATAATAACTTTCAGAAAATTCTAATAAATTTTAGGAACAAAAAAAGAACTAAACAATTAATTCTTTTTTAAATCAAATTCGCATTTTAAAATCATTACTTAATTTTAATAAACATAGACTATAATCTGACAATATCCTTAGACACTACAATATTTAAAAAAAACATTGAAATCTAAAAACAAAGAGTAGCCAGAAGACCTTAATCAGAGAATGATAAAATAAATATTTGATAATGATAAGATAACATCATGTTCCACTTATCTAGTTTTTGTAGTTTGTATTTTAAATATTATCAAAGTAGCTATACAGATTCATTACAATTTTATCTTTGTGTTTTCTCATCTCTTAAAACATTTTAAATGGCACAGGAAACAGTTTTATCTAACCAAATAAGTCATTTGTAGCTCAAAAAACTCATTTTCCTGTTTAAAAATAAGAAAAAAAGTTACTTAGTTCCATAGTTGAGTAATGAGTATGTCAATATATCGAGGGGTAACGGGCTATTTGGTTTAAGCGACATTTTGGGCGAATTTGAGTTATTATGTATATTCGACGGAGAAAAATTAGCTGATTCCGAATATATATAACTCAATATCGACCAAAATGTCGCTTAAACCAAATACCCCGTTACCCCTCGATATATTGACATACTCATTACTCAACTTAATTGATTTATCAATTTAATTAAAAATGTTTTCCCCCAATTTTTATCTAATATTATAAAGTTGAAGAGTTTGTTTGTTTGTTTGAACGCGCTAATCTTCAGAACTACAAGTCTGATTTGAATAATTCTCTTGGTGTTAGATAGTGCATTTATCGAGGAAGGCCATAGGCTATAAAACATGACGCTACAACCAATAGGAGCTGAGCAGAGAGTATGAAATCACTCGGAAGTAGCTAGTTATACAGTAATATCAGAATAATAAATTCCATTCTCCATAAGCCATGAACAAGAATGCTCTCAAACAAAGGAAGTATGGTAAGGTATGCATGTAGGAATTTTTTGGCAGAATAACTACATAACGTCTATTGTAACAATAAAGGATATTTAAATTACAATAGATGAACATTTACAATACAATCATCATTTATAATATTGGAATTCCTTAACTGTCACATAATATGGCATAGCTATGTGCCATACTCTCTTTAAAGAGCAAGCAGATATCATGTTGTGATCTCTATGTAGCAGGAGGAGAGTCTATTGCCCTAAATCAGGCTTTTGTCCAATAAAAAATTCTTCCAATTAAAAACTTTTGTGTGTTTACTACTAAGGAGTGGAATTATTTGTCAGAGTCTGTGTTTCCTGAAAAGTACATAGCTTTTCTCAAAAGTATTGCCAGCTGTAGTAACTATACTTTAAACGAACTAGGTAAATAATTAACCAATTATCTGATTGTTATTGAAACTTTAGATTATATTCCTGCTTAGGACTCTGTATTAGGCAAATAAGTCTCATGTAATGTGGGGCGAGGGCGACCCTATAGAATTCTTTAAATTTTTTAAACAGGTATGAGGGCTTTATGGTTACGATAGTCCTGCATACGTACATGGTAATTTATGTCAACCATAGCCATGGCCTACTGATAATAGAAAAAATTAAAATAATTACCATAGATTGCATTTATCATCATGTTAACCTGGTGCTAACCGTGTGTTATCGAATATTCTATAATGATTATTTATTTATGGTTTACAAACACATTGGTAATGAGTATAACATAAATATGGCTACTGATATCTAACTAATTAATTAGGGAAGTTGTATGATAATTCATAGATTACATTTAGTTATTTATATTTTCATGGAGAAAAACGATCGCAATGCGTTTAGATAGAAATAGCTGTTGGGTTTAAATAAGTCAGTGTCAAGTTCCTAGATAAGATATTATGGTATTATTAAATATTTTGTTTAACGAAATTGAGCACAATAGCATGAAGTCACAGTATATTTTCCAAAAGACCAGTTGCCACACATAAAATATTAAAAAGGACTATTTAAAATCTTTGCTTGCCTCTTGCACCTACCATTTACTCCACCCACACTTACGGGATTAAGTCCACCTATTTGTGCATTTTGTGCATGAACTATGAAGCATATTAAATAAAATTTAGATCAGGCTATTTGAAGAGTGAATGTGGTAAATTAAAATTATTTATTTATCTCATTTAAAAAAAATATGTTTTTTCATTGTGTAAAGGTACAGAATAAGTACTTCGTGTAATATTATATCTCAATTTAAGCAATATATTGTTTACAAGGGCACAAGCATACAATTCATTAGTTTATGACGATAGATATTTTGTACATTTTATCTAGATATATTTGATACTACAGCTGATATAAAATACATGCAGATATTCTATTGGATTATCTATACATTTTATAGTACCAATGTTGTATTTATTGTAGTTATAAACATTAACAGTAATCAGTACTATGTATACAAAGTCAAGCGATTTTGGTAATACGTATTTAGTGTACAGTAGTCACCATAGATAAATAACTCTTTAAAATACTCCTTTTGAGTAACTTTTATACAGACTTACATTTTTTTTAAATTAAATATTTTTAGCCATGGTCGTCCCACAGCAGGGCAAAGGCCTCCCTAACCTCCTTCCACTGGTCTCTTCTTAAAGCTTTCTGTGGCCAATCCTTTTCATAGTTACATTTTGAAATGGTTTTAATACTTACCTTTATAAGACTGAAACAGAAAGAAGGTAGTTAATCAGTAAAGAAACGACAATATCTAAAGTAGCCCAGTAGATTCGCAAGCTGAAATGGCAGTGAACCGAGCACATAGCTCATAGAACTGCCGAAGTAGCAGGGAGGTTCTTGAATGCATGCCGCATCCCGGCAAGCACAGATCAGGACGTGCACATGCTGGGACAGGAATCCACTCCACTGGATACAGGTCATCTGTATTTCCCGACATATACCACTCCGGTGTCTTCAAGTTCTGAGTGAGCAGGTTGCTCATAGGTAGGCGTGCTCCATCGTCGGCCACATCATCGCTTAGGCGAGATGGTGGCTAAACATTAACTTATCAAGTATAAAAAAAAAACCAACAGGCCGAACTGGATGGCTTGTGGCTGATACAGTAATGATGATAAATTATCCGAAAGGCTAGACTTAGTGGAATTCGGTTTTTTGTAAAAGGAAAAAATATATTTTTTTTGGACAGTAAATATTAATGACTATTATAAAGCTGTACTCAGATAAGATTTTATATTTTTATCCTTTTTAACACTTTTATTGTAATTTATAACTGCGTCGATAACGACGGTAACGAATGATCTCGTTATTATAACGGCTACGTTAATAAAAGCCGATAAAAATCGTTAGTGCAATAAAAGTATTAAAATAATACCTAAGTACTAGACCTTATCGCCGTTCGGTAATCTAGAGAACATTGAATACTTGCTAACTATGTATGTGAACTTGTATGTTTGTAAACGCACCCACGACACAGGACAAAATGCCAGTGTGGGGCAGTTAAAAAAAAAACAATAATAGATTTTTTTAAATCCCCCTTTTCCCCCCTTGTTTTAACGCGTATAGTGCGTTCAAACTAGTAAGGGGTTCATCATCAACAGCCTATAATTGCCCACTGCTGAGCAAAGCCTCTTCTCACACGGAGAAGGTTTGAGCATTAGTCACCACGCTTGCTCAATGCGGGTTGGCGATTACGTAATTTATAATTAGAAATTATAAGCCCAGGTTTCCTCACGATGTTTTCCTTCACCGTTTGTCAGTGGTGTCTAAATAATCTTAGAAAGTACATATAACTCGGAAAAAGTCACATTGGTACTTGCATGAGAAGCGGGCATCTTAAACCTCCGGGCCACCACGTCATCATCACCAGTAAAGAGTTATTCAGCTTTAATAACTATTTAGACTGAAACTGACTGACCCCGAGTAGTTACGCCTTGATGGTCGCTGATAGAGCTGTAACAATCTTTTTAACCTATACAAATTGTAAATGAGTTTGACGATTAAATACAAGGTATAATGGGTTACAATATCGTACCCATTTGGCGAAAATGTTTCAGTGAGATCAGCTACGTACTCAAGCAGTTTTAGGGACGTACCTATTAAGAATGTTTATGAGTTACCAGGTTTGTAGGTGATTGTTATTTTAATTTCTGAAACATTTAGCTAATTCCAGCATCCGAACGAAAATCAATTCGTATTAAAATCCATAATATTCACCCATATTGCATAGTATACAATTATATTATTATGACTGCCTTATTGGCAGTTTGGTCACAAGTGCGACTGCGACTGTCTATTCCCGGGTCGGGCAAAATATAACTGGGCTTTTTTAAAAAAAATCTCAGTAGCAGCACAGTCTGGAAATGTGCCCGGTTTATGGCAATAGGCTCATCCCCTATAACATGGGACTCAAAAATGGGTGTTACATTGTACAGTGACATGATGTGCGGTAATAATATGCACCTCTGCCTACCCCTTCGAGGATAAAAGGCATGATGTTACAAACATGTTACAAAAACAATTTATTATACGTACTACACAAACATGTTCATTTTATTGTATTAAGGTTCAATAAGTAGTCGCATACCAAGTTATTTACTTCGTAACTTATGTATATTTATTAGTTATAGCCATGTATTGTATGTATGTGCTGATCATAATGTACTTGTCAACATAATAGAATCGATACATCTATCTGAGGGTATTGCCCTCCCTCCTCCTTTATAAGAGCATGATACTAACTATGGTAAAATATTCTGATCGATATTTCTTAGAGTTTTCGACTCTCATTCACTTATAGATTAATTATATTAATAACTAGCCATTGCCCGCGACTTCGTCCGCGTAGAATATG